TTAACCCAAATTCTTTACATTTGTAATAACTCCTGTAATTAATAGAAATATAAAAACTCAAATCTTGGGACTGAATAGGACCATAACATTTGGTGTATAAGCCTCAAGCCATTCCTTCATCACTACATCAAATTTAATCCAAATCTGAGATTGTGCACATTGAAACATTTTGAAAATGTGTCAATTTGATATGGACTAACATTTATTGTTCACCACAAGACAATAATGTTTCAGGCATAACCCTTCATCAAACTAAATTTGCAGATTGGTCAGATTGGTTAAAATAATAGTGAGGAGATCACATTGTGGCCATGTCCACAAGAAAACATTTAAAGGTTTCTATTTTAGATCTGATAATTATTTATAACAATAGGTCTGGCACTATTTTAATTTCTTACAAATTCCCATTGCATGGTTATTGATTCATATAGATAGAGCATGAATCTATATGAACAAAAGCAGTTGCGCTCGCTGCTGATTACTTACTGATTACGTTCATCAGTAATCACAATTATCTCCAGTCCAGACGTTGAAGCTACAGTTATTTTCACTACGCGGATAGTCAAATACACTGTAAAAAACATCTGACTGAAAACTTAACCAAAGAGTAGCCTATAATAGAAAATCCAAAAACTTTCTTTTTGCAGGGGACAATCCCTTTTAATTGCTATTAATCACGAGTTTGCTATGACATCAATGCAATTAATCACAATTCAATATTTTAATTTATCATTTATCATTTTCTAATTATATTATTAAATGCTTATACATTCAACAATTGTCATCATATTTATAATCAAACTCAAATGTTTCATAGTCATATTGCATTTGCAGTGCACACTTTTCCCGGGGTTGATAGGAGCCTTGAGTGAGGAGGGAAAGACTGGCTCCACAGCTGCTGTTTGCTCATTACCATGCACACCTGCTCCCGAGGGCCCTTTTCCAGAGCCTTGTGTGGCGCCTCTGAAACGAAGCCACGCTCTTGCCACCGCTGGCAAACTCAAATATACTCTCCATCCAAACCACCACAGCACTCACTAACATTATGATCTATTATTGGTCTATTATGATCTGCTGACACTAAGGCCTGTCACAGTAATTACTATATCAAGTTATTTTGGGGTTCAATATTTGTTGAACCTCAAGAATGCACTTGTACAGATTCTTTGCAAAAGAAGAAAGACCTAATACCATGGAATTTTAGCTGTAGATCAATTAGTTTTGTTTACCAGAATTTTTACAAGAAGCAATTGATCTTTTCCACAAGAGGATTTAAAACATCCATCAAACAAGCATCAAAACAGAAAAGAAATATCAATTTGAAAAAGAAATTCAAGATATCCTCTTGATGAAAAATTTGTTGAAATGTATAAAGCTCATATAAACAAAGCTTAACAGAACTGTTTTAATTATGGACTTAAACAAGAGTACTAGCCTCCCTGACATCTTCTGGGAGACTATTCTAGTGCTATAATTAACGGTTATTTTGATAATTGATTCGTTGACTGATTATTCTTTAGATTTATTGATTAGTTGTTTAGATTGTTTAGATGTAAATTTCTACTGTGTGAGATCAATAAAGTCTATCTTATCTTATCTTATCCCAAAGGTCAGTGATTTGGGGTGAGACTCAAGCAATGCCACTGGTTATTGCACATTGGGTTGGATTCTTACAATACTTTGTTTTTGTTTTATTAGGTGTTAAAAGGAGGTACAATGCATACAATACTTTGTAAACACAATTTGTGTCATGAAATTTCCTTCTCAGCAAGTTTAAGGTTGCAAAAACAATAATTGAGTTGACAACTCATAATTGATTCGTTGTGATTAATAATTTCACTTGTTATAGCCTTTTCCAGAGACTTTTCCAGACTAAAGTTCCATAGCTCTAAAATGGTGACCTCATGTGTCTAGTTCTGATTCTGTTCACCATCAGGAGGCTAGAGCTGCAACTAACGATTATTTTGTAATCAATGAATCTATCGATTATTTTTACGATTAATCGAGTAATCGCTTGCCTGTGAATTGTGTAGAAAAAAATTATTTTTTCATCACAAAAAGCTAAAGTGGCAACACTCGAGGACGTATTGATGGCGTAAACTTAAAGTAAATGTTTGTAACAGGCTCTTTGTGCTAATTCTGCTATCTGATTGGATGAGACAGACAGATATTCATGAAATTATAAAAACAAAGTCGGTTTTAATCAAAAATACTACATTTTCATGTCATTTTTGCTCTGTTTGAGTCCGTGTGAACCAGAAAACGATTAATTGATTACTAAAATAGTTGTCGACTATTTCAATAATCGATTAGTCGTCGATTAATTGATTAGTTGTTTCAGCCCTACAGGAGGCCAGTCCCTCTGCTCCTCAGGGTCTGAGAAGGTTCAAAGGAGCTTTGGAGAGTCTTGTACACAAGCAGAGACCTGGGATCAGAACTATTGTGCTCGTACTTCCTGTTTTGAGCAGCAGCATTTTGAATATACTGCAGCTGTTTTACACCTTTTTTGGAGAGCCTGTGAGCAGGCCGTTACAGTAGTCTAACCTACCTGATACAAATACACACATTTTATTTAGAGACAATAAATTTAATCTTGGGTGTGTGTTTAAGATTTGTAACCTGATTCTTAGGTCAAGAAGAGGGATCGAAAATGACAAAATATCTTGGTTTTCCAGGGCAAAAGACAGTCAAATCAGTTTATCCGTGTTCAGTTGAAGGAAATAATTATTTTCCACTTACTCAGCTCAATTACTGGTGCAAATCTGTTTTTCGTAGTCCCAAATATTTACGTTTAGTTGCCCATAGATATAGATAAGCCCACTGGGTGGCGCTGTAGAGTCAAGTTGCTTCTGTCTGGATGTCCATTCAGGACCTTTTTGAACTAGGGGGTCAACGATGGGTGAAAAATAAGGACCATATGAAGAGCAATATCCCATGAAGAGGACTAATGAAGACAGTGTTAAATGTTCAATAGGTTTATCCTTCTAGTATATTGTAATTGTATCATAGTTTCTATATTATCATATGTCGCAATATTTCTCTGGAGCAAACCTGCTTAAAGGGTTGTTCAGTAGAATTGTTGATGTAACTAAAGAATATTTACAAAACTAACTACACATGTTTGTTATTAATATAGAGAATTGTAGTCTTCCTATTTATTATGTTATCAAAGCACACAGTTAGACCCCATTTTGTTGTGATGGCATTTCTCAACTCTTGTTTATGCAGTGGGTAGTGTAGCATATGATGTTGTCTTTTTTTGCCTCAGACCTAACGCAAGTTAATGCTGCTTTGAAAATCCATTGAGGGGCCCTGGCATGGCCCAGCACACACAAGCATTGGTCCCCATGGGAATTTTTTTGGGACAAGCTCGAGAACCAGGCTCTGGTCTGGTACTGGATGGATAAAAAAAACAGTATTATTTGTGTCCTCAAAAGATTATATGTGGTGCGGTATGTTGTGTTGCTTGGTCTCCTGCCTTTTGCATTGATAATACAAGAAATGCTTTAGAATTTGATGAATAACTTACACTATTGTGGTGCCATGGGCCTTTGAAGTCTGCCATAATGTTGGCTGCTCAAACTTGTCCGTGGCATGAATGGGTGCTGACATAAGGGTTGAAGTGAGTACATTTCAGGCTGAGAGCCACTGAAGGGGACCATGACTGCTGCCTTTCTTGTTATCAAACTTGTTGGAAAGAATGGATTCATTTGAGGAATTTGCGGTGTTACTGAGTTGATGTTTTGTGATTTCTGCTCTGCCGGTTGAAGCCTCACTGTGGTCGAGGGTGTGAAAGAATTTAACGAACTTAGTTCAGTTTATGGTAGTGTTTGTGTTACATAAAACACTTCCATCGTTCAGTCACAGTTTAACTGTGTGTCTTTGGAGTCTCCAAAACTTGTCTCTTGGATACCGGTATTATACTTACTTAGACTTGAAGAGAACACTATCATCATCATTCTGAACATTATTGAATGAATTGCATTTTTATTTGCAAAATCTTTGTAATTCCCTTTAACTTTTGAAATTACAAAGCCAATGCATTCAATAGACCAGCCATTCCCAAACTCAGTAACACTGAGGCCCCCTTAAAAATCTGACGGGTCTGCGTGGCCCCCAAAATAATAACCAAGAAGACAACATTAAGAATAGGCTCTTCTGGTTATTTTATTTTGGGGAAATAGCCTCTGCTACAAACATTGTATTACAAAAATGATTACAGTGGATTATTCAAGTCAAATAATGAACACAAATATTTTAATATTACAAACAAAAGATTATAAATTTAAAATTAAATATATTTTTTTTTTTTATGACCTCCCGCGGCCCCCCTGCAGTACCCTCGCGGCCCACCAGGGGGCCGCGGACCCCACTTTGGGAGACACTGCAATAGACCATGTTTGCACTTGTTATTTTACACTAAACGTTTACTTTTCCAAGGACAGCTTTGTCTTGATGTGTGTGGTCTAGCATTTGAGTGTCCCCGGGACCGGCCTGACCTCTTCTCAGAGAAGTTGTGAATGCGAGAAAATGTGCTCAGCTTCTTTATTAGAGCTGGTGAGCTCTGGTTTGAATGATGTTTATGACATCCCTGCTCCTTTGTCTTTGCAAACAATATGGTTTTACAGCCATCATTGTGAGGGTGTTTAAGATGTGTGCAAGTGCAACCAGTGGGTTTAAAAATAGCCTGAAATCATCAGAATGAAGAACTTTTCTTGTTCTCTTTTCAATTTTGCTCATAGCTTTAGGCTAAAATGACCAAGAGTAAAAGTCAGAATGCAATAGTGGAAGGAACTTTATGTTTAACTGACAGAAAGCAGAGCTGTTGTTGTTATTGTTTTATTTATACTTCCCATTGACCTATATGATGCTGACTCATAATGTCAAGAAATCCCATCGAGTTGAGTTTCCCATATCTGAAAATGTAAGGTGTAAAGGCCACACTCTGTCACATAGTGGTAGTTATGTCAGTGACCATTAAACCTTTCCTCCTTTTCCAGATGCCGTGATGGATTTGCAGGAAGCAGATGCCAGTTCCATGACCCCTGCACCACCGCTCCTTGCATGAACGGCGGCACCTGTCGTGCAGTTTCGAAAGGCAACACCGTGGACTTTAGCTGCACCTGCAAACTGGGATATTCTGACCGCAGATGCATGACACCAATCAACAATATTTGTATTAATTCACCCTGCCACAATGGAGCCACGTGTGAACTAGAGACCCTTCAAACATTCAAGTGCCGCTGCCCTCCTGGATGGTCAGGTACTTGTGAAACCTATAATGATGTAATTATTATCTAATTTATACTTTTTTAGGCTAAAGCTAAATAAATATGTTTTCATTTAGGCACATTATGCCAACACCCAGATCCATGTGCTTCAAACCCATGTGGCAACGGTGGCCAATGCTCCGCTGTGGAGTCTGGCTACATCTGCTCGTGCACGCCTTTCTTTTCTGGAAACACCTGCAAACAGGATGTTAATGAGTGCGATGCCAAACCACCCCCCTGCAAGAATGAAGGTGTATGCATAAATGAGGTCGGCGGGTATCGCTGCCAGTGTCCGCTGGAGTACACAGGCAAACACTGTGAGACACGTTACTTCCCCTGCAGTCCTTCCCCATGCCTCAGCGGAGGGACCTGTGTGCAGAAGGGAGACACCAGCTACGAGTGCTCCTGTGTTCCAGGTATCAACACGTTTCTATTGTAGTTGTGAGCAAGAATACATTTTACTTGAATAAAGCCATAGTCACAATATTAAAACACATTTTTAAGACTATGGGGAGGGATGCGCTGATTTTTCCTTTTCTTGATACTAAGCAAGCTTTTTTTGACAGGGATAGTACTGGGACATTGGTCTTGTTTTAGTGGTAGGAGACACCTGTAGCACCTCTTTATGAGAAGCTGGAGCACTAATCAGTCATCCACCATACAATGCAAATGGTTGGTTTGGCTTTCCTGGTTCAATTTCCATGCCGGACGTTTCATTATTTCTCCCTGTGTCTGGGTCGGTTTCCATAGGTAAAAAAAAAAAAAACTCCAGCTCTGGTAGTCCTGACTATGCCAAGCACCAGGCACTGCACTGTACAAATTCTAATTGGGTGTTAACTGCAAATGGCAAGAATAAATGCAAACTTAAACTTAGTCATAGAATTAAGAATGATATATTTTTGAAGGTGGCATGTGTGATGAAGACAGCTCAAAATACCTAATATAGAGCATTTGTATGTAGCACAGGCCAAGTCTGTGCTAAACTGCAGTATTGCGAGTATAATGCCATTCTTAGAGCATATTTAAAGGTATAAAGGAGGATTTTCCCATATTTTAGGAAAGAACCGCCCTTTCTACTTTTTGAACAAAACTCTCTGCTCTTATAGGACAAGGACGTATAAACAGAATGATTGACATTTGGGAGGACCAATAGTGTTGATGATCCACCCGGAAGTAGAAAATCCTCTTGTATACCTTTAAGGAAATGTTCAAGTAAAATTTATTCTGTAAAAAAAAAAAGTTAATATATACAATGCATTTACTTACAAGAACACCTGCACTTGTGCAACATTTCACATCTACATACTTTTTACAGAGTAGAACTTAAGTTCCTATTCCAGGAGAAATTCCCCCAGCGTGTCAACGGTCTTGTGGTTATCTATTTTGTAACTTTATACATGGCAGATCCCACAAACCTCTGTACAGTTTCAGTTTTCTTGCAAGGCCGGGGGCATCAACCACATTAAATTGCTAAATAGTGGGTGACAAGCTGAGAACCATTACCAAGTATATACAAAACGTTTAACTTCTGATTCTTTTTATCAGGTTTCACTGGTAAAAACTGCAACATCAACATTGATGATTGTCCAAACCACGAGTGCCAGAATGGAGGCATCTGTGTAGATGGAGTGAATACCTACAATTGTCAGTGCAAACCAGAATTTACAGGTATGACTCACTTTGGCCTCTTGCATTATTATGAATAGAACACTTTGCCACCTGCTGCCTCTTGTTTCTCCAGGTCAGCTCTGTACAGATGATGTGGATGAATGTCAGCTGATGCCCAATGCCTGTCAAAATGGCGGCACATGCCACAACATTTACGGAAGTTACCAGTGTGTGTGCGTTAATGGCTGGACTGGCAATGACTGCACAGAAAACATCGACGATTGTGCCAGTGCTGCCTGTTCCCATGGCTCCACCTGCCATGACCGTGTTGCCTCTTTTGTCTGTGAATGCCCTCATGGTCGCACTGGTATACTTATTACTTTTACTTATTTTTTTTTTCTTGTTTTATAACTTTCTATATTTCTCAGTATTGTTTAAAAAAACTATTTTGCAGCTTAGTCTATTGTCAACTTAAGAAATACCTTGCCAAATAAAAAAAGCGGTGTGAACATTATTACATATCTTAATTAGACTGCACCCATAATTCTAAAAACATCCATTTATTCTAAAAAACAACTAGAAACAATATATAGTGCATATACATTTGAATATATAGGTGAAGATTAAATGAGCATTCCCAAATCTGTTGGGACACGAACGGTTTTAGAGTTTGACTTTTACTCTTGTAAAGTCCTCTGAGATAACTACTGTTGTGATTTAGGGCTATAAAAGAATACATTGAATTGAATTGTTAAAACTTTGTGTGGTTTTGTGTACAAGGTCTTCTGTGCCAGTTGGATGATGCCTGCATTAGCAACCCATGCCAGAAGGGGTCTAACTGTGACACCAATCCTGTTAGTGGGGATCACTTCTGCACTTGCCCTTTAGGCTACTTTGGAGCTTCATGTGATCAAGATGTGGATGAGTGCTCACTGGGTAAGCTGTGTGTCAGTTTGTCTGTCTGTCTGCTACTTTCTACTCTATCTAATGTCATGTACCTAGTTATTTAACTATTTAATTATTTGTATTTTTTGTACCATGTTTATACAGGTCCCAATCCCTGTGAACATGCAGGGAAATGTATAAACACCAAAGGGTCATTCCAATGCAAATGTCAGCGTGGTTATGTTGGTACTCGCTGTGAGTTGGACATTAATGAGTGCAGGTCAAACCCTTGTAAGAATGAAGCTACCTGTCTGGATCAGATAGGAGATTTCCACTGCATCTGTATGCCAGGTAAGGCTACATGAGTTGAGAGTTTAATAAAAGCATACTTAAAACAAATCATTTTTCCCAGGTTACGAAGGAGAGTTCTGTGAAATTGATACAGATGAATGTGCCAACAGCCCATGTTTGAACAATGGCAAATGTATCGACAAGATCAACAATTTTCTTTGCCAGTGCCCCACAGGTGAGTGAGGCTTTCGTGGTGCTGCTGACAGAGAAGGGATGAGATGAGAAGGCAAGGAGGAAGGCTGAGGTCCAGGGGGCGCTGAGGTCGATCTTTTCCTCCGTCTTCCAGCCTCGCTCTTTTTCTCGCTCGAGCACAAACACATACACAAACACCTCTTTAGATGGGCACTAATCCCAGCCTTGAGGCAGGCTTACACAGGCCTGGAGAGCGCAGAATGAACACGGCAGCCGAGGTGGGGAAATCTATAGGGAACGATGTAGAAGTTTGAACAAGTTTGGGTTTCTTCAGATGATGATGAGTAAGCAGTGATTAGCCAGTTGAATTAAAAAAATCTACACAGTTTTAATCAAAATGCCATCAATTCAAGTTTGAGAATATGATTAGAATATCTTGTTTTGATTGATGAATTTAAAGATTAAATTCAGTTGAAAAAGTAGTTTTTTAATCACTATGTGCTAATTCACTGAGGTGGAAGTGATTTTTGCTTTCTTCCTTTTGGTAAAATCATGAGGCTTTCAATCGGGTGGATCAAAGAAATGCCCGAGTGGAGAGAGGCAAGATTCCCCCTGTTGAGAGAAGTCGTGAACAGAAGAAAGAGAAGGCCTGTCTCTGTGGAAGACTGAGGGAGAGGGAGTACAGGGCTGAACACAAAAGCTTAAAACTGAACAGGGTTTGTGAGCAGGAAACCTCAAGAGTTGGGGCCAGATGCATGCACTGTTGTCCAAATGAACGTAGGGAGGGTTGTAAGGGAGGAGGGTATTACTGACCTGCTTCAGATGTAAATGTCTCTCTTGCTCTAGGCCTCAAGCAATGGTCCTCTCTTTTGATTGCGGACATGAAATAGCCATGGAAACCCTGTGGAGAGCCACTGAAATGTCTAATTCCAACAGTTAGGGATTAATCCCTTACTGGCAAATATATTTCATGTGTGACTTCATCATGCAGACTTGCCATTTCGGCTTTAGCTTTGCCTTTGATTCAATTAAGATTAAAAGCAATGTTTTATTTAAATCATTTTCTAAATGTTGATTGTCTTAAAGTAACACTTTTTTGGGGAAAGTCTATTTTCACGTTACATCTTTTCCATGGTTATTAGTAGAAGGACTCCCTCTTCAGGACTACTATGTTAGGTTTGTGGCAAACCTGATGGGGATTTCTTTTAGTATAGCATCAAAACCTACATAAAATACACCTACATATTTTTATTATGTGGTATACAATGTTACAATTAATAATATGTAGTTACAACATGTTACAAATATGTTACAAACTATTATTACATATTCTGTATCAGGAATGGAAAGTTTTAGGAAACAGTTACTAGTTTGGGAGACATAAAGACTTATCACTGGCTACACAAACGCTTCCACTGGGTTAGCGACATTTGAGCCAATGTTTTTCGCTTGGACTACATCTATGTCAGGTGAAAGGAGGTTTATCTCTTCATCAGGCTACATCTATATAGTTCTGTGCCATCATGTGATGATAGAACAAGGAGAAAAGGCCTAGAAAATGTCTTTTGCTAAAGAGAAAGTCTGTTGGTTGATTGTGAATGGCAAGAGATATCTGAATGGTGCGGTTCAGAGGTCAAGCCGGCTCTTTTTAGTGCCAGAAAGGGGGAGAGGGTGGAGTGCAAAAGGGGTGAACACAAGACATGAGAAAATGCATTGTGATGGAAAAGTTTTTGTGGGACAAAAGAGGCAACAGGCTCAGTTTAGCGTTGCACAGAGGGGACAGGCCTGCTTTGTCCCCCAACCTCATGGTCAGGAGGCTTCACAATTTTTCTTCTCCCCCCTTTTTCAATGAACATGGTCCCCTACTTTCCCATCAGATTTTTGAAAAGGAGTGAAAGGAAAGATGGAGAGCATGCCATCTTGTGCAGTTGTTAATTAACATGCAGTTTTCTGATTCGTTGAGGGCTCTTATAGTTTGGACGCAGGATTATGAGTGGGACTTAATCCAAGTAGTGAGAACACTGTAGCAATGTCTGCACACACTGAATTCAACAAAACCTACTTGTTGTTTCCAGGCTTCACGGGATCCTTGTGCCAGATAGACATTGACGAGTGTGCCAGCACTCCTTGTAAAAATGGCGCCAAGTGCACAGATGGGCCCAACAAGTACACGTGTGAATGCACTGAAGGTAAAATCCTTTTACAAAAACGTCAATATTTGTATATTTTTACACATATTATTTCTATAATTATAATTGTTAATATATTATGAATTATAACAAAAACAAATTATTATTTTTTAAATAGTATAGTTATTATTATTATTAATCATAATAATAATGGCAATACTCATAATAATAATTATTTTTATTCTTAATACTAATAATCATATTTTGTATGTTATATTAATTATATTTTCTTCCCCAGGGTATTCAGGAAAACATTGTCAGACAAACATCAATGAGTGTTACTCAGACCCTTGTCACTATGGGACCTGCATTGATGGTTTGGCCTCCTTCAGCTGCCATTGTAAACCTGGGTATACAGGACGCTTATGTGAAACTAACATCAATGAGTGTTTAAGCCAACCATGTCGAAATGGAGGCACCTGCCAGGATAGGGAAAATTCTTACTTCTGCAATTGTCCGAAAGGCACTACCGGTATGTAGAAAAGGGCCATTTTTCTCTTTATTCACTATCATTATTTTATCATATTTTTTCACGTCTTCAATATATTATGTTTGTGTTGTTTTTAGGAATCAATTGTGAAATCAACATTGATGATTGCAAAAGCAATCCATGTGACTATGGAACCTGCCTTGACAAAATCAATGGCTATGAGTGTGCTTGTGAGCCTGGTTATAATGGTAAGAAATACAAAAAGCTAAAGGTATAATTTGAAGAAAAAGTGTGCTTCTGTTTTATAATGTAACAGATGGTGAGTGAGTGTGCAAACTCCTCTGAGGCTCGACCGGTGTCACTTTCCTGCACCACCCTGTCCCCAGCAGAGGGGATACCCACTCTTTGCCACACACGGCCATTAGGGACTTAGTTGTTAAAAAAAGATTCTTTGAAAGATTCCTGAAAGTTTAGCTTTTAAAAGCTAGAAAGTTAAAAGATATCTGGTGGTGCACTGCATTTTTCTGAAGGCTTGTCTTTATTTTAACTACCAAATCACTACTATATCAATGCTAATATAAAACCGTTACACTTTTTGCCTTAGTATACCTTGTTTCATTGTTTATTGACTATATGTATATCTATATTGTATGTTTTTACAGGCACCATGTGTAACATTAACATAGATGAATGTGCCATCAACCCTTGCCACAATGGGGGCACTTGCATTGATGGTATCAATGGCTTCACCTGCGTGTGTCCAGAAGGGTACCATGACACTACATGTTTCTCCCAAGTCAACGAGTGCCTCAGTAATCCCTGTATTCATGGTCATTGTGAGGATAAAGTCAATGGATTTACTTGTCTGTGTGATTCTGGTTGGACTGGAAAGAACTGCGACATAAACAATAATGAGTGTGAATCGAATCCATGTATGAATGGAGGCACATGTAAAGACATGATCAGTGGATACATCTGCACCTGCCGCGTGGGCTTCACGGGTCAGTCTTTGTGTTTTCAAATAATGTTACGTTTTTTGTTGTTGTGGAGTTACTCAGTTACAAATGCTAATGATTTTTATTTCAGGGCCAAACTGCAAAACCAATATTAATGAATGTGCCTCGAATCCTTGTTTAAACCTGGGGACCTGTATCGACGATGTTGCCGGATATAAGTGTGTCTGTTCTTTACCTTACACTGGTATGGAGAATTCTTTTATATTTATAATAACATTTTGAAATTTGAATGGAAGATCATTTCTTCTGGCACACACACACAGAAACAATTACTGGTTATGTTATATATGAATTTGAAGATTGACTCAATACCTTTTTGGAAAAAATACTCCTTAAGGACATTGCATGTGCTAGTGTGGGAGCGAATTTCTTGTCATGTTTCCTGTACTGCTGCTTCCTGTCTCACAGACCAGGAAATAGCTAAACAATGGCCGGAAACTGAACCTTGCTTCCTGTATGAGCTATGTGTTGTGGAAATATCTGTTCAGGCCTCTAGCAGGGACTGAGCCTGGCAAACCCACTGATAGCATTGAGTGAAAGATGATTCTTTGTCTGTTTTGACTGGATAATCTCCAAGTTCATGAACTACAAGATGTTCAAGAAATAGTTTAATAGGTGATTTAACTGTATTTTTAGGAGAAAACTGTGAAATGTTAATGGCACCATGCAGTTCAAAACCCTGTCATCATGGAGGTGTGTGTCAGGAATCAGAAGACTACCAGAGCTTCTCCTGTGTTTGTCCTGAAGGATGGCAAGGTATTCATGAGCAAGTTGTAATCACATTGTGCTGTCAAAAAGTAATATAGCTCCATATGAGGGGGCTGAGACTATGAAATAACCAGAAACATATCAGTATAATATGTGATTATTTTTTTCAAAGGTCAAACATGTGATGTGGATATTAAAGAGTGTGTAAAGAATCCTTGTCGTAATGGAGCCACTTGTCAGAACACTATAGGCAGTTATCGATGTAACTGCAAACCCGGCTTCACTGGACGCAACTGCGAATCAGACATTGATGATTGCAAACCCAGTAAGTCCCTGGCACATGTCGTTCAGCCTGAAACATTTACAAAGCATGCGGTTATCAATAACTATTACTATTATTTTTTCTTATAGATCCTTGTAGTAATGGTGGAGTCTGTAAGGACGAAGTGAACAGCTTTCTGTGCACCTGCTTGGCTGGTTTTCGTGGGACCAAATGTGAAGAGGACATTAATGAGTGTGAGAGTAACCCATGTAAAAACGGAGCTAACTGCACCGACTGTGTGAACAGTTACACCTGCACGTGCCCATCTGGCTTCAGTGGAATCCATTGTGAAATCAACACTCCAGATTGCACTGAGAGGTAAGTGCAAGGTGGCTCAATTAATTCTTGCTCACCAACTTCTTTGGGAGTCTCTTTACCCTAATTTAAATCTATGCTGATTTAGTGGTAGTCAAACAGGAGAATGATATATTCCGACATGAGGTACTCTGAAGGCCACTTTTTAATTAATGTCAGTGGTACATTGTAGAAAACGTTTGAGATGCTAGTCTAGTGTCTGGTCTCATAGATAATTACAGACTTACAGTCACAGACTTTTGACACATGAATAGATACTTTTTGATAATGTAGTTTGTCTGTGTTTTTTTTTTTTTGCAGCTCATGCCTCAATGGTGGAACGTGTGTAGATGGAATAAATACATTTACATGTGTATGCCCCCCTGGTTTCACTGGTAACTACTGCCAGCATGATATCAACGAATGCGACTCTAAGCCTTGCATGAATGGAGGTACATGCCATGACAGCTACGGCGCCTACAAATGCACCTGTCCACATGGCTACACTGGACTTAACTGTCAGGTGAGCACCCAATCAATTTTACTGATTAATTTTTGTAAACGTGAAATATATTGAATCCACATACCTTCTCTTTTGGCTCAAGGATTTGGTTCACTGGTGTGAGACTTCACCGTGTAAAAATGGAGGATCTTGTTGGCACAGGGGCACCACCTTCAGTTGCCAGTGTGCAACAGGCTGGAGTGGGCAGTATTGTGATGTACCAAGTGTTTCATGTGAAGTGGCAGCTAAACAAAGAGGTAGAGTGTCTATAATGGAAAATATTATACAATGGGCGTCTACTAAATGCTAATGCTGTGTTTTGGTTAGGGGTGGATGTTTCACAGTTGTGCCGTAACTCTGGCCAGTGTCTAGATGCAGGAAATGTTCACTATTGTCACTGCCAATTGGGATACACCGGAAGTTACTGTGAGGAGCAGGTGGATGAATGTAACCCAAACCCTTGTCAAAATGGAGCCACCTGCACTGACTTTTTGGGTGGCTACTCATGCAAGGTAATCTTTCGAAATATTAGGGGTCAAAGTATATAAAACATATCATACTTAACAAAAATTCAATAAACAACCTACCTCATGAAAATACTTTACTACAATAAAAATACTTAAAAGGAGAAACCAATAGGTTGTAAAAAAGTATAATCTTCTAAGATAAGATAAGATAAACTTTATTGATCTCACAATGGAGAAATTTAGATTCACTCAGGTTGTGCAAAAAGACAGGAAGTGTGCAAACATGCTAAAGATATATTATGTACAATGAGAAAATCTAGTAAGAAAAGATCTGCTTGCCTCGGCAGATTGGGGCCCTCAAAAAAGCAGAGTAAACAAAACCATTTCTGATTCATGTCTGACATTGATTACACTTTCCCTTCTTTTCCTCCTCTGTCTTGTTGGTTTTTTTCTCTCAGTGCATGCCAGGCTTTGTGGGGACCAACTGTTCTGATGAGATCAATGAATGCTTCTCCCAGCCATGCCAGAACGGGGGCACCTGCATTGACCTGATCAATACCTACAAATGCTCCTGTCCCCGGGGAACCCAAGGTCAGTAGACCCCCCACGCACCCACCGGACAACTCTCCTCTGCGCACTTCCCCTCAAGCCTCCACGCTTCATTAATTAGGGCTTAACAGTAACCAGGGCAAGCCTGAAAACTCTTCCTACCATCTTACCTCAGTCTTGTCAGATAAGCATTGATTTCTCCATCTTTGACATGAAGAAAGTGTGTGGTGTAGGTCAACTCGAAATGAGGCAGAGTTTTCTATAAAGCTTGTATTATCATATTTTTATTTTTTGATTAACTGGAGTACCTAACTTTCTTTGTTTCTTTAATGCGTTTTGTTTGACATAAGTCTAGTTTCCGTAACATTTTAAACATGTGTCTTTATCTCATTAAAAGTATAAATTGTCTTCTATATACTCTGAACAGATTGTCTGAGTCAGGGTTTTTTCTCTCTGTGTGACAAACATAAATGCATATAGAAAATAGGTATGTAGTTAGTTGATGTTTTAAAATTAGGTACTCTTTCTTGAATCTATTTTTTCTAGTATATTTTATATGTTAATTACTTACTTAACACGCAGTAAACAGTAAAACTATTTGTTTTAGCTGGCAAGTTTGACATGATTCTGTTTTATTCACAGGTGTTCATTGTGAGATTGACATTGATGACTGCAATCCCTTTATCGACTTAGTAACCAAAGAGCCCAAGTGCTTCAACAAAGGCAAATGCGTGGATCGAGTTGGAGGCTACCACTGCGTGTGCCCTTCCGGATACGTCGGGGAACGCTGTGAAGGAGATGTCAACGAATGTCTGTCCAACCCATGTGACCCGCGAGGCACTCACAGCTGCATCCAACTGACCAACAATTACCGCTGCGACTGTCGAACCGGATATACTGGTAAACAGTCACAAGACTTTATGTAACCACTATGTAGAAGTCAACCAGAATCAATCTTACTTGTCTATAAGCCCTCACCATTCACTTGACTTTCCCTAGGTCGACATTGTGACTTAATATTTGACGGTTGTAAAGGAAAACCTTGTCGCAATGGGGGAACCTGTGCCGTTGCCAGTAATACACAACATGGATTTATCTGCAAATGCGCTCCTGTGAGTCTGTGCTACTCATTTCACAAACATTAGATGCCTGATGGATTGGTGTGTGAAATAAATGTTCTTTTCATGTTTTTAGGGTTTTTCAGGTGCTAAATGTGAATATAGCTCTCAGATCTGCGGCACACTTCACTGCCACAACGGGGGCACTTGTATCTCTGGTCACAAAAGTCCAAAATGCCTCTGCTCTCCTTTATTTACTGGCCCCGAATGCACATTTCCATACAGCCCGTGCAGTTCAAACCCATGCTACAATGGTGGTACATGTGAGAACACTGCTGAGGCTCCGTACTATCATTGTGACTGCCCAACAAACTTTGTTGGTCAACGTTGTCAGATTCTGGACCGCGATTTGCAGGAAGAACAATGTGAAATACCTGAATGTGAAGATCTAAAACACAACAAGATATGTGATGTGGTGTGTAACAACCATGCGTGCGGCTGGGACAACGGAGACTGCTCCCTTAACTTTGACGACCCCTGGAAGAACTGCTCGGCCTCTCTGCAGTGCTGGCGCTACTTCAATAATGGGAAATGTGATTCCCAATGTGACAACTCTGGATGTCTGTATGATGGTTTTGACTGTCAGAACCTCGAGGGCCAGTGCAAGTGAGTGTTCTCTTCCTAATGTAAATTATGATTACAAAATAACAATTACAATATATGTTATTGGTTAAAAAAAAAAAGTGTTATTGCAGTTGCATTCTTGTTTAAACACACATATTGTGTAAATGTAGTAATGTCACAACTAATAGACAACTAACCCTTTGAATTGTGTTTTACAGCCCTATGTATGACCAGTACTGCAGAGACCACTACGCTGATGGCCACTGTGATCAGGGCTGTAATAATGCAGAGTGTGGATGGGATGGTCTGGACTGTGCTCATACACCAGAGAAGCTCGCTGTGGGTCAGCTGGTTCTAGTTGTCCACATAGTTCCTGAGCAGCTTCTTAACAATTCGTTTGGATTTCTGCGTGAGCTGAGCCTGGTGCTTCGGACAAATGTGCTCATCAGTAGAGACTCCAAAGGGCAAATAATGGTCTACCCCTACTATGGTAATCAGCATGAGCTGAAGAAGTACAATGTTAAGCGCTCTGTAGAATCTTTGTCACCTGGTCCTAGTACAGAGCTACACATTGTCAAGAGGAGTTTGTTTGATTTACCTGATGAAGAACATCGACTGACCAAACGGGAATTAGATCCATTGCAAATTAAAGGGTAAGAATTCTAATGACTTCTGTAAACATTATTTTATCACATGTATTTGTTTTTTATGATACACTTTCATTTTTTCAATTGTTTTAGTTCCATTGTCCATTTAGAAGTGGACAATCGTCAATGCTTCCAGCAATCCACAGAATGCTTTCAGAGCACCAACGAGGCTGCTGCTTTCCTGGGAGCTTTAAAATCTAGTGACAAACTGGACGTCCCCTATACCATCGAAGCTGTTTATAGTGAGTATAGATTGAATTTTGGTAGTCCTCCAGTCTAGGTCTAAATGGCCATTTTCTCACATAGTTCCAGAGGAAGTGCTTTTTGTTGCTCCATTCATGGGCCTAAAGACTAAATTTGCCTTTTAAACTCACATTCTGTTAAACTTAAAGCCCTTATCTTTATGCTCTTTGATTGTGCAGTTATTATGCAGCACTGAACAAAAGCAATTGTAAATCTCTAGCCTAAACAATCAATTCCTCTGTGTGTAAATCCACTGGCTTCAGGCTCCAAAATGGTTAATTGCTTCAAATCAACTGCCCCAGCCCCCATCTCACACAATATAACTGTTTCTTTTTTGTTAGACATGTCTGAGATATACATCTAGACACACACGCGTGCACATGCCTTATTCACAGTGCAAGGGGCTGCTGCAACCTTCACCTCGCTGAATGTAATACCAGGACTTAATGCATCTCTAAGGGTTTAGGTCGGGGGAGTTTATCATTTCAAAATCGTTAGTGAAAAAAGAGAAGGGGGAAAAATTGATCGGGAGTGTGCTAGAAGTTGGGAGTCTTTGTTATCTCGAAAATCCTAATAAATCCTTCGTCTTTACAGCTTAAAGCGTGTGCAGTAATTTGAAGTTCATTAATCCTCCTCCTTTTTTCTCTTAAAGAAGAAATGGTAAAGTTGTCTCTTGGTACTCTGGGTTGAAAAAGGAGAGAGGAGGTTCTCTTCCCCCCCTTTTTATTTTTTTCATCACTGTCCAACCTTTTTTCCTTTTTGATGAAAAGTGGTTAGCAATTCTGATTATTAGTCTATAGATAGAGCTGGCTAGCTTTACGAGCGTGAGCATCATCACTCTCTGCTCCTGTTTCCAACAAAGTGTTAGACTTTGGAGGTGGACCTGTACTTAAGGTTGGACTGCAGCCGGACCCTAGTTTCATCCTGGAGGAATGACCACATTGTCTCTTTTGCCGTCAGGTGGTGTAGACTCAAAGTCATCACAGGACTTTTATGCGATCTACTTGACTCTTGGTGGCATTGGGTTATTGGCCTTCATCGGCGTGGGGATGGTGGCTGCCCGAAAGCGGCGGCACGAGCACGGCCGCTTGTGGCTCCCGGAGGGATTCAAAACTACAGAACCCAGTAAGAAGAAAAGACGTGAACCTCTGGGAGAAGATTCTGTGGGATTAAAGTAAGTTTTGCTCCGTTATTGTGCTGTTTTTAGCTGTAAATGTCTTTGTAAATACGAACTGAAGCTGTTTCTAAAACTTGTGAATGAACAGTTTCATTTTGCTCAAAAGACTGATGGATAATCATTTAGGTAGATGCTAATTGACACGTTGAAAAGGGGTGGGGTATAAGGATACAATCAATGCACTTATTTTGAAGTAGCTTCATCATTTAAGAGGACAGTCTTCGTTTGAACACAATGGAACACAGAATATTTAATTAGCGTTTTGTTTTTGTTTTCTTACAGGCCACTAAAAAACACATCAGATATATCACTCATGGACGACGCGCAAAATGACTGGGGAGAAGATGAGTCATCAGATGTAAAGCGATTCAAGGTACTTTTTAATTTGGGTTTTTGTTTTCCATGTTTTATTGATATTATTATTGTCAGTATTATTACGTTACTTTCTTTATTCAATTGCTGTCAGATGTGATCTATGTCTCAAATATGAAGTTCCAACACAGGACTTCTCTTAGTTAGTGTGCATTTCCCATGAAGGAAATCCTCTGCACCTCTCAAGCATTATTATTCTTACTATGTTATTATTATCATGTTTGTTTTTTTCCTTTAAAAAAGAAACATGCTGATTATGTTATTATAATATTAATTCTATATTTTTATGTCACCATTGTTATTATTATTATTATTTTCATTATATAATTATAGATTAATTACTTTTGAACTCTTGTTTTGATTTCAGCATTTGGATGAGCACGCAATACTAGACACGGATGACCAGACAGACCACCGGCGATGGACCCAGCAGCACCTGGACGCTGCAGATCTACGTATTCCCTCAATTGCTCCAACACCTCCTCAGGGCGAGATCGAGAACGACTGCATGGATGTCAATGTCCGCGGACCAGGTACAGCTTGCCCTGCTTTTACGTCCCTCATTTGTACATGGATTATTGTCATGTACGACTTAATATATACTTTAAACTTATTTACAAACTTTGAAACAAGAGTTAACCACTTTTATAGCATTTATCATAATCATTGTATACACTTTTTGGGTAGGTTGTCTTTTCTATTTCTACTAATAATATTAAATAAAAGTATTACTTAGGGTATGTATAGTGTGTGAACCCTTTTGCAATCTTCTCCATTTTTGATGTAATTTATATTTCTCTGAGATTTTCTTCCGGTGGCTTTTGGGTTTTCCGTGCTCGACCTGAGAGATAAGCCGTTTCTTAGTTTGTGTGCAGTTCCCACGAGTGCACATCTTGAGCATTATGATGTGCAGTGGGTTCTTTTTGATGGTACTGAGACCCCCGATAACCAATTCGCACTTTTGACTTGTGTCAGCTTTCCTTTTGCTGATCTTCTTAATTTTGTTCTCCATAATATTACTTATTGTTTTAATTAGATTTTATCCGTAGATTTATCATTATTATTTTTACTATTATTATTATTATTATTATTACTATTATTGTTATCCTTACTATTAATATTATTATTAGTAGTAGTAGTAGTCGTAGTAGTAGTAGTAGTAATAGTACTATTGTTGTTATTTAAAATCATATTTACTTGCTACTATTTTTTATTATCATTATTATGCTCTTTCCTCTTGAAACTTGTTTTGGGACAACCTTATAAAGAATATTATTATTTTATGTTTATTATTAAACCCTATTTTCCAGGTCAAGACATATTTATTTTTTTCTACTGCCAACATTTAGCCAGCTTCAGACTTTATCCCCCTGCTTCACTTTTCTTTAGAACTGCCGGGGCCTTGATCAGAATCTATTATTGAAAAGTCAGGGCTATAATGATTGAACCCCGGCAAAAGTGTCCAATCCACATTCGATTAGTTTGTCCTGATCTTCAACCCGCTTTGAAGTGCTGCCTTCTCCCCGGGCCAGTGCTGCTGTGGAGCTTACGAACCTTTCCCTTGTTTGTGTATGTGCAGATGGATTCACACCATTGATGATTGCGTCCTGTAGTGGTGGTGGTTTGGAAACAGGCAACAGTGAAGAAGAGGAAGATGCTTCTGCCAATGTCATCAATGACTTCATTTATCAGGGTGCCAACTTACACAACCAGACTGATCGGACGGGTGAAACAGCTCTTCACTTAGCTGCTCGTTACGCTCGCTCTGACGCTGCTAAACGCCTTTTGGAGGCCAGTGCAGATGCCAACATTCAGGACAACATGGGCCGGACGCCTCTCCATGCTGCTGTGGCCGCGGATGCACAGGGAGTCTTCCAGGTACATTTGCAAACATTACAGAGGGCAGGGCAAAACAGTGAATTATTTCAGAGTGTGTTTCTTCGGGTTCCATCTCCGCTTGTGGAACCTTGTTAAGCCGTGTGTAATGCAAATACACCATAATAGCCATAAAAAACATTAAGTTTCCAGAAAAAAACAAACTTGTAAGCACCTTTGCAATACTTATGTTATTCAATTAAAATCTATTAGAACTTGCAATCCTCCAAATAGGGCGATAAAAGTGAGATTTAACTATTCCCATATTAACCCAACCTTTTGTTTGTGATAGTTAGATTGAAATTCCCCAAATTTTGATTTCACGCATCAGTCTTGCGTGAGCCAGGCTAATGTATACAGTATGTGCAATGTACATGTGCACGAACATTATCAGAGCCGTTAAATTAAGGCTTGTTCATAAAACACTTACTTCTGAAACTTAAATAGAAGGAATAATACAAAAAATAATACAATTCATAGAGTTATCTGAAAATGCTATAATGTATCAAGAGAATGAATAGTAAAAAGATAAACTTTTGTTTTATTTCCATGCTAGATTAGGTATAATAAAAAGCTTTCCATTTATGCTTAACACGAATATGGGTCGAAACTTTTCAGGCATAACAATCAGCACTGAAGAACACAAATACTAATTTTAACTGCAAAAACATGCTAAATTAATTATAACGTTGTGTATTTTGGTCAATGTGTTGATTTATTTTATATTATTTAACTACAAATATAATAAATGTTTATAGATATATTACAAATACAATAATTGAAATAATACATTCATAAAATGTTATGGATATCTGGGATCTGTCAGACTAATATCCACTGAATAATCTCCAGTCCCTTTCTCAATCCCCAATTTCTTAAATGATTGGTGTAAATGTTATGTATTTATTTTGTGTAATGTTTTTCTTCAGATTTTGATAAGGAATCGTGCCACAGATCTTGATGCACGTATGCATGATGGAACCACACCCCTCATATTAGCTGCTCGACTTGCTGTGGAGGGCATGGTGGAGGAGCTAATTAACTGTCACGCTGATGTCAACGCCATTGATGACTTTGGTAAGTCAGTGTTTTCATTAACATACTTTACATGCAGACTATATTATGTTTTTGTTTTGTAAATGTATGTATATGTTCTCAATCTAATCCTTTTTGGTGTTCTTAGGCAAATCTGCTCTACACTGGGCTGCTGCTGTGAACAATATTGAGGCTGCAATCGTTCTACTTAAAAATGGGGCCAACAAGGACATGCAAAACAATAAGGTATGGGATAATGGAAATGATATGTCCAAATATCAAGTTTTTCCTTTGAACACATTACTTTAACTCTCTTGCGTCATTCACAGGAAGAAACACCTCTTTTCTTGGCTGCGAGAGAAGGAAGCTATGAAACAGCAAAAGTATTACTCGACCACTTTGCCAACAGAGAAATCACGGACCACATGGACCGATTACCCAGAGACATTGCTCAAGAAAGAATGCATCATGATATTGTGCGTCTGATGGATGAGTACAATCTGGTCCGAAGCCCACAGATGCATGCAGGGTCATTAAGTACCACCCTATCACCGCCATTGTGCTCCCCAAATGGATACTTGGGAAGTATTAAACAGTCACAGCCCCAAGGCACATGCCTGGGGAAAAAGTCACGGAAACCCAGCGTTAAAGGCGTTGGATGCAAAGACGGTAAAGACATGAAGGTGAAAAAGAAGAATTCACAAGATGGAAAGTCAGGCAGCCTCTTGGATAGCTCTGCTGTTTTGTCTCCTGTTGATTCACTCGGGTCGCCTCATGGCTACGTGTCTGATGTGGCCTCACCACCAATGATGACATCTCCTTTCCAGCAGTCACCCTCTGTGTCCCTCATGCAGGGCATGTCTGACCCTCATCTAGCTGTAAACCACATGGTCCTGCCCAGCAAACAAGACCTTGCCAGAATGCAGTTTGACCCTCTTCCTCCTAGGCTCACGCATTTGGCCGTGTCTGGTTCTTCTGGTCAGGCAGCTATGAACGGGCAGTGTGATTGGATTTCTAGAATGCACAGTAGCATGACTCAGGCTGGCCAGTTCAACCCTATCAGAGGAGGCCCTGCTGGTCAAGTGGGATTACATCAAACAGGGCAACATGGGATAATGGGCTCCCATCATAACAACCATGCTACCAGCCTTTCTCAAATGATAAGTTACCAGGGCATCCCCAATGGCCGCTTAGCCCCACCACCACATATGATGCAACAACAAGCTCAGCAAATCCAACAGATGCAAAACCTACAACAAATACAGCAGCAGCAGCAGAGCATCCAGCTTCAGCACCAGAGTTCTAATACAGGCAACAGTCAGAACTTCATAAACAGTGAACTTAGTTCCCCTGAACTACAACCGGGCACAGGAAACTCCAGCATTCCCATTCACACAATCCTACCACAGGACACTCAAATTAGGTCCACTTCTATGAACCAATCAATACCCAGTACCCAGTTTCTCACTCCACCGTCACAGCACAGCTACACCGGCCCTTTGGACAACACCCCAAACCACCAGGTCCAAGTGCCGGACCACCCCTTTCTGACTCCATCTCCTGGATCCCCTGATCAATGGTCAAGTTCTTCTCCACATTCCAATATGTCAGATTGGTCAGAAGGTATTTCAAGTCCACCTACTAGTTTGCCATCTCAGATTGGGCCGACAAGGACAGTTTAAATACAGTCTTTTTCTTGTCAATGCATTTAAATAAATACAGTATGTGGCCAAGTTGTACAAGAGACTGTAGATTTCTTTTACACCTATGTTTTATGTTTTTTTGTTTTTTTTTTACAACAACATATTTAGTTATGTTTAATTATTGTATTATTTATTGTAAATTTTGATTATTTATGTTGTTGCTTGCTTGCGGAAACGTTGAGTGCCAGTGATGTTTATGTACCGTACATGAAAAATTGCTTATTGCTACAATAACTCACTGAAGTTATATGTATATATATATATGTAATTTTTTTTTTATAGCAAAAGCACAGTATACACTGGGTATTTATGTTATTATGGGCCTTTCTGGTTTCATTTAATATTGTCTATCATCTTAAAGGATTAGTTAAGGTGGCTGCATTTTTTTTTTTTCATTAAATATGTAAGGGGAATCCATGTTAACAGAGCAGATATTCACAGTTTTTTTTTTCAAATGGCTCTGAAATCTGCATACATAATATTAATTATGTGTGTGAGCACTTTTTTACGCAGAGAAGGCTATGTTGTACAGTGTACAGCTGATATCAGAAAAAAAGCAGTGGCACAGGTTTTAAAAGTTATTCCTGTGGTGTAGATCAAAAGGCTAATTGGCCACAATGTACCTTGTTTTTCTGAGGAAAAATACTGCTATTGCATTCTTCTACTTGTTTGAGCCTATGGCTGTTCCTTGTATATATTATGTTACAAAATGTATATGTATAAAAGATTTTGTTGAAGAAATCTTATTTGTCATAAACATATAATTTGGAATGTTTTGATATGGCTCATGCAGTACAAAGATAACATTCCTTGTAACTCTTGACATTCAAGTTTAAGAGTAAAAAGGATTTATCTGGAAAAAAATGGGTCTTTTAAATTGTACAGCAACTCTTAACAAACTTTGCTGCTGTTGTCATGTATTTAAAAACAAAGTCTCTGAAAACAATGAATTTGAGTTAGCCTATAATTGTACATTTGTAATTTTATTTTTGGTAATAATAAACATATCTCATTTAGTAGCATTATCTTGTAAATTAAAATAAAACAAGTTTTCTGTTCATATGTCAGCCTATTTATTTTTAAAAGATCAGTGCTGGGGAGTAATACATGTCACAAGAATACAAATAACTAGTCGACTTGCGTTACCTCTTTCTGGGGATACAGAGAACAGATCTAACTTATATTATGTAGTAATGCATAAAAAGATAATATCCCTTCTAACTCTTGACATTCAAGATGATCTAAGAAATAGCTTCAGAGGGAATAATATTAAAACAGGTAATTAATTTAGTGGCGTATATATGGTATACATACATGACGATCAAATTGCAATGCTTTTTATAAGCCTCGTACACAGTCTGCACCATTTTCTGGAGTGCGTTAGTAGGTTTGCACTGCCCTCTACTGGCAGATATGTTGATTACCATATACCACATTATTCATCATGGTCTGTTTGAATAAAAGTAATAAAAATAATAATCACAATAATAATGATAATAATAATAAATTAAATTAAATCAAATACACAGGAATACTAATAAAACCAAACCAAAAAAATGACTTCATCCCATCGCCTTTCATAAAGCTGCCCGAAGATATGCCATGTATTTTCAATGAAAACCTGACGCTTTGGACGCATTTGGTCTGAACCATAGACTGTATATCATAGATCCATGCTGTATATACATCTGAACGCATCATAATGGGAACTACAGTTCCCACAATGCACACGCGGGTTGTAGTTCAAAGTTCAAGCAACGGCAGTATCTGGGAAGGTAAAAATAGTGTTTTAGCTTCCGATGGATCCCTGAGAGTGAGCATCAGCGCATCTGTAGAATAACACGCGTGTTGTCATTGCACACCGCTGGCAGAAGACCACGATCATGACTTTCCACTAATCAGACCATTTTTCTGCCTTTTTGTTGGATGTACATGACGGGAATTCCCTGTGTGCTAACGCTAGCGCGCTAACTACCGCACAGAATCGGCTTCGGGCTATCGTCACTGGGACTCGGTTAGCTTCAAAGACTTCAATAATGTTTGTGCAAGAGGAAAAGATTTTTGCAGGGAAAGTGTTGAAAATACACATCTGCACTATGGACGGTACAGAATGGCTGGAGGAGATCACAGAAGATACCACTGTTGAGAAGCTAAAGGAGAAATGCTTGAAACATGTACGTGTATTTTGTTTTGCACACTCTGACGGTTTACAAAGTACATTACAGAAAGCAGTGTCAATGTCACGTCAGTATTTATAGTAACTGGGTAGACTCCGCTATTAATAATTTAGGAGGTTGGAAGTGTCCCGACTCAAACACTGCACCGTTCCCCCTCACGTCTCATTATATAAAGTAGCCATGTCTATTAGTTCAATAACGTGGATTTTATTGTGCATTCGCTGTCATCGTTAAGCATTCAAATAACTTTTAATGTTGCTTTATAATCTGTAATAATTGTGCTTTATTTAGTATGTACATGGCAGCCTAGAAGATCCCAAAACTCTTACACATCATAAACTGATACATGCTGCTACAGAAAGAGTCCTAATTGACACCAAAACTGTTGCTGACGAAAATCTTAAAGACAAAGGTATGCGAGTTTACTTTTTAAAGGGGTGTTTGGTATTGCTATTAATAATAATGTTTTTTGTTTGTTTGAAGAAGTTCTATTGCTTATTAAGAAGAGACCCCCACCAACTGCCCCAAAGATGGCAGATGTTAGTGCAGAAGAAAAGGTAAACCATTTGAACGTTACAACAAACCTATAGTATCATGTTTTTTATTATTTGTACTCTTTCAGAAAAAACAAGATAATAAGGCACCTGATAAAGATGCAATCCAGAAGGCTACAGCTAATCTTTCAACGCAGCACACTGACCGTACAGTCACCCAGCACAATATCAGAGATGTAGGTGTTTTCTTGCCTGCTTGTCTTATCTAAAAAGAGTATCACTTTAAAGACATTTTTGTGCTCTAGTTTCAGACAGAGCTTCGAAAAATCTTGGTTTCTCTCATTGAAGTAGCTCAAAAACTTCTTGCCCTGAATCCGGACGCCGTTGAACTCTTTAAAAAAGCCAATGGTAAAGTTTAACTATTGAATGATTCCACTCTCTTGAATCTAATCCCATTATATATATATTTATTTTAGCCATGTTGGATGAAGATGAAGAAGATAGAGTTGATGAAATGGCTCTTCAGCAGCTAACAGAGATGGGGTTTGCAGAAAGTAGAGCCATCAAAGCCCTCAGATTGAATCAGTATGTTTTGGATTTCATGGTATGCACACCTCCCTCCTCTCTCGCACATATTTATGATCTTTTATATATTTTTATTCCAGCATGTCTGTGACCCAAGCCATGGAGTGGCTTATTGAGCATGTAGATGACCCCACTGTAGACACACCTCTTCCTGGTCAAGATTCTGCTGCTGCTGGAGCTACCGCTGCTGCCTCCAATGCTTCTTCAGTGTCCGGCTCCAGCCTTCTGCGAAGTCTCTCCAGCCCGTCGAGCACAGAGGAAGTCACCCGTCAGGACGAGCTCACTGAGATCTTCAAAAGAATCAGAAGGAAAAGAGAATTCCGGCCTGACTCAAGAGTGGGTGAATTCTGTCACGTATCCACTGGCAATACACCTTATTGCAACTTATTATTTGCTGCTACACATTTGCACAAACGTAACACTTTTCTTATCTTTTAATTATTTTGTAGTTGAATTCTTTTCTTAAAGTGAATATCGGTTTACTTTTTATAAAAATTCTTTTATAAAAAATAATTCAAATCTTTGCTGTTGGCCTATTCTCCCCCAAAAAATCTTACTGGTTGTGGTTATGCCAAGAGGAGAGACTATATAGAGTATAATATTCTATAAGAATAATGCTTTACAATAGTACAGGGTCATATGGTAATTTGCTAAAAAAATGGTCATGTTTAAAAATGAATGTATTTACGTTACCTTTTAACTTGGAGAATTTCCTAAAGGGTTGAACTTTTTACAAGACAGTGTTGCTTAGCCTACTTTTAATTGTTTTTTTTTTTCTCTTCAATTTCTATAGGCAGTTATTGCACTGATGGAGATGGGTTTTGATGAGAAGGAGGTTATAGACGCACTAAGAGTCAATAACAACCAGCAGGATGCTGCGGTATGTATAGACAAAATGTAGAGATGTATGATGGTGTGAGAGAGTTCACAATGATAATCAGCACAGATGGATTCATGTGATAAAGGCCCCGTCCAAATGTAGCCGGGTATCTGCATCATAAACAAATATATTAAAAAACTCTGGGCTAAATGAAGATTATTAAACTTTGTTTATGCATTTGCGTGTAGACAGAGATTATTGGAGTTTTGCGTTTTCGCACGTCACAATATGTGCTAAAACAACAACAAACAAAACGTGCGACCTCTGATCACTGAAGAAGCATGGATCTTACTGCCTTAAAAAGTGCAGCAGTGAACATCCTCGCTCCACATCAGAGAGCAGCAAAGTGATCACGGGGACTCGCGCTCGAAAACAACCAAAACAGGAGCTAAACCAGGATTAAACCAGGGCTGAGGACGGGAAACACAGTGCTTGTAAACATATGTCTTCATCCTGAGTTTCTACTATTATGACTGTAAAAGAAGTACTGGCATCAGCATTAAAGCTCCGCCCACTTCTGTGTTTTTCCCCAACGCAGGACAGCAGGTCAGAGGACGCACATGTTTGGATATGGGTCGAAACTTTTCAGGCATAACAATCAGCACTGAAGAACACAAATACTAATTTTAACTGCAAAAACATGCTAAATTAATTATAACGTTGTGTATTTTGGTCAATGTGTTGATTTATTTTATATTATTTAACTACAAATATAATAAATGTTTATAGATATATTACAAATACAATAATTGAAATAATACATTCATAAAATGTTATGGATATCTGGGATCTGTCAGACTAATATCCACTGAATAATCTCCAGTCCCTTTCTCAATCCCCAATTTCTTAAATGATTGGTGTAAATGTTATGTATTTATTTTGTGTAATGTTTTTCTTCAGATTTTGATAAGGAATCGTGCCACAGATCTTGATGCACGTATGCATGATGGAACCACACCCCTCATATTAGCTGCTCGACTTGCTGTGGAGGGCATGGTGGAGGAGCTAATTAACTGTCACGCTGATGTCAACGCCATTGATGACTTTGGTAAGTCAGTGTTTTCATTAACATACTTTACATGCAGACTATATTATGTTTTTGTTTTGTAAATGTATGTATATGTTCTCAATCTAATCCTTTTTGGTGTTCTTAGGCAAATCTGCTCTACACTGGGCTGCTGCTGTGAACAATATTGAGGCTGCAATCGTTCTACTTAAAAATGGGGCCAACAAGGACATGCAAAACAATAAGGTATGGGATAATGGAAATGATATGTCCAAATATCAAGTTTTTCCTTTGAACACATTACTTTAACTCTCTTGCGTCATTCACAGGAAGAAACACCTCTTTTCTTGGCTGCGAGAGAAGGAAGCTATGAAACAGCAAAAGTATTACTCGACCACTTTGCCAACAGAGAAATCACGGACCACATGGACCGATTACCCAGAGACATTGCTCAAGAAAGAATGCATCATGATATTGTGCGTCTGATGGATGAGTACAATCTGGTCCGAAGCCCACAGATGCATGCAGGGTCATTAAGTACCACCCTATCACCGCCATTGTGCTCCCCAAATGGATACTTGGGAAGTATTAAACAGTCACAGCCCCAAGGCACATGCCTGGGGAAAAAGTCACGGAAACCCAGCGTTAAAGGCGTTGGATGCAAAGACGGTAAAGACATGAAGGTGAAAAAGAAGAATTCACAAGATGGAAAGTCAGGCAGCCTCTTGGATAGCTCTGCTGTTTTGTCTCCTGTTGATTCACTCGGGTCGCCTCATGGCTACGTGTCTGATGTGGCCTCACCACCAATGATGACATCTCCTTTCCAGCAGTCACCCTCTGTGTCCCTCATGCAGGGCATGTCTGACCCTCATCTAGCTGTAAACCACATGGTCCTGCCCAGCAAACAAGACCTTGCCAGAATGCAGTTTGACCCTCTTCCTCCTAGGCTCACGCATTTGGCCGTGTCTGGTTCTTCTGGTCAGGCAGCTATGAACGGGCAGTGTGATTGGATTTCTAGAATGCACAGTAGCATGACTCAGGCTGGCCAGTTCAACCCTATCAGAGGAGGCCCTGCTGGTCAAGTGGGATTACATCAAACAGGGCAACATGGGATAATGGGCTCCCATCATAACAACCATGCTACCAGCCTTTCTCAAATGATAAGTTACCAGGGCATCCCCAATGGCCGCTTAGCCCCACCACCACATATGATGCAACAACAAGCTCAGCAAATCCAACAGATGCAAAACCTACAACAAATACAGCAGCAGCAGCAGAGCATCCAGCTTCAGCACCAGAGTTCTAATACAGGCAACAGTCAGAACTTCATAAACAGTGAACTTAGTTCCCCTGAACTACAACCGGGCACAGGAAACTCCAGCATTCCCATTCACACAATCCTACCACAGGACACTCAAATTAGGTCCACTTCTATGAACCAATCAATACCCAGTACCCAGTTTCTCACTCCACCGTCACAGCACAGCTACACCGGCCCTTTGGACAACACCCCAAACCACCAGGTCCAAGTGCCGGACCACCCCTTTCTGACTCCATCTCCTGGATCCCCTGATCAATGGTCAAGTTCTTCTCCACATTCCAATATGTCAGATTGGTCAGAAGGTATTTCAAGTCCACCTACTAGTTTGCCATCTCAGATTGGGCCGACAAGGACAGTTTAAATACAGTCTTTTTCTTGTCAATGCATTTAAATAAATACAGTATGTGGCCAAGTTGTACAAGAGACTGTAGATTTCTTTTACACCTATGTTTTATGTTTTTTTGTTTTTTTTTACAACAACATATTTAGTTATGTTTAATTATTGTATTATTTATTGTAAATTTTGATTATTTATGTTGTTGCTTGCTTGCGGAAACGTTGAGTGCCAGTGATGTTTATGTACCGTACATGAAAAATTGCTTATTGCTACAATAACTCACTGAAGTTATATGTATATATATATATGTAATTTTTTTTTTATAGCAAAAGCACAGTATACACTGGGTATTTATGTTATTATGGGCCTTTCTGGTTTCATTTAATATTGTCTATCATCTTAAAGGATTAGTTAAGGTGGCTGCATTTTTTTTTTTTCATTAAATATGTAAGGGGAATCCATGTTAACAGAGCAGATATTCACAGTTTTTTTTTCAAATGGCTCTGAAATCTGCATACATAATATTAATTATGTGTGTGAGCACTTTTTTACGCAGAGAAGGCTATGTTGTACAGTGTACAGCTGATATCAGAAAAAAAGCAGTGGCACAGGTTTTAAAAGTTATTCCTGTGGTGTAGATCAAAAGGCTAATTGGCCACAATGTACCTTGTTTTTCTGAGGAAAAATACTGCTATTGCATTCTTCTACTTGTTTGAGCCTATGGCTGTTCCTTGTATATATTATGTTACAAAATGTATATGTATAAAAGATTTTGTTGAAGAAATCTTATTTGTCATAAACATATAATTTGGAATGTTTTGATATGGCTCATGCAGTACAAAGATAACATTCCTTGTAACTCTTGACATTCAAGTTTAAGAGTAAAAAGGATTTATCTGGAAAAAAATGGGTCTTTTAAATTGTACAGCAACTCTTAACAAACTTTGCTGCTGTTGTCATGTATTTAAAAACAAAGTCTCTGAAAACAATGAATTTGAGTTAGCCTATAATTGTACATTTGTAATTTTATTTTTGGTAATAATAAACATATCTCATTTAGTAGCATTATCTTGTAAATTAAAATAAAACAAGTTTTCTGTTCATATGTCAGCCTATTTATTTTTAAAAGATCAGTGCTGGGGAGTAATACATGTCACAAGAATACAAATAACTAGTCGACTTGCGTTACCTCTTTCTGGGGATACAGAGAACAGATCTAACTTATATTATGTAGTAATGCATAAAAAGATAATATCCCTTCTAACTCTTGACATTCAAGATGATCTAAGAAATAGCTTCAGAGGGAATAATATTAAAACAGGTAATTAATTTAGTGGCGTATATATGGTATACATACATGACGATCAAATTGCAATGCTTTTTATAAGCCTCGTACACAGTCTGCACCATTTTCTGGAGTGCGTTAGTAGGTTTGCACTGCCCTCTACTGGCAGATATGTTGATTACCATATACCACATTATTCATCATGGTCTGTTTGAATAAAAGTAATAAAAATAATAATCACAATAATAATGATAATAATAATAAATTAAATTAAATCAAATACACAGGAATACTAATAAAACCAAACCAAAAAAATGACTTCATCCCATCGCCTTTCATAAAGCTGCCCGAAGATATGCCATGTATTTTCAATGAAAACCTGACGCTTTGGACGCATTTGGTCTGAACCATAGACTGTATATCATAGATCCATGCTGTATATACATCTGAACGCATCATAATGGGAACTACAGTTCCCACAATGCACACGCGGGTTGTAGTTCAAAGTTCAAGCAACGGCAGTATCTGGGAAGGTAAAAATAGTGTTTTAGCTTCCGATGGATCCCTGAGAGTGAGCATCAGCGCATCTGTAGAATAACACGCGTGTTGTCATTGCACACCGCTGGCAGAAGACCACGATCATGACTTTCCACTAATCAGACCATTTTTCTGCCTTTTTGTTGGATGTACATGACGGGAATTCCCTGTGTGCTAACGCTAGCGCGCTAACTACCGCACAGAATCGGCTTCGGGCTATCGTCACTGGGACTCGGTTAGCTTCAAAGACTTCAATAATGTTTGTGCAAGAGGAAAAGATTTTTGCAGGGAAAGTGTTGAAAATACACATCTGCACTATGGACGGTACAGAATGGCTGGGAGGAGATCACAGAAGATACCACTGTTGAGAAGCTAAAGGAGAAATGCTTGAAACATGTACGTGTATTTTGTTTTGCACACTCTGACGGTTTACAAAGTACATTACAGAAAGCAGTGTCAATGTCACGTCAGTATTTATAGTAACTGGGTAGACTCCGCTATTAATAATTTAGGAGGTTGGAAGTGTCCCGACTCAAACACTGCACCGTTCCCCCTCACGTCTCATTATATAAAGTAGCCATGTCTATTAGTTCAATAACGTGGATTTTATTGTGCATTCGCTGTCATCGTTAAGCATTCAAATAACTTTTAATGTTGCTTTATAATCTGTAATAATTGTGCTTTATTTAGTATGTACATGGCAGCCTAGAAGATCCCAAAACTCTTACACATCATAAACTGATACATGCTGCTACAGAAAGAGTCCTAATTGACACCAAAACTGTTGCTGACGAAAATCTTAAAGACAAAGGTATGCGAGTTTACTTTTTAAAGGGGTGTTTGGTATTGCTATTAATAATAATGTTTTTTGTTTGTTTGAAGAAGTTCTATTGCTTATTAAGAAGAGACCCCCACCAACTGCCCCAAAGATGGCAGATGTTAGTGCAGAAGAAAAGGTAAACCATTTGAACGTTACAACAAACCTATAGTATCATGTTTTTTATTATTTGTACTCTTTCAGAAAAAACAAGATAATAAGGCACCTGATAAAGATGCAATCCAGAAGGCTACAGCTAATCTTTCAACGCAGCACACTGACCGTACAGTCACCCAGCACAATATCAGAGATGTAGGTGTTTTCTTGCCTGCTTGTCTTATCTAAAAAGAGTATCACTTTAAAGACATTTTTGTGCTCTAGTTTCAGACAGAGCTTCGAAAAATCTTGGTTTCTCTCATTGAAGTAGCTCAAAAACTTCTTGCCCTGAATCCGGACGCCGTTGAACTCTTTAAAAAAGCCAATGGTAAAGTTTAACTATTGAATGATTCCACTCTCTTGAATCTAATCCCATTATATATATATTTTATTTTAGCCATGTTGGATGAAGATGAAGAAGATAGAGTTGATGAAATGGCTCTTCAGCAGCTAACAGAGATGGGGTTTGCAGAAAGTAGAGCCATCAAAGCCCTCAGATTGAATCAGTATGTTTTGGATTTCATGGTATGCACACCTCCCTCCTCTCTCGCACATATTTATGATCTTTTATATATTTTTATTCCAGCATGTCTGTGACCCAAGCCATGGAGTGGCTTATTGAGCATGTAGATGACCCCACTGTAGACACACCTCTTCCTGGTCAAGATTCTGCTGCTGCTGGAGCTACCGCTGCTGCCTCCAATGCTTCTTCAGTGTCCGGCTCCAGCCTTCTGCGAAGTCTCTCCAGCCCGTCGAGCACAGAGGAAGTCACCCGTCAGGACGAGCTCACTGAGATCTTCAAAAGAATCAGAAGGAAAAGAGAATTCCGGCCTGACTCAAGAGTGGGTGAATTCTGTCACGTATCCACTGGCAATACACCTTATTGCAACTTATTATTTGCTGCTACACATTTGCACAAACGTAACACTTTTCTTATCTTTTAATTATTTTGTAGTTGAATTCTTTTCTTAAAGTGAATATCGGTTTACTTTTTATAAAAATTCTTTTATAAAAAATAATTCAAATCTTTGCTGTTGGCCTATTCTCCCCCAAAAAATCTTACTGGTTGTGGTTATGCCAAGAGGAGAGACTATATAGAGTATAATATTCTATAAGAATAATGCTTTACAATAGTACAGGGTCATATGGTAATTTGCTAAAAAAATGGTCATGTTTAAAAATGAATGTATTTACGTTACCTTTTAACTTGGAGAATTTCCTAAAGGGTTGAACTTTTTACAAGACAGTGTTGCTTAGCCTACTTTTAATTGTTTTTTTTTTCTCTTCAATTTCTATAGGCAGTTATTGCACTGATGGAGATGGGTTTTGATGAGAAGGAGGTTATAGACGCACTAAGAGTCAATAACAACCAGCAGGATGCTGCGGTATGTATAGACAAAATGTAGAGATGTATGATGGTGTGAGAGAGTTCACAATGATAATCAGCACAGATGGATTCATGTGATAAAGGCCCCGTCCAAATGTAGCCGGGTATCTGCATCATAAACAAATATATTAAAAAACTCTGGGCTAAATGAAGATTATTAAACTTTGTTTATGCATTTGCGTGTAGACAGAGATTATTGGAGTTTTGCGTTTTCGCACGTCACAATATGTGCTAAAACAACAACAAACAAAACGTGCGACCTCTGATCACTGAAGAAGCATGGATCTTACTGCCTTAAAAAGTGCAGCAGTGAACATCCTCGCTCCACATCAGAGAGCAGCAAAGTGATCACGGGGACTCGCGCTCGAAAACAACCAAAACAGGAGCTAAACCAGGATTAAACCAGGGCTGAGGACGGGAAACACAGTGCTTGTAAACATATGTCTTCATCCTGAGTTTCTACTATTATGACTGTAAAAGAAGTACTGGCATCAGCATTAAAGCTCCGCCCACTTCTGTGTTTTTCCCCAACGCAGGACAGCAGGTCAGAGGACGCACATGTTTGGAATGTTATGAATGTGTTGAAAATGCAGATGTTCGGTTATGTGTGGATGCAAATTATTTCATAAACGAAGGGGGGGAAAAATTCTGTTTTAAAAATATCCCGGCTACGTGTGGACATGGCCTTTTAGATGTTTATAATTTGGACAAAAATGTTATGTTTTTTATAGTGCGAGTGGTTACTGGGAGACAGAAAACCGTCTCCTGAAGAACTGGACAAAGGCATTGACACCAACAGCCCATTGTTTCAAGCCATTCTAGAGAATCCAGTTGTCCAACTGGGTCTTACAAATCCTAAAACATTGTTAGGTATTGCAATTTGTGAAGTAATAATGTTTTTTATTTACTCGCATGCATGTATATAATTAGACTGTAGAATTGTCCTTTGTGTTTACAGCATTTGAGGACATGTTAGAGAATCCTCTGAACAGCACTCAGTGGATGAATGACCCAGAGACGGGCCCCGTCATGCTTCAAATCTCCAGAATCTTCCAGACGCTGAACCGCACGTAGAACTTCCTGATGACCGTTGCTGTGTGACTGCAGTGTGAATGTGAGAGTGTTTGGATGTTGGGCAGAGGTAGTTAAAGAGATGTAATGCTATCAAATATGTTACACATAATACTATTTATATTACTTGAGACACAAAGAAAATGTAAAGATACACACAATTATATAACAATATTTAAAAAGGAATTGTGTCTTTTTATATTTCATAAGAGCAATTTGTAGTTCAGGCAAACATGGTTTCTTTTATATTTTCTGTCGTAAATTGATATCAAACATCCAATTAATGTTTACACCTAAAACTCTTTTTGTATGTTTTGCAATATTTAAATATCAAATACAAATTGTCTTGTGAAGCTATTACATTTTATTAGTGTGAATGTGAAAAGATTTTTCAATAAGGGTGTTTTTTCTGTCTTATTCAAAAGTAGAGGTAGAGAAGAGGTTATGTTGAGTACAAAGGTTTACACAATACCTCTTTCTGCAATTGACTGAGAGGCATTGTCTGAGGTACTGTAATGAGCCACCTCTCCGTTATTTTAAAATATTTATTTAATGTTTGCCTTTTAGAGGAAATCCGTACTCTACTGTGTCTTAGTGTTTTTACAAAAAAAACTTTACTTGGCCTGTGTGTTTCTTGTTGGTGTACTTTTGAATGTCATAACATGATGTTGTCCTTCTTGAGCACTTGTCCACATCTGTAATATCGCAAGCTGCAATTTTGAGGAAGCAAATCGCCTTCTTCCTCGAATGCTGTAGTGTGAGATGTTTAATGAATCTGAGCCTAATCTAAAGGTGTTTGCCTTTTACCTGGAATGAGTAGTTCCATATTTGTTTCAAAGGAGATTAGCATGCTAGTAAATTATCAAATTGTTTTGGTTAACTTTTGGTTACATGTTTTGGCCATAACAATGAACACTATGCTGTCAAACCAAATCATATAATATCACTGTTAAACTTGCCTTTACTTTGGATCCAACTATTATTTCTTTGTGCAATACAATATATAAAGAAATTGTGTTACCTATCAAGTAATTTATCTGTGTCAGTCGTGTGATTTTAATAATGATCATATAATTACTACTGTGTTTTATCTTTTCAGCCAGAATGCCTGTGCCAAAGAATTGCATATATGTGTGTGTAAGGCCAGAATTGTTTTCTTCTCAGGGAAGGTGAAATAGATAAATTATTTTTGGTCACGGCCTTCAAGTTTTATGTTAAAATTGCAACAAAAATAGCAAACTATACAAAACTTGACTTATGACATTTTTACTCTTAGATGGGACAAAAAGGAAAATAAGCCAATAACTAAACAGTGGCAGGGTTGATAATAGCAAAGTAATGCACTCTAAATAGTATCTTGACTTTTGATTAAACATGCAAATACAAAGTACACAAAGCTGACATGTCAACTGCACATTAGTAGCCACAATTATCCTGATAATCATCTTTTTATGCATCAATGTCTGCAACAAAATATATGCTATGATTATTTTATCAGCATCCCATAGACTCTTTGGGGTTATAGGGTTTGTGGGGTAATTGCTTTTGAAAGTCATGAATAAAGTGTATGAAAGACTTGTATTAATGTTTACGCAGATGGGAAAGCGTGTCAACGCTTATATGAGCACTGTCTTCCTTTTGAAATCCACAATTTTTGACAGTCGGGACTTGTTTTTATGATTATTCCAGGGGTTTCCACTTGTGAAATATCACAAATGTGTAAATTTACGTCATACAGAAGTAGAGTTTGGAAGAGAACTACGCATGCGCAATAGCCCACGTCTAAAGTGTAGCGGTAATTGCATTTCATTGGTGGGTGCGAGCGGTACTTTTCTGGCCCTCGTAACGATTTCAGTGCATAATGATCGGTCCTTAATAATAATAGTTTATTATCGTATTCGTCTTTAAATGTAATGTACGACAGTGTCTGTGCTCATCGGAGTGTGAGCCGAGAAGCTACCGCGGTGGTGCGGACACAGGCCCGGGATTGGCTCTTGTTGCTGGGAGGAGACCACTCGCTCCTTGCTAACATTAGCCTGCTATGATCATGATGCGTTACTGTCGCCGCAGGATTCTTTTCATATCCGGATATAATAAATCAGTGAACAGAAGTTTTCATCTGTAACTTCATAGGGTCGCCTGGAGACCCCCAAAACGTTTGAAGGTAATGTTTGTTGTTGGCTAACATTTCTTAATGGCACTAGCTGCTAACGGTTAGTTAGCTAAATCAGCCGTGTTGTATTTGCGTAACTTTACATAAGAAAACGCATCCCTTTGCATCAGATTTATGTCATTCAAATGTCAACTTTATCACCAAATAAACATAGATTCCTGAAATCAGAGATTGCCGCTATGATTTCAGCAGAGTGTGATGAGCACCCACCTCTTTGGGCCAAAACATGCCCCTGTTTTTAGTCATCTGTGTTGCTCTATTATTGAATTATACTTTTTTCAATGACTTGCAAACCTCTGGGAATATTACCCCAGCAATGTTATAGCATATTCACAATCATATTTTGTAATTGCACTCGTTTTAATTTTCTTGTGCACCCACCTACATTGGTTTAATTCATGTTTTTACTAGATGGACATGGATTTACCTGCTGGAGGCGACAGTTCACGGAGGAAAGTGGACTTACCTGCTTGTGCAGAAGGTGCAATGGAAATTGTACCAATGGAGATGTACGACTCTGCCAGAGCTAAAATAGCGGCCAATTTGCGGTGGCTGTTTGCTAAGGCTTATGGCATTGGTGAGTACTTTAAATTATTTCTGAAACTAAACCCCTACCTACGATCTTGACATGGTTTGGTGTTTTTCCCTGCAAAAACAAAGCTTTTGTTTCCTTTGACTTCAACTAGGGCTGTGCCAAAGATCGATAATTTATAGTAGGCCTATATTTTATCACTACACTCGCACTGACTGGTGAAAAGGGACTTCTTTATTTAGAGCAAAATTGTCAGCATAAGTTCCTCTGCAAACATTGACAAGAAAAACAATACGGCTGCAATACATAATTTCAACCTTTCCTTGACAAAAAATAACATCAAACAATCAAACAATTTAAACTCAATAGATGTAGTACAACAAAACTCTAAGCCATTGGTCTATAGGACGGCAGGAGGATCAATGTCCATAAATCAGCCCGTCCTCATCGTTCCCCTCCTACATTGGCAAGGAAAAATTCATGCAACCGAGAGGTTGTTTTGTGCACCTGCTCAGTAGGAGTTTTCTAAGCTGGACTTGCTTAGGACAATGAAAGTACCATCAATCCTGAATAATTTAAAATGGAATAGTGTGGTATCAGAGGAGTTTCCCACAACTGGTCAAATTGCATTTGCAGGAATCAATTGAATCACCATGTCTGTGACCCAACCATTCTGATTAAAAGTGTATAAAGCATGGAGGTCCTCAATGTTCAGTCCTTTGGGCAAAATTGTTTTAACATGTACAGTATTCTGTTTGCCGATGACGCCAGTCTCTCCTATTCTGGACAAAATCTTGAGCATCTTATAAAAGAAGTGTACAAAAGTTGAGAAAGAACTTAAAACATGGTTTGATTACAATGTGAATAACACAAAAAATAAAGAATAACAAAATAGATATTAATCAAACAGATATAGTAAGGGTGCGTAATATGAGTGTTTTGAGAGTGAACTTTGACGAAAAAACGGATAGGAATACCCTAGTACTATTTAAACTTTTGTGCAAAAATCTGGGGGGGGGTGGTATATAAAACGGCGATCCAACCCCTCTTCTCACTGTCTGCTAAGGAAAGAAATAGGAAGAATGCATTTTGCAGATTATTATTGACCAACTAATTCTTATCAATCACATAATTATATGATTTCTGTACAGCCGTTGTATTTATGTGCAGGGGCCATAAAGCTCAAAACCAGAGAAATTTACTTCAATCTTAGAATAGCTGTTAATTTGCAGCACAATTCTGGTCCAAACAATTTGATACATTTCCAAAATAGCTATATTTTAATTAGTGCTGTCAAACGCAACATTTTTGTTTGTTGTTTAATCACATAGTAATGGTGAGTTAACTCACGACTCAAATCTATTTCAAATCCACTCCAATTGAAGTTAAATGAGATTATCAAATGTAATGTGATTTGCTCACAACCTTTTACTTTTGGGCACAACCAAAATGAGCTGTTAATGAAAGGGAAAAATGTACATATAAAACTGTGGGTTCAGTTCAGAGATTGACACTATGTTTTTGGCTTTGCTCGGTGTCCTCGGTGTTCATCATTATAAATAGCGTCTCTAGGTTGTCCATTCACTGGGATATTTGTTGTTGCAGACCATATTCCTGAGGATCTGAGGGACCCCTTTTACACAGACCAGTATGAGCAAGAGCACATCAAGCCCCCCGTCATTCGGCTGTTGCTGTCCTGTGAGCTCTACTGCCGCGTCTGTACCCTCATCCTGAAGACGGAACAGGCTGCTTCTCTCCAGTCCCACATGTCCGTCATCCAGGCTCTGTCCAGAAAGGGCATTTATGTTGTGGAGAGTGATGACACACCAGTTACAGAGGAGGACTTGGCCAGTATGCCCATCAAAATGGTGAGTAACAATCACTTGTTTAGATTGTAGCAGGAATGGCAGATAGAATGTCTTTTTTGCGACAAATTTCATTAAAGAAAATGTTGTTTATTTCCACCTCTTTGTGTTCCTGTGGGCCTCTGGTGCTGAGATGTGCGGGAGTGTAAACACAGGGCGGTCCACAAAGATGTTAGTGTCAGTACAATACTTTGATTATGATGATGTTGAACTGCAATGGCCGCGCCTCAGACTCTTGAAGCAGAGAAAAGCAGAATGCTACAGCCCTAGCCCCATTAGCGGTTAAGACCCGGTAGCCACCTTGAAACATGAAGTAAAGCTGAAGATCTTGACCTGATCAAGACTGTGCCCAGCGGGTTCGTGCCGGGTCTTGCCCCATTTCTATCATATAACTTGTGCTTGGGTCGGACTCAGGCAGACGCAGTAAAATCAGTCATCATGCTTAAAATGAGACTGCTGCTCTTCGCACAGAATCACATCACCTCAACCTGTGACAAATGTATGCTTATTAATCTAATGCTCCTGTCTCTCAGTGACCCTCGTTCACTCCAATCGCTACGTGAAGAGTAGTTACTCTAAGAGTAGTAGTATCGAGCTTGTATTCAGTTTAAAGCAGCGCTTCTACTGGTAAGTATGTGTGGTGCCCGGGCATGCTCTCCATTTCTCTTTCGTACTTCTTGAAAGGCGAACGCATCTATCGCCATTTACTAATACAATTATAAACACATAGAGAGTTGCATCCCCCTCTATGATAATGTAGAAGTTGAATTAACGCTAACAAAAGTTTAGAGTAGGACTGTCATATCTTCCCCAAGATCCTTCTGTGTCAGTAGCACTTCGCCATTGGCGTGTTGGTGCCCATGCAGTCTGTTTGAGGCAGTGTTGTCGGGTTTGGTTTGGGCCTTAGTTTGCTGTAAGTTTAAGTGTGTTGAGGGACATGTTTCTACCACTGGAAAATATAATGTATGTACATCTCTACCTCACTGTCAATCATTGTGCTCAGCACAAATCATGCAACGCCAGTTCTTGTGATATCAGCATAAATACAAGCGCTGCAAATGCAAGAAACATCCATGAAAGACTGTAGAGGACCAGCATGATAAAAGGCAGAAGACAGGAGACTAGAGTGTGACTTCGACATGGATGGCTTTAACTTAGTAATTGCAACAGCAATTATAACAGCAGTAGATTCGTGAGCTCTTCATGTCAAGTCACACACCTACAACACCTAAATACTGTTAGGGAAGTTTTTCACGTAATGTTTTGCTCTTTTTCAGAGTGCCCATATGCCAATGATCGATGCCCTGATGATGGCCTACACAGTGGAGATGATCAGCATTGAAAAGGTTGTAGCGTCTGTTAAGCGCTTTTCCACCTTTAGTGCCTCCAAAGAGCTGCCCTTTGATCTGGAAGATGCTATGGTTTTTTGGATTAATAAGGTCTGTATTTCTTAATTTCTACAAATGTTGTTGCCCCCTGTTTCCTTTCCTCGTGCTTCATTTAAGAAAAGACAAGCTACAAAACACAAGAGGTCAAGTTGAACTCAACTTGGTGATGTGAAAGGCTTCTTGAGGCAATGAGAGGCATGATGTCACATCCCTATGAATCACTGTTAAACTATTTTCTTTCTGCATGCTGTATTCTTCAGCACAGTGAAAGTTACATTGACGTTTGTAAAACAGTGGATGGAAGACCTGTTCACACCAAAATGCACTGTTTTATTTAGAATCAGTCAGGGCGTTAATTGTTTAGTTTTAAATGTTTCATATTTTGCAAGATGGGGATATTCTACATCTTTTGTGTAGAATAGTTACCACAATATAACATTTTAGAAATTAATTGGAATAACAAAATTTCATTGCAAGAATCAAACTGATTGTTATTCTTGTCATCCCTGAAGTGAGTGAACCCTTGTGCTCTCTTCTCCAGGTGAATACAAAGATGAGGGAAATCTCTGAAAGGGAACACAAAGTAAAGCCCCACCCACTCGAGTCACCTGGTCACCAAAAGGTAATGTTCTTCCCCTTACACCACCATTACCTGGAGCGTACTAGGATATGGCTAGAACTCCTTGTGTGTCATGAAAACAAATGACTGTATGTATGTATTTATGTGGTTGTCTTTTTTCGTCCGATCCAAAAACCTGCTACCAGAGTCACTGGGATTGGATCCAGTCCTTTGCCTGTGACCTCTGAACTTACCGTATTAATATTTTGCTCCTCTTCCTCATCTGTCTCCCTACGTTCCTTTTTCTTATCCCTGCAAACTGGATAGTCTCCCTCCAAATGGTATTGGAAGCTAGTCCCTGTAAGTTTGATGTCAGCCCCCAGTCCATATTTCTACCCATTGCTTGCTTACTCTTGTGTCTATGTGCGCACACTCTCCACACTGGCTCGTTCAGGTGTTTTCCCCCTGGCAGTTATTTCACACCGGTGTAAGGTTATTGTGACTATTGTTATATGCGCTCTCATTTCAAACTAAACTAGGCCATGTGGATTCTGTGTGCGTGTATACTGTACTGTGCTTTCCCTGCTGAGATGATAGGAAATCCATTGCTGCCCTCCATTTAGCTTTGCAGACGCATCCCAGCCCTCTTCCTTTCACTGATCAGCTGCCCTTTTCTGCTGTGTTCATTTGTTCACACTTTTCCAACAATTGGCTCTAATGGTGTCTTTTCTCCATGTCAGCCTGATGTTATGCACGAGCTGGCCTACTGCATGCTGAAGCCAGAGGAGCTCATAGAAGCGGTACAATGTGTAGTTTGGAAGGAGTCTAGAGTGTATCTGTAGTAGTAGTTACCTTTGCTGTTATGTAACAAGTCTTTTTGCGTTGTTCAAGCTCATTAAGAAATATCAATGGTTTTCCTGTTTACACATTATTGCACATTCCTGTTTTCATTTTGACTGCTTTCAGAGGAATTTTAATCATTATTCCAATTATACTAAACTGATCTGGCGCCCATGACAGGGGGGGTGATGTTGTGCAGACTTAATCTTAATCAGAAATATATAAATAATATTGTTCTGACAAAACATCGTAGACTTTTCATAATGAATTACTACTTGTTCTAGATGTGATTTATAGTCGCCCTGTTTTTCCATTTGTTGAAAAAGGCTTTATTCACATTTAGAGGAACAAAACTGAAAAATACAATTGTGAGCTGTTGCATTGCTGTGCTGATTCCTGCTCTCCCCTGGTGGTTAGGTGAGGTATCGCAGAGAACATGGGGCTGGTCGACACTTGCCCTTCTTTCCACCAGTGGAGGATCTCATGAGAGATGTTTGTGATGGAGCTGCTCTTCTTGCTGTAGTTCACTACTACTGCTCAGATCTCATGAAGATTGAAGGTGTTGTATTCCTTCTGTGATTATGTAAATGCTGCACTGTCTTGTCTATTATTAGCATCGTTTGTGTGTTTTGATGTTGACCAGTGGAACTCTATACCGCACGCCAAATTCAGTAACCATGTGCTGTGCTATATTATTGGCACGTGTTGGGCTGCCTCGGCTTCTTCAGACATTTATAGTGAGTTGGGTCATGGAAAAGCATTTGAATCATGCTCTGTCTTTCTGATCAGACATTTGCCTGAAGGAAGTGACCTCCATTGCTGATACTCTCTACAACATTCAGTTGTTGAAAGAGTTTGCCAATGAATATCTCAGCAAAAGTTTTTATTTGACGACAGAGGACATGCTCTACTCTCCACTTGTACTCAAGGTGACATACACGTGTTCTACATCTGACCAATCATTTGCGTCCTTGAGTTATGTTAATGTGATGTTCAATTTCTATACCCAGCACAATGTAATGGTGTTCATTGCTGAACTCTTTTGGTGGTTTGAAACGGTTAAACCAGAGTTTGTCCAACCTCGAGATCTACTAGAGATTAAAGATGGTAAGTCTCGTACATACTGGTTATGGACTTAAATTATGGACTTAAAAAAAAAATCTTTCCTTCAGCACGAACACCTTCTCATCCCAAAGGTGGTCGTCCATCAGTGCCCATTTCTAATGCAACGAAGAGAAGCTTCTTGTCAAGTCCCACAGTCACAGAAAACCAAAGTGGTCCTGAAGTCTGTAACAGGTACTTCCTGCACCCAGAAGACTCTGACTCCCTGTAAGTCTTTCCTCACTTTCATCTTCATTCATCTGCACTGGTAGCAATAGCCTGATGACGACATTATGCTGAACCTCCTTTCCAGTCTTGTGTCCATCTTGTGTTCTGTTCTCGCTTAATGTGTTGATAGTGTTTTCACCCTAACAATGTTTGTCAGTCCTGTTCTCACACATACCGCTCTTCATTAACCCCAAACAGTGCATGTGAGAAGAGCTCCGCTGACTCCCTGACAAACATGCGCTGTTGAGGCCACACAGTACTTTTCACCTGTGGCTAATAAAGCCTATTCAGTGTACAGCGATGGTAGAAGAGAAATCAATTCTTGTTTATAATGAGCCTGTGTGGAGTTGGGAGAATAACTGCATTTAGTCACCTCATAATTTACTTAGTTAAAATATCGTCTTAAAAGACAATGCCATAGCAGTGCTGTTGTTTCACTCCATCAGGCTGCAGGGGTCAATGTGCAATTGTGCATTTAAAGCAATGATGCTCTGAGGTAAATTTGGTCAGTAGCATTCACACCACACCCGCTCTAGGCAGTTAAAATCATCCTAATCAACCTCTTCGTTGCAATAGAGGTAGTCCTTTTGTTGCTGTTGTAAAGAATACTGTATATATCACAAGTCATTTTTGACATTATTATTATGATCTTCTAGTAAAGGAAGTCCATCCTTCAGTCCTTCGCATCCACTCTTACCCCTACGACAGAGGCAACAGAAGCAACAAGAAGATGGAGCAGGTATAAAACAGTATCTCTTTATTTTATCTACTACAGTTCATGTTCAGTGGTGACAAAATAAATAAATTAACAATATCGTTCATATTTCAGGTCTTCGAAACCGTTCCAACTCCTTCACCCATATGGATGGACAAGGTCGCAATTCAGCCACAGGCTGGTCTGACAAGAGGCAGAGGTACTTCTGCTAGTATTAATTGCGTTCTGACCATACGTCGTATATGGGTGCCGTCGTCACCCATAGTGCTTCGTTTTTTTCAGAAGAAGCAGATTAGAGCTAGCTTGAGCATGCTTCATAAAGCCATATTTTCTGTCAGCTAACAAATCAGGAGCAAGGCTAAAGCCAAATCCTGTAATGGAAGGCACCTGATTGGTCAAGTATTGACAATAATATATGGATTTATAAAGATAATATGAAATGAAGACTCCATAAATCATGTAGAGCGTAAAGCTACACATTTGAAGCCTAAAATGAGTCCGGTTAGAGTAAGATGTGTTCAAATACAGTGAAGGCTTCTAGCTTGCTATATACTGTATAATGTTCAATTTATCTTATAGTTGACATGCCAGTATTTTCACACTTTGGAATTTGGACAAGACAAATTTAAGAATCTGAGCGCACGTTTACATTTAGCAATGTTGACATTAGGAAAACACAGGATACATGTTTTTAAAAATGACCACAGCCCATTTTGATTTAAATACATGAAACATATGTTTGGGGGGAAATGTATGTTACTAATACATCTATGTCAGTCATTTTAAACATTTTTCCGTATTAACTTAAATGCATTAATATAAATGGTATCAGGCCTCCCTTTTTAATGTTTGTCTTTTATTGTTCAGGCCTCTGTCGACGCTGAGCCCGTTCTTACTTCACTCAGCCACAGATGGTGACGCAGACAGAGCTTCTGGGGACAGTGTGAGTTTAGCCCGCTCTATAAGTAAAGACAGCCTGGCGTCTAATGTGATGAGTGTCACTCCCAAACATCAGACCTCTCTGCTCCAGACCTCACAGCCACTACTGCGGCGTGTGAATGGTCATGGTGCTGTGGTCAACACTGACATTGAGGAAGAGACTCTGCTGATAAGGACCGACTCCCCTGCCCAACATCTCGAGGCGACACACACATCTGCATCACCAGGGGTGCTGTCCAATTCTGATTCTAAACCTACAACAGATGGATTTTACCTGGAACCTTTAATGCCAGCTGTACTCAAAACGCCAAAGGAGAAATCTGTGCATTTGAACAAGGAGGAGGAGAGTGGCGAGGGGTCGTCTGGTAGGGGGTCTCGCCGAAAAGTGCCCAGCTCTTTAAACAAAACGTTTACACCCCCTGATCCAGAGCAAGAAGAGTTGTCGCAAACATCTCGGGCCAACTCTAGGTCTGGTTCAACTGCAGCGCAAGCCACTGCTGATCCCACAGGAGGGTTCTTCTTGCATTCAGGTTCTGAGGAATCAAAACCTTGTCCGAGCCTGGATGCAGACTTGGAGGATCTCGAAGAGCAGGAGGAAGATTTGGATGAAGCCGCAACTACAACAGATCCCAGGTGGCCAAGGAAAACCTTTCATGAGGAAGAGGAATCGGCCAAGCTTCAGGAGGACATGAATGTGAAGGAGCATGAAGACAAAGACTATGGTGGCAGTGGTCACTCCAGTCCCTGTCACAGCACTCACTCCCAAGCCAGCAGTATGGCCAGTAGCAGTGTTCGCATGACCTCCTTTGCAGAGAGAAAAGCCCAGCAGCAGCGTTTTGGCAGTAACCATGACCTGCGCTCAAGTGCCTCCAGCTCCCAAAGAACAACACCAGATGGGTCAGAATGCAGTGGTCCACTGAGCTCCTCCTGGAGACTTAAGAGGGACCAAAGTCCCTCCTCTCCTCTTGGAGGTTGTGCCCGAACAGCTGATGGGAGCGGGGTAAATATGCTTTCATCTGAGATGGTGCAGCTTCGCATGCAGCTGGAGGAAAAGAGACGTGCTATTGAGCACCAGAAAAAGAAAATGGAAGTATTATCTGCAAGGCAGAGACAGAAGCTGGGAAAAGCCGCTTTCCTCCATATTGTAAAGAAAGGAGCAGGGAAGAGTGACACACTGCCCAATCCACTTAAAGCTGACCTCTCCAAAGATGAGCTCAATGGTCAGAAGGAAAGCATCAGTAAAGATGACTTGTGTGTTGGTGCGTTAACGGGGGAGAAGGTAGAGGATGTTCCGGTGTGTGCCTTAGAATCAGAAAGAAAGACTAACAATGGGAGTTTCTACCTGGAGGAAGAGTTGGACCTGAACGAGTGCAGTCGTTCCATTGAACATCTGAATGATGCCATCAGCAGCATACAGCAGCAGATGATGCAGCTGTCTCTTCAGCAGGAGGTATTAATGAAACAGAATGTACAGTCTCCCCTGGGAGCTTCTCAACTGCCCAACTCCACTGACAAAAGCAGTGACAAAGCCGGGCTCAGCTATCACTTTGCGGAGCACCACAGCACAGCTCCAACACGTAAACCCCCTAAACTCGGCTCGGGACGATCGCGGTCAAAACAGTCAGAACTAAAGGTTGCCAAGGAGAGCAGAGCTTCTGCTAAGCTTCATGGTACTGAGGCACACAGTCACTCTAAGCCACAGACGGGGGGCAGGTCTCCCAGAAATGAACAGCCAGAGGCAATCGAAAGGCCTGTTTCTAGTCATAGTCAAAGTACTTCCTTTCGGCTACACGATGACGCCAACATGCGCATTCCCACCAGAGTGGACCTTAGTGCAGTGAGCATCCCTGATGCATCCTTTGATTACCTGTCAAGAAAGTCTGAGCTCAACTCCTCTGACGGCTCTGGAAAGGAGAACTTCCCCTCTGATGAGGCTCAGCGAAGCAAAGCTTCTCTCATCGAAGTCGACCTGTCGCATTTAAAGGACCCAGAGGAGGAAGGGGCAGAGGAGATCGCCACAGAGGGCGAGCAGAAGTCTGTCCTGGGCTTCTTCTTTAAGGTAACATTTTATTATAAAACCTCTGAAATATTGTTATTCATTTTCTAAGTCCTCTAATCTCTTATGGCTAAAACATGATTCTAAAAATTTTTTTACAAAATAAATAACTGATAGCAAAAATTACATACTTTTAAAAGTTCTGTCTTGTGTTTAGGATGAACAAAAGGCAGAAGACGAGCTGGCCAAAAAGAGGGCGGCTTTCTTACTAAAACAGCAGAAGAAAGCTAAGGAGGCGCAACTTCGCAAACAACAGCTTGAAGCAGAATCAGAACTGAAAAGGGATGAGACCAGGTAATGCAAACTATTTGTTTTTCCTTATTTTTAGTTGTGGCTTTGATAATCTGTTTATTTTACAAACAGACGGAAAGCAGAGGAGGACCGGCAACGTAAGGAGGATGAGAAGAGCCGCAGAGAATTGATCAAACAGGAGTACCTCCGGAGGAAACAAGAAGAGGTTTTTGAGGAGCAAGGCCTTGTGAAGCCCAAGACTCCTAAGCCCAAACAGAAGCACAGGACCAAGGCTGTTCTCAGGGAGGAGTCTAGCGATCATTTCTCAAAGTGCTCTTCCACAGGTATGTTCATGATCTCAAATTCACTTGTATTGCTAACTGTTGCAGTGCATTACTTGAAGATAATTAATTAATGTTTTTTTCCTAGCTGACAACCTGAGCAACGCCCAGTCGGGCTCTAGTCTGTCTCTGGCCTCGGCTGCAACAAATGAGGCTGACAGCGTGAACTCAGGAGGAGCTGGTTCCCAACGGTGAGTTTCTTGGGCTATAGTTTGGATTATTTATGCTTTGAAATTGGATGTGTCCTCATTTATTGCTTGTGTCCAGGTGTGACTCCGTAGAGTCTTTCCCAGGAAGTCGGAATCACAGTCGAGCTGCGGAGCGAGACTGGGATAACGGCTCTACTGCATCTTCAATCACATCCATGGCAGAGTACACAGGCAAGCTTGGCGTCCTCATAAATACCACTTTACTCACTGCATTTTATGCAAGTAACAATTAAGAGAATGCCATGCATTCAATATAGTTTTTTGTTATGTTGTATTGTAGGTCCTAAGTTGTTCAAGGAGCCAAGTGCCAAATCGAATAAACCAATCATCCACAATGCCATATCCCACTGCTGTTTAGCAGGAAAGGTCAACGAACCCCAGAAAAACCAGATCCTTGAGGTCAGTAGAAAGGGTGGGCGAAATAAATTAATGTTGTGTGAATGGGGCTTAACTACTATAAATTAACTATAAATCTCAAGCAGATATGTGCTCACATTTCATTTGACTGCATGGTGTAATCATATGGCTTGCAGAACAATAAACAATGTTGTCTCGCTGGCTGATAGGATTGTGGGACAACCTTGATGCCAGCTGTGCAGGGGCACAAAGGCTAAGAATCTGTCTCAGTTTGAGCCTGTCTCATAGTGGAAATATATTCCCATTGGCCACAGTCTGTGATCTAAAACATCCTAGCTGGAATATGTGAGAAATGAACTTCTGCATTTAAAATTAACTTCTGCATTTAATCTTGTTAGGGCTGCTTACATTAACTTTCATTCTGTGTTTCTATTCTGCTCTAAAAGTATCAACATTGTTCTTTTAATGTAATGGCTTTTATTGCCAACCTCTGGTTTGAATGATCCACAGTATTGAACAGCATTGTACATTTTGAGGATGAAAAAGGAGGATTCTCCAATGATTTGGATGGATATACTGTAAATGGTTGTTTTGTTTTCACCACAGGAGTTGGACAAGTGCGAGTCAAACCACTTGATGATCCTGTTTCGAGATGGAGGCTGTCAGTTCCGGGCGCTCTACTCGTACTTCCCTGACACTGAGGAGATCCAGAAGCTGACAGGCACTGGGCCTAAGAGCATCAGCAAAAAGATGATTGACAAGCTGTACAAGTACAATTCGGACCGCAAACAGTTCACAGTCATCCCTGCCAAGACTGTGTCTGTGAGTGTAGACGCTCTGACCATACACAACCAGTTATGGCAGCCCAAAAGAGGTGCTGTGCCAAAGAAAGGTTCAAAATAGCGAGAGGATCTGTGTAAGCAACAATCATCAAATCTTCACCAGTTTTGTTCCCTGAATAATCTGCTCTGACACCTACTGTCCAAATTCATCTTACTCTTTGTGGGCTGCAGCCTTGTTCACTGCCTCACGGTCATTTGTCAATTGTCATGCAACCGAAGGGGTTGAGGAAGTGTCCCGCTGGTGTTAGCAAAGACGACTAAAAGGAATGGCGGCTCATCTCCGTGCTTCTTTGGGACTACTTTTCTTGACACATTCTGCTCGAGCATGTGCAGGTGGCTCTCATCTCATACGGTGGACATCACTCGTCAGATATGTATTATTTTAGGACTGTTGCAACTGACAACTCTGCTGCAGCATGACAATATTCCTTCTCATGAAGATGCCTTTGAACAAATTGAGGCACTTGTATGTTCAACTAAACCAAGGGACCTGCCTCTGACGCCCTTCAGGATTGTGGGAAAGAAGGCTTTCAATCTTCCTCTGGACCATCACATGTGTCTAATCTGGCCGGTATCGCCTTTTCTGCCTCTTGGGGTCATCTGCTGCTCTGGACTTTTTGTTTCTGGAAAGCTCCTTGTGACATTTCAGCCTTTCACAAATTGTGGTACTATTTATGGCTTTTTAAGTTTAGACGCTTGATCGTGTAGCACTGTAGGTGTATAGAAAAAAGGTCAATGACAATAATTTTATTGCTTTTAAAGATTAAACATTCTTATTTGTATCAAAGTTGTCCAAGAAAGGTCAATGATCTGCTTGGGTGCAAAATGATTATTTTTATTTTTTTATGAACAATTGAATTATGGTAAATCAAAGTTATGCGTTTATGCCATAACTGAAGCCTGATGTTTAGAGCATAGTTTTTTTATATCATCACTGGGCACTTGAATGGCCCTGTTACAAATTGCACTCATCAACACTTGTTTGACGCTTGTGTCATGCAATGTATCCCTCCCTTTAAATGTTGCAGCCTGTCCCATAAACACTAAACTAAAATCAAAGTATCTGATTTTTCACAAAGGATTTTCTGTGTGGAATGGCTGGGGGTTGCCGCGGTACAGTCCCAACATTAAAGAAGTGCTTTTCTTCCACACCGACCATTGCCCTCGAAGTGTTGCACGTGCACTTTACTTTTGTGTTTGCCGGGGATTGAAAATGGGCATGAAATGTAGAGTACACTGCTACTTTATATACTACTGTGGTGTGAGGGGAACCGATCACTACAAAGCTGAAATGGATGTGTAAACTACTGCTGTGTCCAAAAAAAACTACACATTACTTGATGTCTAATTTGCTGCATTTGTTTTGGCGAGGTGCTAGGACTATAAATGTTAACTAAAAGATTGTACTGACAATGGTCGCCATTTTTGTTACACTACAGATTTTTTGCATCCCTGTTTATTTTAACGTTGATCCCATGCCATCTATTTATTTTTAATGAAGGCACTGAATAAATAAGTGAATAAAGTCACATTTTCATTTTTACTTTCTCATCTTTTGGGCTGTTTTCTTTTCAAGCACATTTTTTGTTATGGACTTTTGCATGGTTGCATGTTATTTTAGTTCTATCACAAAGCAATTTCAATTTGGCATGATTCACTCGGAGGGAAAAAACATCTCCCAGACCTCCCATGATGCCTTCTTTACTCGCACTTCACCAACCAACTGGAACATCGGTTAAAACTAGCAACACTTAAATCACCCATGGTAACTTCAGATGCAGGACAAGAAGCATTCTGAAGGCATTCCTGATTCCATTCTCTAATCTCCAGCAACTATGAAAGGTGAGCTCATACAGTATATTCCTCAAACACGGACAACAATTGAAAAGTTGAATTTGATTGCTCTTTTTAAAGGAACGTGTCTTCTGGTTTTGCTTTTGAAATATGTCCATCAAAGTAACTGTTGTGAACTTCTTGAAAATGCGTTATTTTGCACCACTATTCCTTCAGGTAAGTGTTTTTTTATAACCGTAACATATGTAACATTTGATCTTGTTTTAAATACATACGTCATAATGACCCGCCACAGTGATTAAAAATACTGTGTTATAATGTTTTGTGTTTTTAGCAGAATTTTGACTTCTCGTAACTTGACCTGCACTAGACCTTTTTTGACCCTAGCTTAGGGTATTTTTCTTCTATATTCAATCTTCTGTGGCAGGTCATTTTCACAAAGGGTACCACTCGGGTTGAAGTGAGTTGCGACAATCTCTAGCTGGAAAATGTAGCCAACATAAAAAGGATCTAAAAGAATATTCTACATATATTATTCTACATTGCACGATTACAATATAACAATCACACTATAGTTACCAATGTCTAGTACTCATTATGTTGTATGTTTTACGCATTTAAAATCTTCCAACATTTCACATGGGATTTATTCACTCCACAATATAATCTAAGTTCCATGCACTGTTTAACTGGTAGCCACAGCTGCCTTGAGGCATATTTGGAGATGTAACGCTGCCAATCGGAGCTGCCGGCCCTCCCTCCACCATCAGACTAGTACTATGCGACTCATTAATGCCTAGTTTATGTCCTTGAAATGAAATGTTTAAGTTTTATCAACCTGACAATTTCTCCATTTCTTTATCAGAATTTCCTTCTGGTTTGTCCAACTTGTTGATCTCAGTACCGCCGCAGTACCACATCGGTGAAATTAACGCCACAGTATTTCACCATGACAACCTGGGCTCGGTCACATTATTTAATATCAAGAGAGCAGGAATCACAGGGATCGCAGACGGAGCATTCAATTCTTTTCTCGGCCTCAAAAGTCTTGCCTTAGACAAAAACAAACTCACAGACATCAATCACAAGTGGCTTTCGAGACCTGCCACCCTGACTGAACTCGGCATGTCAGAAAATCATATTGAAGTCTTGAATAAAGGTATGTTTGAAGGATTTTCCAATCTCAACAAACTGGATCTACGTTGGAACCAAATTAGCTTTATAGAACCCCAGACTTTCCGTGAACTGCCTGGTCTAGGTTTTCTTGACCTATCCGACAATAATCTAACACAAGTGACTTCAGAAATGTTCAGCCCACTGCACAACACCAACTTCAGTCTCAAAGGAAACCCCTGGAGATGCGCATGTGATGCTCAAGACTTCTACGCCTTCATCATGGGTGGGTTACCAAGCTTTGCATTGGGTCTTACATTTCTATAATCTAACAGTGATGGTTTTAAATGTGTGTTTCTAGACTTGAGAAACAGGTCTTTGCTGCTGCACCCTGAAGATGTCACATGTGCCAGTCCCCCATCTTTGAGAGGGAAACCGGTGTGGAACGTGTCAGAGTGCAGCACACCGTATCCAGTGCCAACAAGTCAGCGTTTTCATTTGACCAAAATGGTTTGATGTTTTGGAAGCTGCTGCTTAAAATAGTTTGTTCTGTAGATTCAGGTCTGAGCACCACTGAAGATCCAAATGTGTCGAGACCTGTGTCGAGACCAGTGTCGGACAAAACAACTCTTCTCCTGAAAACCACATTGCCAACCTCAAGCTCTTTAAATGGTAATTTAATGAATACTTTATTATAATTAGTACAACCATAAACTTCATGTATCCCTTCTGTGAGTAGGCAAAAAGCTATTTAATGATTTCATATTATTTCACACACAAAAAGGTGATAAATATAACCGATGTATTTGGGAGAGTGAGAAAAACTCCATGGTAATGTCATCCATTATTTTTTGTTGCTGGGTATTTTGTATTGTCTTTTGCCACACATGTCTGTATGTAATTATGCTCAATGATACAATAAAAATATTTTTTATTTTTCTAGTACCCACTGGATCACATCGGCCTCCTCCATACTCGACTAACATTGTCCCCATGCTCAGCACGGTCATTGGTAAGTTTATAAATAATGTGTACAGATTTATCTGAGTTCTCTTTGAAGATAGTTTTCAATTCAATATCACCAGTTTTTTATCCATCCAAATGATTGCAGAAATCTCAACAAAAGTGTAGCCTTCATCCAAAGAATTCATATTTTGTATACTGGTATATAATCTCTGGACAGTATACATTGACTGTATCAAAGTGCACTCAGGAGCGCATATGACTGCTTTAAAAAATATTTTATCATACTGACTTTTTTCTGATATACTGATATTTGTTTTAAGTCTGAATAATAGCTTTACACTGATGAAGCCACCCTTTCGCTCCATTCACTTTTGACACAGACAAAAATTCACATAACAAAGTATTGAACTTTATATAGTAATGGAGACTAATACAGACAGTTTTAACACCATCTATACATCTCTGTGTAGTGGCGTTGTGTGTTGCGCTGCTCCTCGTCATCATCTTGGCCCTGGTCTACAGGAGAAAACGCAGCAGGAGAACTGTGGCTCCAAGAGACCAGAACAAACAAATGACCACGGAGACAGACCATCAGAAGGACGACGTCACCGGACACACGTGCTGGGACATCGAGGCGCCTTCCCCAATGTCATTAACTGGAATCCGAGCCAAGTCTGCTAATGCAATCCTTTTCACATCTCCGTTTGCCTCTGCTGGGTTTCACGATCCAGCTTCATTGGGGGTTGGAGAGAATAAAACAGGTGCCGAGGAAGAAGCTCATGGCGTTACAGCAGAATTACACAAAAATCAGTGCGACTCATTGAGCGTTATAGATGTACTACATGAGACTACACCTGTAACTTGTGAACATGTCCCTTATCTCAGTATAGGATCCCAGGTGAAACAATCCGACAACCCAACCTTGGACATAACAAGCCCATTGAAAATGTTAGTAAAGGGTATGCACAGAATCTCCACTTGGCCTCCAACAGCTGTGCAGTGGCAAGAGAGATGCAAAAGAGAAAAGGAACAAGGTGAGATAGACAGTGCTGTAAATGTTTGGGGCAAAGTGGAAGCTAAAGTTCTAAGTGATTTAGATAAAACTGCAAATTTGCCAATTCATTATGAGCAGGATGTCAAAGAGTTAAGGGAGAATGTTACAGGAAGTACAAGACGATCAGAGGGTGAAACTCGATTAGTGAAGGATATGGAAGAAATGGGCAGATTGGATTATGCAGCTAGTTCTACCGTCAGTGACTCTAATGATTTGAGCTCTAGAAGGTCAATGACAAATGCAGAGACATCAGAGAGTGAAGATGGGCTCAAAGATCTACACATGGTAAAGGCTGAAGCAGCATGTTCTGGTGCAGCTGGCAGCAGGAGGGGGGAGAGCAGGGCATCTGACAGTGGGAGCGAGTACGTGTTTGTGGACCTGCTGCATGAGGTGGTCCAGAACCGAGGCCGCTGGACCAGGGACCGGTGGAGGCACATCCGCTCCAGCAGGCAGAGGACAGAGCAGCACCAGCACAGGTGAAGGGGGCTGATGTTTAGAGGTGTATGTTTAAGAGTATAGAAAGGACACGGCTGTACATTTATATTACGGGGTTGATTTACTCTTTTTTTCCTCAGAGAAATAACTTCTGTAGATTGTCCAGAAGAATAAGTCAGTAAAAGTACTGTGAAGAAATCAGACCACTACATGGTGTTTTCTAACCTGGCAAGAGCCAGATTGATGATTGTGTAGAACTCTAACGCGTTCTCCACGATATCAATCTGGGATTTCTCCCGGAGAATCCTTTCGGGGAAAGGAGGGATAAGCAGCAGAATACTTCAAGCTGATTGGGCGAAGTGACGCTGTGTGCCCGCCTACCAAGGTTGCCGTCCAGAAATGCACAAAGCGCCTCTCGCTGTTCATCTTTCAAAAAAGAAATTGGAGATTCTGCTAAAACTGACTTGATAGCCTCAGCTACGCGTCCGTCCTCCTGCGTAGCCATGTTTGTTTTGCTTCGGCCCGGCACTTCTTGCTTTCGTCAAACCCGGATATCCCGCCCTAAACCCCCAGACTGGCGCGTGATTGGCTCGCACACCCAGTGGTTCGACTCGAAAAGTGTAAGCGGGAGCGGTACAAGATGTATTCTCGAGTGTTTGTGAACTCACAAATACCGCGAGAATTCAGCTTGCAGGCAAGGTTAGGTGTTTTCATCTGATTAGAAAACATTTTTAAAGATTGCATACATGAGAGCCATACGAGTCACAATTAGACATTTTAACACTTGAAGACAGAAGAAAATAAATGATTTGCATGTGAAAACTAGTGAAAGAACCAAACTTTGAATTAAGCTCTCAAAACAGTTTCTCTCACGTGGATGTGTTGGGCATTGATGTATTATGATTCTCTCCACTAGGTGGCACTTATCATAGGTATGCGTTGGCACAATATTTCTTTTAATCTAAAATCAAATGATAATTAATCCCTGTTCTTTATACTAATCTTGTGAAATACATAAAAACTAAATAAAAGAATCTGCAATGATCTGATTTGGCTGCATGCAGCATTTATTTCTTCATATTTTGTATGTTGAGAAGTACTTCTTATTAGAAATAGTACAAAATGGATCAGCCATCATTTAAGACAATGATTCAAAAACAAAAATGAGAGGTAAACAGTGGTATGACACCGAGACATGCATGATCCATTTATATAAATACACAGTATCAAATCATGTTTTTATTACAGGCATTTGACCAACTATTGGTTTCTTTAACAGCACGACATCAAGACAGATGTCTATTCAAATGACCCTTCCAGACAAGTAGAATATTAAAACATGCTTTTAGTGTTAACATGCCCAAGTGGTTCTGGAGTATAGGCCTTAACCGTGGAGCTGTGGACCACACGGACTGGATCAGCAAATGAAACCTTTTATGGTCAATCCCACTCCCCCTGCTGTATCAGGACTGTCTCTGAATAAGACCTGTTTGGCCCAAACACTTCAAATAAAACACTTCATAAGTTAACCGGTCCTTTGAAACAAAATCAAACAGAATTGTATGTGCGACGTATGTTCAGCTTCCCATGAATACTTTTTTCTGTGTAGATTCATCTTAAAGGGTCATGCTATAAAGCTCCTCCACAGAGCTTAGTGCAAAAGAGTTCAAGTCCAATTAGAAACAAAGAAAACATGATGGATATATCTGCTTCATATGTACAAAGATCCAACCAAATACGATAGTGGAATAAATAAAGTAGAGCACAAAGTCACACTGTAATAAACCCCAGCGCAGCCCATACATTTTGAGGAGAACGCATCATTTACAGCAGAAACAAAAACATAAAGATAATCATTGTGCAAAATTATACTGCTACAAGTGAAACTGCATCTCTGCATTTCAAAATAACACCATCATCTAGTTTATCATAAATTAAACGCAACATCAGTGAACGATAATTCACTCTAATCTAAGATTAACATCAGGAATCCACAAACAAAGCATTGCACCATTTAAATATGAATACAATGGATATGTGAGAAATTACTTGTGAAATACTCAATGCAATTCAACATTGGCCATAAACGATATTAACATTGATCTGTCATAGTTCTGTTCACATTGTAGTTATAAATAAAAACATAAATAAAACCCACCAGCTTATGAAATATGGCACATAAAGTAGAGATGCAAAATTATTATACCAAATATAAAAAATATTGTAATAATGCTGTGTATATGGCTGATAAAGTGCCACTACAGTGTGTGTTCCCAGAAGACTGCTGTAAAGTTTGTGCTCATAAACAAAAAGGAAATCCTAGTTACTTACATACTGTCTTCAATAAAATGCTTCAACAACGTTACATTCTAAGCATATACCCAGCTCCTTTCCGACGTGACTGATAGAAAAAGTGAGCAGGGTGCTGAAACTTACTCAAAACGTAAGAAACATAAGAAAGGGGCGTTGGTTTGAGTCTGACACACACTCTCTGTCTGAGGCGGTGTGAGGATGAGGCACTCTATGCATCCTTCTGTAGCAGCGCAGTGACCGTCTCCAGCTGAGAGATGCATTCTCTTCCAGCCGTTCCGTAACAGTCACACAAGGCAGGAGGGCTGGGGGGTTCAGAGGTGCGTCTCGTTCCTGGTCTCTGTGCTTAATTCCTGCTGGTACCTGGTCCCGTGCGCCTGCCCCACCTGGGAGTCCTCGGGCATGTGGGCGAGAGGGTCTGGCCGGATGATGTACCTGAGAACAGAGCAGCGTGGTGGGGTGGTGGACAGTATCTCAATGAATGACCAGTTTCATTGAATGTGAAAAGGGGAAATTGGTGGATTTTAATAATATTTGTATATACTCAACAGTTCAATAGACCAATATATCTCTTTGTCCATTACAACAGTGCATTGTAGGACAACGTTGTAATGGGAAAAGATAAATGAAATGGATGGGAATTTCTCTTCAACTCCTTTTCGAGTTTGAATAATGTACAATAATGCAATAGGTAGTTGTAAATTACTACTTTGCTAAAAACATAATCTGTGTAGTGAAAAATTAATGTTTAATGTACTTTTAACTCTATAAATAAATAAATACTCAACTCAAACTTAAGTAAGGACTGTATGTTCAAACAATGATCTTAAAATTATACATCATAGCTATTTTTATTTATTTTTTTACATTTATTAATTATTACTTCATTCAGCTGTTGATTATTTTTTCCAATCTGATTGTCTAAAGATGAATTTCAGACATATGCATAATATCTGTCACATTTAATCGTCCATCAACATTGAATCTTGACCGGCCTTTATTCAGGTTCTGCTCTGTTATTTCTACAAGGTTCTCACAGTCCTTACACGATATCGTTGAGCTCCAGCATGGTGTCGGGCGGTGGGTTTATCAGGACGTAGGAGAGCGTGTTTTGGTGGTCGTTCAGCTCATCTGTGAAGACATGCAAGAAAGCATGAAGACCCGAGCTGCTCTGTGGTTCCCAGCATTACACAAAAAGCTGAAAATGAGCTGTTAAACCACTGCAATGTCACCATGGCCTCAGTCACAACTGCACAGAAAACCCATTGAGTTCGATCAAACTATTTAACTGCTGTGGGGCTGCAGGTTTACATCTGTGTCTGCTTCCTGGTTGTGTGGTGCATACTGTGCTGCTACAATGCTACAAATAAGTAAAAAAAAATGCTTTAACCAATCTGAAAATACCTGAGTACATTTGCACTGTCTCAAAAACGATATTTGCTGAAAGGTTGCAATCATGTGACATCACAACATTTCTAAGAGCCTATTATAGTTTATATCTGTGGTGGAGGGCAGCTGAATGATCTTAGAGCTAATTTCTCTAAGTTCCACATCTTCTTTGTCAGCACATATCAACTGTGGTCTAACTATTTTCATAAAGGTGTCCAGAAGTGGTGATACAATTAATACACATGCATGATGTTAGCCAGTTGAATTTGTGGATCTCTATCAACGGTCTGGGAAAACGCTTGGAAATGTCTTTATGGGAAAGATACATATATATATTAAATGAAACACTTTTCTGGAACATGAATGTAACCTACAAGGCAAGCAAAAATGTCTTGTTTTAGCAGTCTAGAAATATCTCCCTCGCAATGAGTAATAAATTACAACTGCACTTGGAATTAAGGATGAGGTAAAGGTATGTCCCCATAGGAACATTTATCCTCTGCTTTTGTCTCATCCTGCAAAGCCTTTAATGGAGGATTTTACTCATTGTACATGTTTTAGTTGTAGCAGGAACCACAACACCCGGAGGAAACCTAGACAGGGGGAGAACATAAAAATTCCACTCAGAGACCCTGTTTAGGCTGGATGTAAACCCAGGACCTTTTTTCTGAGAGCAAGAGTACTATTACTCTTTCCCCATTGTGAAGATAGTCAATTTGTAATCTATTCACGACAAAATATGCTCAATTCAAGCATTTATGACCTAATATTTGAGCTTTTTTTTGTAGTGATATACGTGGCATGTAATTGTACTTGCGTGTCAAGGTAAAGGTGGGCCTGCATCTCCAACCCACCTGCTTGTGGCTCTGTACAAAGCCAGGATGGGGCGGGAGAGAGAGAGCTACCGGTTACTGATCAGACAGGGCACTGGGTGAACGGTGGGGAGGCCCATGCGCAGCGACAACACGAGCCACATGCACATAGCGTCCGCGTTACCATGGCATTCCCAGTCTCCTGCACATTCCACATAGCGCCGACACTTCTGGACAGGCGAGAGGTTGCCATGCCAACAGACGACACGCAGAACCCGTGGAGAACGACCCCTGACAGACGCCGATACACACACATGCTCCAGCATCCATCAGACCGAGGCGCAGCGGAGCAAAACACATACCACTGTGAGATTGGAAGAAGGCGATGGGCTCTGGTGCAATGCAATTATGTACGTTAATGTTGCTGAATTAAAGCTGGGGTACTTAACTGTCAAAGGTTTTGTTTGCCCCAATAGAGAAGGTCTTGTAAAAGTCAGAGTGAAAAACTAGAATATTTAACACAGTCCCATTTGTGCTCCGAAAAATAGGTACCCTAGATTTAAATTACCCAAAAGCAGAAAGACAAAAACCTAAATATAAAACTGGTTGATTTAGTTTATTTAAAGTTGGGTCATCTAAATGATACAAGTCTGTCCCAAAAGAAAGAGTCTTGTGATAGTAAAAGCAAACCACAACAAAGTACCACAGCTTTAAAAGAGCCAAAATCAGAAAAAAACCTCACTATGGTTTAGTCACGTTATCCTTAAAACAACAACTGTAGCTTTATGCAAACCATAAACTTATAAAAATTGTTTTGTGCAGGTTCGAAACAGAATAATCTTAATGAAAAAAGGCCATCAAATGTAAGGGTCTGTGATTTCAATATATACTGTGTCTCTCTAAAGTACTAATACACTCGCATATGCATATGTTGTCATGATGAAAACCATAAACAAAGATTTAATTTTTATTAAACAAGTAACAGACAACTGTGAAGTGAAATCAGAATTATACATTTTTTTGTATCATTTTTGGTAAAGTATTTATACAGCATATTTCTGAGTGCATTGCCTTTAAAACATTCTTAACTCATTGACTGCCATTGACGTATTTGTCTGAGACTGATTACAGAATGGGCGACAGTAGCTCAGTTGGTAGAGCATTGGCCTTAAGGCCAGAAGGTTGTGGGTTCAATTCCCACCTCTGCACCTTCTCCATCGACTCCCACTGATGACTGCTGTTGTTGTGTCCTTGGGCAAGACACTTAACCCCACTTTGCCCAAAGCCCCCACTGAAAGATCAAGGCTATGCTCACACTCAGAGAGCAGCCGTCCTCCTGTGGACTCACCACCTGCAGAGGATCAGTGAGGGGCTGGTGCTATGAGACTTGGGTGGCATCTCTGACTGCCACCCCCCTGACCCAGAAATGGATTAAAGGGTAGAAAATGGATGGATGGATGGATGGATGATTACAGAATAACAAAACTAGCTAGAAACAAGCTTATTTTTGCTGATGAAAGTAGACAGTACAATCTTTCAGAATCATATTTCACATAGTCATAGCACATAATATTCTGTGGGTCTTTAAAATGAATGAAATCATCAAAAACGTCTGACAGTCAATGAGTTAATGATGCTGGATGTTCACACTTTGCCCTAACGATGAAATAGCGCCCCCTTGTGTGTAATCTACTCTCAGAATAATCCCAGCTGTTCTGTGAGGGCCAGAGCGGTGGGAGGAGTGTATTGGTCCCAAAACGGCATCGTGAGAAGTTTGAAGCATGGTTTCGTTATACAAACATTTCCAAAGCTTTGAACATCTCACAGAGAACCGTTTAATCCATCATCTGGAAAAGGAACGAGTATGACACAACTGCAAATCTACCCAGGCTCTGCTGTCGGCCCAAACTCACAGCTCCGACACTGATCACAGATGCAGATGCCAAAGGAGTAGATTTGTGCATTAACTTGTGAAAATGAGCAAAGTTATGTATCATTTTTCATTCACTTAACAGTTGTCGGTTACTTGTGTGTGAAACTATCTAAATACGATCCGTTTATGGTTGTATTCATGGCAGAATGTGCAAAGGTGTATTCAAGGTGTATTAGTATTTTAGAGAAACACATATATATATATATAGATATAAATATGTTGAACAAAACAGGTTGTGTTTTATGACATGCAAAATCATTCTCAATCAAAATGTTTAAACTTCCATCTACAGACAGAATTGTGTTTTGCTCCACTCGTGAAGTCATACGCCATGGCCCTGCAGGCCTCCCATCATTCGGACATTACATAAAACAGTGCAGACCAAAGAGTATGGAGCGGAAGAGTGAGTCTTTCTCGTTCGGACACACGCACATACTAACACACTCATGCACATAACGGCAGCATGTGGTCAGCCGCTAACCTGCCGGCTTGGTCCCCTCTGAATATGGACGCTCTGAAATGTCCTGCAACTCTGAGCAACGCAAGTCACTGTTAACGTGGGCAACTGCTGATGCATTTATCCAATACCAATATAAGTACAATTTACACATTCATCAATGCTTGTATTTCTTTAGGAAATACATATATATTTAAATCTAAAGGATGCTGGTGAAAGGACAGATCCTTTCTCTACATTAAAAACAGACACAAACTATAAAGAGAACATCATTTACCTTGCAAATATCCTAGATTTACTCGATTCATGACATCACTCGCTGTGAGATTAGAAACGTCTTCTACGAGACGGAAGGGAAGACAGAAGAGGGGAGAAAAAGGGGAGGAAAACAGAATAAGGAAATAATTCCAGCAGCCAGCAAATGCAAACTTTTAAAAGAACTGAAGGAGATGAGATTAGACACATGAAGCAGAACCACCTCCTAATCGGATCTCCAAACTACGGATATTCAAACATGCAGCTCACATGAGGATATAATTCTGCTTCAAGAAAGCTCAAAGATAAACATTTAAATGCAAAAGGAAGAGGGAACAAGACATAGATGCAACAGAGATGACAGGTGAGGTCCTCACGCACAGTGCATCATGTGCTCATTATGACGTGATGGAAGTGACGACAAACAAGGCTCAGTGATAAACGTACATGTAAAGGAGACATACTATGCAAAGTCTTTTTTGACCTTTTAACCAGGTTATGACATTTTTTTTCTTCTGGTTAGGTAACGCCGCCCCATATTCTGTCTCACTCCAATATTAGTATTATGTAATTGAACCACTATGACATCACACTCTTCAACAAATATAAATTCTTCCCCTACCCATCCAGTTATAGGCAGATACTATCTCACATTTTACGGTATCAGAATAATTTTAATGATCAAAGTCAATGCATAATATTTCTCTATAAAACTTTCTTATCCACATAACAAGCTCTGGATGAGATCGAACAGAATGCTGAGACGGCCAATGCTTTAGATTCATGTGTTAAATAAGGCCTCATGCCTTGTGTCCATTATTTATGGCTCTTGTAAATAAAATGAACAGTAAACAAGGCAGCAGATGTTGTCTGGCTGGTAAAACCTACAAAAGGAATATGATTAGAAAACAAGACATCATATACACTCATGCAGTACATCAATTCAAATTCACCTCATTTTATGATTTTCTTTATTTCAAGGCGTTAGAAGCGTATTACTAACCGTGACAGTGAATATAGTAAAAAGTATTCTATCTAAACTAAACTATATCTACAACACTTTGTAATGCAGATTAGTATACATAATCTGATATTAATCAATAGTAAATCTACTATTGAAACTTATAGTATTGATATTAATTTGAGAAAGTATTGCAAAAATGAGACAAAGAAAAAAAAATGAAAAAAAATGCATCAATAAAATAAAATGTGAGATTGTCTGAGCAGCTAAAATCACGAAAAATTGTGGCACTATAAAAAGTGTATTATTATTATAAAAATATAGAACATACTTTAAAATCGTCACGGTGTGATTGAAACTGATATCGCGTATCCAGTCTATCTATAATTAGTATTGAAATTGAATGTGTAATTTTTGAGTCAAATGGAGCGTGCGTGACGTATGGAGCTGCAGCTGTGGCCTGTGCACTGACCGTATCCCACCGTGGGCAGACCCAGGTGCTTCATGCGGTTCTTCACCAGCTCCGACAGCTCCTGCCGCTCCGAGCGCCTGTACAGGTTGTGTCTTTGCTGGGAGATGCGCTCGGCTCGGCTTGCGGGTTTAGCAGTCTTCCTGCTGAGCCTGCGCGCCCACTGCATGCTCTTCTTCCTCAGCAGTGGGTGTTCTGATGGTTCGTTAGCGCTGGAGTTACGATGGCCCGGTCGCTCCTTCCAGCCCTCGCCGTGCTCTCTGGGCTCCTGGCCTGGCTCCATGTTGATAGACATCTGAGACTAGAAACAAGGATTAAACATACTGAGAATACAAAAAATGCAATTAAACCTTGTAAATAGTGAATACATTCAAACTCAAAGCATAAGCAAATGTGTGACGCTGCATTGCATAGAGCAGTGGTTCTCAACTGGGGGGACTGGTCACAAAAACTAGTGGCTCACTTTGCGTAGCATTGTACGACACAAAAGATAATCTAGAAAGAATGACACTTTCTGGGGAAAAAATGCCCAAAAATGATTTAATGGTTGAAGTAATATCAAGGCATGTGTCCATAAAACAAGTTGTTTATAATTCATTTGATCCAAATCCACTGAAAAGTAGATTAATAGTCTTGAAATGCACTTAATTAAATGTAAAACCTATTCGGCCGATTAGTTACAAAGACAAATGTACAAAGACAAACTAGCAAGATTTAGCTTTCTAGTAAAATTCAATACATATCAGACACTAATTCATGAACATATATAGAATGTTAATGTTTTTTTCAGATCAGGGAAAACACTGTTCCCGCTGAGAACCACTGGTATACAATACATTTACAGGCCCTTTTCAACCATTAACAGTTATCACAATAAAATCGAATAAAATGCTAAAATAATCTCATACCTGTGCATAGCTGTCCTTACCCTGACAAAGTGCAGACACACAAACAGGAAAAACAAACACATCACTAAAAGCAGCAGCAGAGTAAGCACAACATTGCAAATAAAGAAACTGGCAAAAAAGAAATCAACAAACCCTTTAAGAAATGCTCTGAAAAAGGGCTACAAAAGCACATGAAGCAATTTTATTCAATTTACTCTTTAGGCGCCAATTTGCAGAATAGGATGTGGTTATGTGGAGATTTTTTTTTTTTTTTGCTGGTAACTATGGTGACTGTTCAAAAGTCAGATTTCTTTCTCTGTTATTCCTGGAACGATCCCCATGAAACTAAAATGCTCAAAAAGTTCCACAACTTTTTTTGGTCAGTACATGTGAACTATGGTCAAATCAATTTCTCATAAATACAACAAAATAATACAAAAATGCATCGAATAAAATGAAGGCAACGGTCTAAATTTGACTTATTCCCATTCCATTTTGGGTTAGACAGGAGAGAACAAAGGAAATCTTATTTATAAATGTTTGTTCATGCACGTACATGTATGTTTGCATTATGTACTGTATAATATTTAAATGCTGAAAAATGACATTAATTGATTCCTGTTTTATAAGCTTGAAATAATAATAAGTGTCTAGAAGAAAAATGTGGTTTGTCAATCTAATCACCATCAAATAATGATCTAGGATTTTCATTCTAAATATTGATTCTTTCCTACAGAGTTGTATTGGCATCTTCCCTTCAACTGAAACAGATTTCTCAAACACAACCTATCCAGGATACTTTCTATACAGCGACCTAGCTTCCAACAAACGTTCCCAAACATGAAAAAAAAATATATATATATACATCTATTGGTTTTTACTTATTGAGTTTTAGGGCTCCACATTTTCTTTTTCACATCAAATGTTTGAAAAGACTAAGGCGCCTAAAGAGTTACCTGCTATGAAAGGAGGTATATCCTGAAGAGAGAGTGTTGTACCTCTGTGGTGGAGAACATGTGTGACTCTGTGCGGTAGATGCCCATGGGGATCTCAGCGCTGGAGGAGCAGAGCTTTTGAAAGAGTCGACCATACGTCCTGATCCACAAATCCTCCTCTGTGATCTTCATCTGCGCAGAGAAGGAAACTCAAAAACTGTGCACTTGACCCTAACTGAAGTCTTATATGACAAACTTACAACGCAGAGATATCCAGAACCAGGCGTAGTGTCCAGACCAAGAAGAAGCCGCGCGATTGCGATCATGTAATCTTTCACAAATGACTGTTGTACGAACAGGGAACAAAATCACAGCAGTCAGAAGTGTTTAATCATTCAATCACACGGAACTGAGACAAATTCTGCTGTATCTTAAGAGTGTGTGGTTGAATGATAATCCTTTTCAGCATTATGAATATTATTACTGCACAAATATTATGATTGGGGCCAAAAAAAATAAAAAATCAGGATTTCTTCCCTCATGAGCTCTGATCTTGATATTAAAAAGAAAAAAAAAGTTTAAAAGTAAATAAAAACTCTGGTATGACAAGGTAAGGTGAAGTAAGGTGCACTTTATTGATCCCCATGGGGAAATTCATCCTCTGCATTTGACCCATCCTGATGCCACTAAGGCTTACGTCAGGAGTAGTGGTCGCCGTAGTAACAGCGCCCGGGAACCCATCTCCAGATGTTGATGCTCTGCTTGGTCAGGACTACAGGAGCTGGAGGAGTTAACCTAGTGTGCATGTTTTTAGTGGTAGGGGAAACCAGAGTACCCCGAGGAAACCTACACAAGCACAGGGAGAACATGCAAACTCCAGTCAGAAAGACTACGTTCCAACCAGGATTCGAACCCAGGACCTTCTTGCTGAGAGGTGAGAGTGCTAGCCACCGTGCCGCCAAACAAACGCATTGACCTGTGCTCAATATTTAATCATGAGAAGATCTGAGTGATCTGTCCTGTTCTCAGTTTTTTCAAGAAAAAAACTTGAATTTAACTTCACTTCAACCCTCACACTTTTACTTGTATCAATTATGAATCTGTTTATTACAATTATTATTAGTGATGTGTCTTTAAGTTTTGGATTCCGGTGGTGATAATCAAAATCAACCAAACTTGAGATGCTGTAATGTTGCGTCACCTGGTAAAGCAGCGTGTCTAACATGCTGATGCTGAAAACTCTTCCAGCAGCAAAAGGCAAGCGAAACATGAAAGCCAGGTTGGAGCCCTTGTCTCGTTCAATCTAAAAGAAAAGAAAAGTCAATGAAGTTTTATCGTTATTTATATAGCGCATTTCATAGATCAAGGACAGTTGTGGGAGCTCACCTTCTCCAGTCGGCCCAGAGCCAGAGAGTAGCAGTCTTTAGCCCTGAACTGCATAAACCTCATGTTGGAGGGATGGGTGAGCTCTGTGATGATGCTGAGGCTGGGGAATAGTCTGAAAGACATAAGAGAAAGAACATTATTATTTAACACTGTCAAGGCAAGGCAAGGCAAGTTTATTTATATAGCACAATTCATACACAAGGCAATTCAAAGTGCTGAACAAAACAAGCAAGCATTAAAATCATAAATAATCACAGAACATTAAAAAGAAAGCTAAAAGTATAAAATCCCTCAGTTGTATGCACAGCTAAACAGAACTGTCTTTAACCTGGTTTTAAACATTGTCAGAGAGGAGGCCTGTCTCACATCTTCAGGAAGACTGTTCCAGATTTTAGCAGCATGAATCTGAAAAGCAGCCTCCCCATGTTTAGTTCTGACTCTGGGCACTAACAGGAGTCCAGTCCCTGTGCTCCTCAGAGTCCGGGCTGGTTCATATGGGACTAACATGTCACTAATATATTTTGGTGCGAGGCCATGGAGAGATTTGTACACAAGCAGAGCTGTTTTAAAGTCTATTCTCTGAGCCACAGGAAGCCAGTGCAGAGACCTGAGGACTGGACTAATGTGGTCGTACTTCCTGATTCTAGTCAGGACTCGAGCTGCTGCATTTTGAATGTACTGCAGCTGTTTTACAGCCTGTTTGGATTGTCAGCATTGGAGAAGAACCACAGTGGTGATTATAGATGCTTAAAGACTCAACAGCCTCACTAGTGCTACTGATGTCTGATCATAAAGATGTATTAATGCAACTCTTCTGGCAGACAGTGACATGTGTTTAAAACAGTACGGCATTTAACTATTGGGGGTTGACCCTGTGCCAGAAAGAAACTGCAGACCACTAAAGCAATGTACATTAAAGATGAGGTGCAGCACATTTGGACTGAAGGGCATTGTGTTTGTGTAAACCACTTATTATCTCTCTGTCTCTCTCTAGATACAGTATATATAGATGTGTAGTTTACATTGCATGGGACAGTATGTAAATCTAGGAGGACAACCATCAACCTCTCAAATCGTATTCGCAGCAATTTTTTCATGTTGTATCTCAGTGGGATTTTGCTGATTTATACATTTTAGGCATCCACCATTGCTAGCCTGTTATGCAAGTATAATAAGACTGAGCTCATCAATACACGAGTAAATTAAATGTCAGTCATTTTCAGCTGGCAGATGCTGAGGGAAAACACTGTACAAAATGATCTAAACGTTCTGAATTCTCATGTTGCTAATGCTGTGTAACAAGATGCTGTGTCGCAACCCCGGACCTCTGCATCACTTGTCATTTTATTCAATATTGTATGTGATTCAATTGATTATTATATGATACTCATTTCATATTGGAGATAGGAAGTTACCTAAACATAGTCTGGACATTGACGATGGTCTTGGCGTCGGCCATGTAGTCCTCCTCCGCACACATGGTGCTCTCCTTGTCCACTACCACCAGGTTGTCTGCGTAGATTATTCCACACTGCAGCAGATTGTCCAAGCTACAACAGTAAACAAAACCTATGTTGAAACTGCGAAATAAAGTACCAGCGAGGAACATATTGTGTGAGTGAGTTATCGCGTGTTGCAGCACATACTTATCAATTGTTCCTTCCATGAAATAAACCATTGGGAAGCAGCAAATGGCCTCCAAGAAGTGGTGCTCCGGTCTGCAGAAATAGAAACACATTTTCTTATTCTGGGATTCCATTCTTAAATAATGCAGCGAGTAGACAAGTTCTGAGGTTATAGCAAAGAAGGTGGACCATTTTTTTACCATCATACCAGCTTCAGTTATAACTTAAAGAACCCTGTATCAATGATAAAATATAAATATAATATCTAATAAAAGGGGAACATACCACAACAACAACATAGCCCTTTTTAACACAGACAGATTTGGAGAATATCATTGTATCTGACTTTTATAGCGCTTTTCTAGACACTTAAATAAGCATCACCTGGCCATATTGAATGGTGACACACACAGACACACACACACACACACACACACAGACACACACACACACACACAGCAACATGTCACTATACAGCTGCAACCGCTCCACTGTGGCACCTGTTGTTCTCCCATCATTGTACTAATCATTCCCTGCCTTGCTTAGCTTCAGAGATCTTCCAGGATTGGGCTTTCACATGCAGATGAATTTACATACAGTATAAGTGTGACTAACAAGTGTTTGTGTTTCTCTCTGTTAGGACAATTGTAAATTAAATCATAACTTCATAAGTTGTGACACAGGTGCAGACTCCAGGGAAAGAAGTTGCTAAAGACTCGCACCCCCATCCATTTTACAAACTATTACACACTTGTTCACATTCTATTCCTCCTCAGTGGATGTTGCGACAGTGAGAACAAACAGGCCCCAGGGTTTGTGGTCTTACTTGTTGTCGAGAAGCAGCACTATGGGGTTGAGCTCCTTCCTGGGCCGATAATAAGCTCTCAGTGGAACTATAAAGTTGTAGAGTCCATTCCCTGCCGTCTCTGCAGAAACTATAATCAGCTTATTCTTGAAGCCGTACGCCTTGGCATCTTCAAAACTATTGTGTGTACAGCCCTGTGTGGAGCAAAAAGAAAAAGGCACATGGGGTTAAAATACTGCAGATGTATGAAAACCAAAAGCTTATATTTATATATACAAAAAAAATGTATGGTGACCTTATCTAAGCGGAGGCAGCAGAATGGAGCCTTTTGTGGCAGGAGGTGACACAGAGTCGGAGAGCTGCCAATGTATGGAGAATTTGGAGGGTAGCCCTTTACAAAACTGAAACACACAGGGAACAAAATCATAAACAAGCACAGCCTTGAAAATACAATTCATAAATTCAGTATCAACTATGATTTTTTTATAATCTCCTTAGCCCATGTTTCCTCTCCTCTCAAACCCCATAGTCCAAATGACAGCTTTATAGAGTTTTGCTATTCCTAATTATTAGTTGTAAATTATTTACTGATCTATTAAGGTTAATTAATGTGAATCCAGTTGCTGGCTCATTTAGTTTAAAACCATTTCCGTGAACACAGACAAATGTGAATTTTACTTGATGAAATTTCTATTCATTTGAGTCTCCTTCACAGTGTGTGCCAGCAGCCATTAGACAAATCATTTTCATGGCGCAGTCAGGCCAGCCATAAAAATAATAGTGAATAGTTAACCCTGATATGAACCCTTTCTACCACGTGGGGGCACTGTGGGGCTTGTTTTCATCTCTCCACTGCAGTTGCCTCCATCACCAAACATTGAGCCTGACCATGGATCTATTATACTAAAAGCCTGACAAGTCTCACGCAGGCAGAAATGCACAATAGCCACAGGGGTAAGGTGAGCGTGCCTATATGGGCTGCAGCTCTGGCAATCTTTAGTTAATGGCTTTGTTAATCTACGGCGTGATAAAAAAACAGCACAGAGGAAAACACGGTGGGAATAAATTAAAGCTTCTGAAAAATTCCTGCCAAAGCAATGCGGAGGTGCTGTTTATAGGCTTCACCTGAGAGGAAAGTGCTGACCTGCCTGTCACGTTTGCTCACATCTATCACCGCCGGAGCACCACCTCCTTAGAGCCTCATGACACGGATTACACACCTATTTCGGAGCCATCCATCTCCTGCTCTCCCACTCCCCTCCGTATCAATCATATGACTACATACAGCGTTCTATGTCTTGTTAATGAAGACAGCATGGCCTCTGTTATTGCAGATAAAATCCATCCATCCATCCATCCATCCATTTTCTTCCCCTTAATCCATTTCTGGGTTGGGGGGGTGGCAGTCAGAGCTGCACCCAATTCACTTAGCACCAGCCCGCAGATAAAATCCATCCACTGGAATCGCCTAGCACCAACCACACAATTTGCTCGATGATTATATCTTGGAAGTGCAACCTAATTGCACTAAAAGTCATTACACGTCAATCAATACATTTAATACGTCCTTACATTGATTTTCAGAGCTGAAATGGGGTATAACATTTTTCATTTCATAAGTAGTGTAAAAGGAGAGTAAAAGGAGTCGGATGATGTGAACAAATCAATGTTGTGTTTTTATCTTATCATAAAACATGTTATCTTTTGCATAGTAAGTAATAGTGCTCAGTAAGCCACTATTGCTTTTAGCGTGCTTTTTCACTTCTCTCTTTCTATTTTTCTATTTGTCTTCTATATGTGACAGAACCAAGCTGTTTTGAAAGCCAGGAACTATACTTAGATAGACTTGAATCAATTTTTTGTGGCGTAAAAAAAAATGGTGGCAATGCTTTGAATGCTGTCAAAGGAACATACTCTGATCCCACCGAGCCCTCCTCGTCTGATTGGTTGGTTTCGTCTTCTGATTGGTCACTGAGGAGGTCGCAAGGGAGCACAGCAGAGGAGTCAGCGATTTCTAAGACCGGTGCGATGCTTGGTCTGCGACTGCCGCCACCGTTTTCAGTGGGCAACATGAGCATTCCTTTCTCTTCGGGAGGGTCTGGGTTCTGCAGGTCTATAGCCACTGTGCCTGCAAATACCACAAACGCACACGTTAATGAGTTTATGCCAATACTACAAGAGCGGCGTGTTGTCAGACAAACAGAAATTGTACGCAGGGATATTTGCTTGTAAGAATAGACAGGGTTCACTTGTATTCTTCAACATTTACAGTAACACGAATGATATAAAACAAACTATGTAACTAAACTATTTCATCCAGGCATGTCAAACTCAGGCCCGTGCGCCAAATCCGGACAGCAAGACCATTGTCCGTGACCCTTGGAATGATTTTCAATTATCTTTATTGCAGTAACTTGAAGAATTGATTGTAAGGGGCGACTGTGGCTGCGTTATACTTAATGTTAAAGCCTATTATCTCACAAAAACAACCATATAATTGTATCAGTTGAATCTAAAATGTTAAATAACATGTAATTAGAAGTTATAGTTACTAAAATAATTGTTAACTTTTTTAACTAGAAGTCCTCATATACATTTCTTTTTGGCCCAGTTGTGGTTGAAACAAAACTAGACAATATCCACACTCATGTCAAATACAGTGAATTTGAACAAAACAACAAAACACTTTTATACTTCTGGGCCCAACTCGCTTTTATGTTTTTGAATTTGGACCTCGACCAAAATGAGTTTGACACCCCCGATGTAATCAATGGTTTTCAACTGAAGTCGGGACACACCATAATATTGATGCCAAGCCACGGCCCAAAAAAGAGCTGAATTTTGCATATGAATAAGGTAAAATACTATAAGTAAATAAGTAAGTATATATGTATAGTATCTTTCACAAAGTGTTGAGGGCATTTTTTACTCCGACTCCACAATGTGAATGAAGAAAGGTCACAATACAAGAAACACATGCTGTAAATGCTTGTAAGAGAAACCGGAGCACCCGAAATGAAATCTACGGATACACAGGGAGAATATGCAAACTCCACACAAACCCCTGTCCAAAGTAATCTAATGCCAACCACTGCTTCTCACCCGCTCTGCTTCCTAATTGGATGGAATAAATCAACATTATTGATACGCAAACTATTATCCTACAAAAAATCTTATTGATGGAGGTTATGTCAAGATATATAAATATCTTGTTCATGAAAAATATTTTGTGATATTACATTGTCACATGATTAAAAATAAGCACTATGTTTAAAATGAAATACAGTTTAAGTTGCAGACATTATATTTAAATCAAGAGCAAAAATTTACTTATGTCAAGATTATATTTTTTCAGTGTAATAGATGTATATACAATGTTTCCCAGGAAAGCCTTGCAACCCACTAGCACTGATCCCATGACCCACCAGTTGAGAACCACTGATGAAACAGACTGATCTATCCTTATATTTACATTTGCAACATTAGGTGTAAATAGAGGCAATGACATGCAAATCCTCATGCAAATATCTAACAGATATTTGGCTCGTGTACAAAGTGAAAATCTTAGTTTGAGAAAAGAAAGCTAATAATAAAAGTAATGTGTCATTCCCAAAACTTACCATATGCAGTGGCCTGATCAACTTTCACAGGTCAAAGAAAAAGCACAACACAATAAAGTCAGCCAAGAAAGTAATGGAAAAGCATGTCTTTACATCATGCATCATTCAGTGAAAACATTCAAGCTGCAAATATTTTGGCATTTCAGTGCGTTTCAAATTAGGCCCAACATCCAAGGTGCTCTTACCCATGCTGGCGATGATGCTGTGCACAGGCAGCCTGGAGGGGGCGTCGTAGATGCTAGAGCCGGGGAGACCCTTGTTGTGCTTTTCTTCCTGTTTGAAAATAAAGGCCGAGTTCTCCTCCTTGGTGATGTTTATGTAGTAGCAGGTGTCAGTGGCGGCCATGATGTGACGCGGGCCGGGATTCAACATGATGCTCTTGTTGTCCTCCCGTTTGACCCCAATTAGACACACGCCGTATCTGCAAAAGGGAGGAAACAACCTTAAGCTTCAATGCCAGCACGACCGACATGTGTAACGCATTTGCCAGATGTTTTAATAAATCACATTTGTACACTAAAACATTCTGCAAATTACCATAAAAGTATTCAGATTACAGCGCTCTGATTGGATAGTAATAATCTGTTACACGGCCCAATCATGGTCCATATTATGTTACAATAATCCTTTTAAATAATTGGGCTGGTGATAAACATTTCAAAGCAGATATACATTTTCAAAGTATTCTCCCCAACACTAAAAATAACAATGTCATTATGTCTTTTTGTGTAATGGCTTATAAGGTTCTTTTAATAAAACAGAATGTAAAGAAGCCGGTGCTGCTTAATTACCTGTTATGTCCTCATATAATGGACTTAGACAATACAAATAGAAGTAACGGAAGACAGGGGGGATTGAAATCAGGAAGCGGGCGCACGGACCATCAACAGAGGGGCCTTGCCACAGTTTGGCTTTGTTTTTTGTCCTGTTCTCCTCTCCCCTCCCCTCTGTATGTGTATCTCCACTCCAGTACCTTGGTCCACCTCCGTCCGTCTCCTGGTCTCCTGTTCACCTGCATTATTTATCCTGATTCATTTTTGTAAATAAACTTCTCATAGTTTTCTGCATTTGAGTCCGACTCCTTCATCCGTGACAGGCCTTTATCTTGGCTCACACTTGGGACTCACTTCTCCAGAGATTACAGCGCTAACAACAGCTGAGACATGTGTGTCACACCATCACGTGTCACCTCTGGTAAAGGCAGGAGTCTACTGCCCGATCAAACTAAGAAATTAAGTTACACTGTCTTATTGAAATAACCTTATAAGCCTTTAACTGAATCAGGTTAGCCATACTTGCAAGTTCAGATGACAGCCATTATGAGAAACGTGTAGTGTTTTTTCATGGACAATGCTAAAATGAATAAACATATTATATAAAAACAAAAAAATACAAATGCATTATAGAGTTTACTTTTTGATTTGAGTTCATATAAAAGCATGCACTTATTTACATCCACTGAAGTAAGGTATCGACTTCAATACTTCTATTTGAACCAGAGTAGACTTTTAGACAAAAACTTTTCCAAAGTTTGTCACTGACCTCTCTCGAAGATAAAAGTTTCACTCACTTTTTATGGGCGTGGAAGGATGCGTAGGTGAAGCTCTTTCCGTCATACTCCCCAAAAAATTTACTGTCCCCCAGAACGATGTGATAGACCTCGTTTCCTGAGCAGCGGCCGTACGTTTTCTGCCACTGCTCCGGAGACATCTGTCCTTCTCTGTGGAGGACGCCAAAAGCACGTTCTTTTAGAGCGCTTCATCAACAGGGGACGCCAAGGCTGCTGTCTGTGAAACAGCAGCGTGATCTTCTGTCTCCGCAGCTGTCGATGTCTACGGTTATGCAAAGGTTTTACTTTTCACTTTTACAATTATGTATTCATTATTTTTATAATTTTTGATTTTTATGGTTTCAATTTCTTAGTGTCTTGTTTTTATTTTGTATAGATATGTAGTATCTCTTTTTTGAACATTTTATTTGATTTTACTGTAAGTTGTAAGTGCAATGAGTGCAGTTATTTGTGTTTACTATTTATGAAATGTGCTAGATAAATAAAGTAAATCGGACAATGATATCTGTTTGTGAGGCGCTTTACTTCTGGGTTACAGGCTTTAGATTATTTGTACTCATTTTTATTTTAATGCATAGTGTATGTCTCTGTTGTCTGTATCGGCCCCTGATGAGCACGTCCCATGGGATAAAGAAAGTATCAGTCTCTCAATCTATCAATCAATCTCTCTCTATGATATTTTCAGAATTCAGAAAGGTAATACTTTGTTGTCTGAAAAAAAGATTATGTAATCTACTAACCTTGTAAGTTTGGATCATAAAAGGGCACAAGCCATTAGTGAGTAGTTAAATATGAAAAGAATTTTGTTAATCTGATTTCAGTGAGATGATCTAAAACACAAACTCTAGCATCGTATTTCTCTGTGGAGAGACTTTACTTTACACCAGCTACAGTTGAAAAGACAGTACATTCTGTCCACACATACAGTACAGGTTTTCATAGTGTTTTGTAACACTTAACCAACAGCTGATGGAACAAAACAAAGCCAACTGTTTTAACTGGACACAACATGATTTAATGATTAGGTGTTTCAACACAGTTTTAACTCATGGTGATCAAAGCACTCTGCTAGATCTATTTTGACAAGAAACTGGTCCCATTTGTACTTATGGACTTACTATTTTGACCCCATTAGGACTGTCTGACAACAGCCCGAATATCATAAAAACAAGTCTGGTGTATTTCTCTGCTCTTCCTCATGTTGCCGCTGCTGTTCACATAAACACAGCTGGAAGCATGAATTTGTGCAACATCAGTAGCTCTGGAGATCAAAAGCCAAATCCCGTCCTCTAAATAAAAATGCATACATTACTATAGGCAGCAGAGCTTATATAACTTGAAATAAGTTGTGGCTTATATTCGAGCAAGTACTCTAAATACTGTTATAACTGACGTGGCTTTCATAGAAAATAGAAAGTTGCAGAAAACCTTTTCCCACTCCTGATCTTGAGACTGGTCATCTTGTTTCAACCATTTGTCTCTAAAACCATTTAAAGAATCAATAGGAAAAGTAGATTAATGGGAAAAATAAAACAACTGGTGTTACAATTACTTAATTGTGAGTTGTTTGGTATTATTGCACTTATTCAACAGATCTTGTATCCATTCTTCCTTTTCATATAAATGCTCCTGTGTTCACGCTTAATTATGGAATATCAAATTTCATTACAACAATAACACAAACACCATCATTTATACATCAACCCTCCTCATAAGCAAAGCAATCTCAAATTATAACCATACACTCTTTGATTTCTACCCAAATATAAATCAGTTCGACCACCATTTAATTAGCAACGTCTCGGAACAGAACGTCTAGTGAATGTGGGTCTATTGTGGAAGCGACAGGAGAGAAATATCTATCACCTCTAGCAGCCTGTGGGGCAAGATTCATGACCGAACATAGAAAAGTGTACCATAAATTGACTGGACACTGACAGGTCCTTGCAGCTGTGATGGTCGACTAAACTACATCAGAAGGTCTGAGGAATGGAATTGGCTATCAACAGAGGGCGCTTCCCAATAGCAATCTGACAGTTTGATTGACTTGGTCCTGAAAAATTATGGACAATTGAGACGTAATGTGCCTTTTTAATATGTAGTCATAATTTTAAATGTTACTGGTGAACTGGAGGATTGATCTAAAATGGTTTATTGATTGAAAAGGGTTCATTGATTACAGAAACAAAAGCTCAAGTCCTTTCACAGTGACATTTTACCAAGGATTTCATTTGTCACTCATTCAATGCTAAATAATTAAATTCTTGCATGTATTTGAATTATGTTCATGGGGTGGGAGTCTACAAGTTTGTACTTCTTTCCCACTCCAAATTGTAAATAGTTGTATTCGTAAATAGGAGTGGGCGATATATTTTGTAAGCGATAATATTGCGAAAGTGCAATTGAAGATAAGCCTTTTCGCATTATTGTCAATTAAACAAACAAAAACAAACTGTCTCTATCTATAGATACCTTGGCAAAAAAACATTGCAGATCATTTTGTGTAAAAATTATTGATTTTAAAGATATTGTGACAATATCGTTATCGGGAGTTGGGGAAAAATATCTATTTTTGCCCATATCGCCAACCCCTATTTGAAAATGCATATTGAAATTGTAATTATACAGCACATGGTGAAATTAGGGCAAATACTGTATATCGATGTTTATATATTTGTATGTATACAGTGTGAGCACAGTCGCCGACATGTACAAAAGGTCATGTAAAATAAGAAATTGCAAATACTAATGAATGTACAATTCCTAGTCAAATTAATAAAATAAATAAATCAATCAATGCTCATGAATAAGTTAAAATGGAATCACTTGTTAATGGTGTAAATAACACAAACAGTGCTTGGAAGATCACTTGATGCATGTTTTCCAGTTTAAGTACAATAAATATAATAATATAGTTTAAACTTTTATTCTGCCCATGTAACCTCATGATGCTAACACATGTACAGCAGTTTACATTTACGTACAGTAGTTGCATCACTGTGACTCTTGGTGACTCTTGGTCTGAACTCCTGTTGATTTTTACTCAGTGAACTTACCTATATTTTCAAAGATTACTCTATATTTTTGATCCCAGGGAGTTACTTGAGATAAATATTATTGAAGATGTTGAAGCTAAAGAAATATATACAGCATTTTGTTAACCTTCCAACATATACAGAATTCTATTTTGTTGAATGGGAGCAGTCAAAATTATGGCTCTGTGAGTTCTAGTAGTTTCATAATTCTGGAAGTCCTCGTGTTAAAGATGGAGTTTTGTGTTTCATAAATAATACATATAGTTTGTACCAACAGAAAGCTAAAAGAAAATGTACAGACAATCCATAATGAAACACAAACAATGTATTTCAGTATGTATCGTCTGTGCTCCAATCATCATAATATCCATAACATAATTTGTATATTGAAATGGATACACTTACTGTCCTCTGGAAGTGTGCACCAGCAGTGTCACGAGCGTGGACGTGGCTGGACAGACACAGTTCAAGGCCAACATGGCGTATTTAAACTCCTCCTCGCACACAACATGATCTGTGACACAAAGTAATTATTTTAACAATAGCTGATGTCATATTGCTATTGTCAAATAATGTCCAAATGCCTTTAAAGGTGATGTCTATAAATATGCATATTTTTGACCATATGACCATAAAGTATCACAAAAACAGTTTTTCAAAAATTATTATATTCTATACAGTCCCTCTCTTTGGCATAAACACCACAAATAAGGTTTGCTGGGGGAGTATAGTTGGGCTTTTTAATTAATTCTGTCCAATCAGGAAGCAGTGGGAGTGAGAATGGGCAGAGCTTACCATGGATGCATTATATTATCTGTATAGGATAAGCTTCACCCACGCTTCTACATCTTGGTCACCTATGGAAATTTTCCCTTAAGGTTCACCTCCAGCAACCTCAAAGGTCGGATTGTGTGGGGATTTTACTCTCCTTTGTCACAATGAACTTAATATTTACAATTTATTTTAATTTCTATTTTATAACCCCACTCTTTAGTGCAACAAACTCATTCTCTCCGCTCTCGTGTCCCCTGTGCACAAGCATGAGAGTAACGTGAGCGAGCGCTGCCATCCACAATCAGTGCTGAGTTGAGAGATGACTAAATATTAGGGCTGTCAAAATTATCGCGTTAATTCACGTTAATTACCGTTTTCATTAACGCGTTAAAAAATAATTAACGCATGTCCGAATGACCCGCCCATTTATAAAAATATCACTCAGAATGCCACAGACACGTGTGTGTGTGTGATGGTGACAGCGGTAACGTGGTCATATAATACACGCATATATATATACACGCACAGGGGCCATTCTCTGATGTTGTGTGACACACGGAGGAGAGGAGACACACTGAAATGCATCCAAACTCGCAAAATTAAAGCTGGGGTACCTATATTTTCCCTTTCATTAACAGCTCTTGTTGGTTGTACCCAAAAGTAGAAGGTTGTGAGCAAGTCAAACAGATTTAAGTACATTTGGTATGAATAACAATGTGTCTTTACATTTGAAAATCTCATTTAACTTCAATTGGAGTGGATTTGAAATAGAATGTTAAAAATGCGATTAATCGTGAGTTAACTCACCACTACTATGCGATTAATCAACTAAAAAAAATTAATCGTTTGACAGCCCTAATAAATATACTTTATGTCATGTTTTGGCCTCCATGGTGCGAGCATGAGCCAATGAGCACAGGCCATTCATTTGAATGGGCAGACATCTTGGGTCTAACTGGTGCTTTCTTTGGAAAAAACAAAAAACTCAAAACATAGCTGACAGTCACTTTTGATTACCTGCAAATTTGACATGGAACTTATTTTCCGGTTTGAGGATTTGAACGTAGAGTGGGCAATTTGGTGCAAAATCTTTGGCAGCCCACGCTCTCAAAATCGTCTGATGATCCTGTAAATAACACAAATGAATCAGTTTATTAGCTGTGTCTTATGAAGCTCAACTTTTTTCGTACTTGAACATCCTCAATCATTAGAAATTGTTCCTTTATAACCACAGCAGTATCTCCCAGTCTCTGAACTAATTTGTAAAGGAAGCAGAGTGTGAATGGAAATTGCTTCATTGAACTCTTTGCGGAATGGCCGGTTCTAAAACACGCAGAGACAGCACCCTGATGCTTCGAATCACATTGTGGAAAATGAGACTCACGGCTGCGTTCCGGTCTTTCTCGTTCCTGCTGCTGAGGATGAAACAGGCCTCTGCATCATCCATCCTGAAAGCAAAACAACGAGAGCGATGAGGCGCTGTGCATGTTATAATGCACTGTGAGAGAAAAAGAGTCTATTTTTGCGTAAAGTAGAAAGGAAAACAACACTGTGTAACTTCTGGAGTTGGAACTTCACTTCTATATTACACAATAGTAGGTTAAAGGCAAACTTATGTATATTCATCACAAAGTTATGGACATAGCATGAGAGACAACACATGTTTTCACAATTTCAAGTCGCCGGACACACCTTTTAAAGAGGATGTAACTGACTGTGCAAAAGAAGTACTGCACTAATTTAGTTTTTCCTGGTATCAACACTTTACTTTACTTTACACCTTTTACTTCTACTTCTTATTTTAAACCCATTTGTATCTGTACTTTCTACTTTCAAAGATGGGTTAGTTACATAGCAGGTGACAATCACACATAACATAAATAAAAAGAAAAAAGTCGACCCAATCCATTGTGGTTTACCCTGCTTTGCTGTGGATAGACAGCTTTGTCAATTTTTAACGGATTTTATCTATTCACTTTACTTAATTACTTAATTTTACTTTAATTATGTTAACAAATCAGACCATGTTCCTTTTATTTATCTTATCTTCAACACATTTACTGGTTCTTTTGCTCAAAGCTGATACGCTGAGTGACGGTGGTTGTCTCTTTTTCATTTTGAAAAGCTGATAAATACATAATAAATATCAGTCCGTGTCGACTAACATTTATACTTGTAAATTCATCACCTGTGAAAACTGGTGATGAATTGTTTTGAGAACAAGGAGTCAGATGCATTACACAGTTTTCTTAATTGGGATATGAAAGTTAGGTACCCCAGCTTTAGTAATGGAAGTATTTTCTATAGTGCTGTCCAACGATTAAAATATTTAATCGCGATTAATCGCATGAATTTCATAGTTAACTCGCGATTAATCGCAAATTAGTCACCCATTTGCGTGCTGTGTGCAATTTCTTTTTTTATTGAAAACAATGTGTAGTGTTATATTACACACTAACATTTGATGCAAAATCATCAATAAATGGATGACAAAATAAATAATTGGTAACAAAAAGCCCCTTCAATGTGTGTGTGTGTGGAGTGTGTGTGTTTATGGGTGTGGGTGTGTGTGTGTGTGTGTATGTGTGGGTATAGACCATAGACTGTATAGAAACATCATGGTGTCATTATGATGATGATAAACAATTTTTTTGTAAATTTGTTCATGTAAATACTCTATAGTGTGTTTCTCTGTTTACTTTCGGTATATCTATGACTGTATACTGTTTGCTTGTATTGCCTTTTTTATTAACCCCTCCCCCCCATCTCCACTTCATGTCCCCCCCCCCCCCCTCCTATGTGCCCTTCTGGGTTTCTTCTTTGGCCCCCTGTATCTCCAACTACATATTGTTTGTAATCTCTGTCTACAATGTATCTTAACTAGTCCTTTTCTTTGTGTCTATTTTTTTTCTGTATATGTGTTTGTCTGCAATAAAAAGTAAAAAAAAAAAAAAAAAAAAAACTTTTTTTTTTTTTTTTTTTTTTTTAATAATTATAAAAAAAATTAATGGCGATAAAAAAATGACGCCGTTAATATTGATTTGCGTTAACGCGTTAATAACGCGATATTTTGGACAGCACTAATTTTCTATTTTTACAGTGCAGTTCAGAGACCAAGGTCACAAAAAGCATTTACATTTGTTTGAACATTTCCAGGAATGGCCTGGAGCGGACCCACAGTCTTCTTGCTGTGAAGCACAAGTGCTAACCCCGTGGCGGGTTAGTGTTAGCGTGCTCCATGCATGCTTTAAAGCTGCACTAACTGACTTTGGGATTTTGAAGCCATGGACTCGCTGGCCTCGCTCTGTCTGCTCCCCTCCCCGCACCCACGAAGCTATCGCCCCCCACACACACACACTGTTGGGACGGAGCTAGCGTCTCCCAATATGGATAATACATGGATAGGGATTTTCACGTGGATGGTGTGACCATAGAACGATAGAACCGGGAAGCGCGGAGGAACGGGACTTTCTTTTGGATGGCTGTTTCACTGTGTAAGCAGTACCCGGTGACGAAGACGAGAAAGCTTCAGGTTAGCTCCTCGGCTTGTTGTGCTAACTCAGCTGTCTGTGCTAACGGACCTGTAGATTTCTCACGAAAGTGGGGGCTAGTGGTCCGCTGTGATTGGTCACAATCTGCGACCCGAAACACATTCTCTTCCTTGTTTCATCAAAACTCGATCTAAAATATAATGTCACGGAAGCACAAATCTGTGCTACTTTTTCTTCAAAAGGAGGTTTATCCAAATGCACTACATGGACATGGATAGCATTTTCGTAATGAATACAAAAATAAAGTCAGTTAGTGCAGCTTTAACAAAGAGATAGGGCAGGCTGACAGCATTATTTATCTCAGAGATGTGTCACCATATATTTACTTTCACATTTTACAACATGAAATTGGTAAAAAATATTGAGGCAAGAAACAGTCATTATAATTTCTTTAGGGCCAAAAGCAATGCATATTTTTCTGCTTTGATACGTTTAGCGTATTTAATCAAATTTCCAATTGTATATACTTTTTGTACTTCTTCTTAAGTACCTAAACCTAATACTGTTGCTACCTCTGCTTTATCAAACAGTATGAGGTCACTGGGCTAACAGTTTGAGTTATCCAGGAGAACATTAGATCCTACTTTATGAGCCATGAGGTGCAAAGCGCTTTCATTCTTTGTAAACTCTGTAAATTATACTGTCAATCGAGCTAATTGGATGTGAACAAGTGCCTGTGGAAGTCTCACTTGGCAATGCTACTCACGCTCAAGTTTTTAAGACTCCTGGCTGCGATTCAAAATTGGATTAACATAAACATCACTTAAAGAGGTTTGCTGCTTTGAAAGTGGAATAGATACTAAGTGGTCAGAGGGTTTGATGTGATCACCCACTTTGCTCTCATCAGGTCCTGGTCTTTGAGTGCGGATCCCTGTAGGTAGATGACCCTCTGCGACCACAGCGGTATTTGCAGGATTCTCCGCACCTGGATGTCGATCTCCGTCGGACACAGAATGACCACATAGTAATCCTGTGACGTACAAACACATGAGATTAAAGAGGCCGAGACAGGAGCAAGTCACTAACCGTTTTTACTAAAGAACTACACTTACATTCTAAAAGGACTAGTTACTTTGCAGAACAAGTTTGAAGTGGGTAGCCATGCTTCTAAGTTCACATAACCATTCAGCTTCAGTTCTACTTGTTGTGTTTATTCTCATATTCTTGTCAGAAAAACATTTGTTGTTTCAAAAGCAATTATTAAATTCAACATGTGGCAAATATCTGAGACATAACTAACTATTCTACAAAAATGCTTACTTTTCTACTTAAGTATACGGGACAGCGTGGGAAAAGAATATCAAATTTAATGATATTTGTAATATTGAGAATGACTAGTCTGTGAAACTAATTTAAATCATAAAATAATTTCATTAATTTCATTTCATTTCATTTCATTTCATTTCATTTATTTCAAACCTGCAGGTGTATACAAACAGAAAAAGTGTATAATAGGTTAATACTTTTATAAACATTTATAAATGTCATTATAGTGACACTAAAATATGATGTGATTTATACGGTGCTACCATTGTGTACTGACCTGTCACTTATGACTAAAATTAAGAGAAAATAACCTAAATTGGGGCCTAAAATGGTCTAAATGACCCAGGACTGGTCAAGTTAGGAATAATCCACAAAAGTCAGCTCAAAAAAATCACTGTGGTGGGTGTTTTGTGTTGGGTCAATTTGACTTACTACGTGTTGTGACAGTACAGAAATAACAATAGACATTCATATATAGTCATTTGTTTTGCCGTGGTGGAAGAGCCCTGACCTGCAGTCTGGGGTGAGCGTAGAATTCGTTGAGGAAATCCATGAGCAGGTCGATCTTCAGAGAACTCACACACAGCACCACATGTTTCTCAGTCTGGGCTCGATGGCGGCTGTAGTTCCCTCCCAGCTTCTGGCTCTCCATCCACAAGTAAGCCAGCTCTTCAAACTACACAGTTTTCAACACAAGCATAAACAATGAAAAATAGATCAAGATGAGGATGCATAAAAGAGAAAGTTTGAAGTAAAAAATCGCTGAGGGCATAGTTTGTAAACACCGGGGGTTCTTTTCTGTTCCTCGCTCAATTAGCTTCACAGAGAAACATGCACATCCTCCCCGCAGAGATTGAAGTGAAGAATATGAAGGGAAAGTGGAAACATAGGCAATATTTTCCATTTTATGCTTATTATTGAGATGATTGAAAATAAGTATTAAGTTAACCCTTTAGGCACCGCAGATCCATGAGCTTCTGTATCTAGGACGCTTTCTATGCAGCATCTTGGCTCCCCATAATGTTTCCCATTTTCTTACTATTTTCTCATCTGTTTCTTGTATTTATTTACGTTATTGATTTTAGCAGTTCTCTGTCTCTCATAAAGTTTCAAGGCTCCACTGTTGGTCTGTTTTTGCACTGTTTTGTTGATAGAAAAACTCATCAAACTATTACTGTCATTATTTCTCTATGGAACTGCGAAGAAGGTGGAGCTCAGGGACACAATTATTATAAAAGATTGAAAACTTGGTTGGGGCTGATGTGAGGAATAATGACTACAGAACCTACATTGATATTGAAACTTTTAAAACGCATGAAACGGAATTTGATAGTAGTAACCAGATTATGTTACTTTTCATATTCGATTAGTTCTCAGAGGCTGAAAGGCCAGTGAGTATGAGATTTGAAGTGAGGCTGAAGTGAGGCCAATGCACCTTCAGAGCTGGTTAAATTACCTGCAGTGGAAGTACCACGAGGGCCACACAGATGAGGATGACCACCAGCAGCTGTGACGGCCAGATCTGAGGCGTGACGTCTCCATAGCCCACAGTCGAGAAGGTGACGATGCAGAAATAAAAGGAATCGAAAAGGGTAAGGTTCTTTCCAGATCTTTCCAAATGTTGAATCCCACAAGCTCTGCAGCAAAACAACATTTCCAGTCAGCAGCAGTCTCAGGAATAAGCGCTATGATTTTGGACACAGGTCAGATTCAATTGATTCCAAATGAAAAGGACTAACGTTAATGCGGTTTAGATTTCCTTGGCATTTCAAGCCAGACTATTGATTTTGGTGTCTTTTTCACTCCACTGGAAGTGTTAATTAATTTGAAGAAAACAACAAGACTGTAATCAAATGAATGGACGAGGAGTGGATTGGGAAATGAATGAAGCACTTGAGCCATGTGTAAATGTCAATAATACTGTTTGGGGTTTAACTGGTTTGGGTTACTATATAGAGTTCTGTTTGTTGTTCAGCCATTAGCAATCGGCTGATCACGAAAGCGATTGCAAAAAACCCGGGAGTAGATTCCGGGACATTTTAGGAACATTTGCAGAGGATCAAATTATGGATTTAGGTTTGGTTTATGTTTGGGTCACTCACCGCTGATGTTCAGAATTCTTTGCTCAGTTTTCATGCAGTTCGAGAGAGTTCTAGTTTGGGAGTTGCTAGCTTAACTGTTACTAGCTTAACTGTTGCTAGCCTAACTGTTACTCGCATAGCCACGGGAAAGCCTTTGGGAACTATTTTATTTGCTGTCATTAATATTTGCTGTCATTAAATAAACCTTTTGGCATTCCTTAGAGTGGACTGAAGTTTATTTTGTGTGTTCTGTTGGAAGAAAGCCGTATAAAAAGCGGGATAATGTATAGTACACAGGTCATTATCGGAGAATAAGTACTGACAGGGCCATTTATTCAAATAATACGCTGCTCCAGAGTTAAACATAATTTACGTGCAAAAAACATCCTTTTTCCAAGTGTTTGGGGGTGTTAAGTTAACAAAGGCATTATCTATTATGACATAAACAGCTAAAATTAGAATATCATTCAATATATAATCCAGACTCATTACAACGTGACAAATGCCAAGCCTTTGTTTGTAATAATGTTGATGATTATGGCTTGTGCATTTTCAAAATATTAATCAATATTTTTTTTTTATAACCAATTATCAATAACAAAGGATTTATAAATCTAACTTTTGTTATATATTAGTTTCACATTGTAAGTTGAATAAAAGTAGATGGACTTTTTTCCAAGTTCCAACTGTACATGATAATCTGTAATAATCTGTACAATATCCCCCAAAAAAATCGGCATCTGTATTTGCCCCAAAACGTCTCCAAAAAATCTCCTGATTACAACCTCAGCCTTCACACTGCAAACCATCCATCATGTATCTTGCCAACCCTTCCGCCCCTCGCATTAAATTCCTTCCCCTTTTATAATAATTCTTTACATCTCAAGCAGCATGACGCCTATGACCCATGCCCAGCGGATGACAGTGAGGTTAGTGAGATCACATTACACTTACCCAGTGAAAACCAGACAGAGTAAAGTGCAGATGAGGATGAACACTTGGTTAAACATGGCCGAGTGTGTCCTCTGGATGGCACGGTGGAAGTCATTCTGCACATGGAGAAGCTATGAATAATTATATTAGAAGAACAAAGCCAGAAAATGTACTTTAGATATAGTTATATGAAATGATCAACAATATTATTCAGGTATAGAAAACAACTTTTGTCAACTGAGAGTTGTCTTTATATGTGAACACAACCAGGATTTCTGTCTTGTGAAAAAGGTGTTGGTTATAGATTTGTTGTTGACCATACTCCTTAATCCGATATTATGGTACCAGCTGGATTCGTCTGAATATCTGGCAACCTGAGTCAGGGAGAGTGCAGTACCACTTTTGGCCAGATTTTTAACATACTGCTCCTTTAATGGCACTAAGATGCATTTATGTACAAACTTGACTTCCCCAACATCTTGTCCCAGTTTTATTTCTACATTTTTTGTCTATTTTTTTTAACCTGAATTTTGATTAAACTATCATACAATTTGCATTCCTGCATTTTGGGTGTCGAGCAATGACTCTCTGAGCTCTTTATAACTAATACGCAAAAGATTTGTTCTTATAAAATGTATTCCCAGCACTTTACTTGGCACAAACCCAATGTGTTATCAATGGAGGGTGGGGAGTTAGGGACCCCAGCTTTATATTACAGCTGAACCAGTGCTATTGACTGTGGTAAATGGATGAGCTGGTGGTCATTTAATCTGTCCTTTTCCACTTGCTCTAGTGGACTCATTTGCAGTTGACTCGTGTTACTGTCCAGCCCTCCACAATGGCTTCCTCTCGGCCCTGGCCTGAGTCTGCTCCATCTGTTCAAGTCCAGCTCCACACACGCTGCTATGTGTCACTGCGTCTGTACCACGCTGAGCCGACACGCAACATTTACACCTGCTGAAGCTTTTTATGCATATTCCTCAAGAGATCTCAGAGGGGGAGTGGATGTTGTGTTCAGTCTGCTGTGAAATTAACCACTAATTAAGTAATATTCATGTACTCGTAGTGCGGTGCTGTGTCTTTGATACATACAAGCATGTTCTCCAGGGCTCCTTTGGCAAGCCAACAGTTAAGAAAAACAGGGACAAATATATTTCTCAATGGAGCCCAGAATATCTGAAAAAACACGCCAGATAAGAGTGAGCATGTGGCGGTTAAAGCAGTGGTACAAATGAACAAACACACGCCTCAACAATAGTTTAAAAGCACTTACTGTGATTATAAATGGTACAGAATTAATCATCTCCAATATGAAGGACATCTGAAAAATCTGCTCCCAGATGTTTCCCTATTGAAAAGACACAAAAGAGAGATAGTCAGGGTTGCTCTAGAATTGTTAAATATGTTATATAGTTACTGAGATAAAAGTGTGCTGCATTTGTAAAGTCAACTGTAACTTGCAACTTGTATGTACTGTAATTATCTTGTTTTCTTCATTACAAAGATTTTAAATAGTGTGAGCAAGACTTATATTGCAGACCTATGGACCAATGGCACATCATAGTTTTATTATTAAATTTCCTGCGTTCTAATTGTTTGATTCCCTAATCTGCTGTTGGCGAATCAAACATTTTGCAAGTGATCAGAGATGACAACCGTTGTGAAGTAGGGCTATCCAAAAATAAATGTATTTGATTAGTAACTACTAATACTGTATATCACACAAATACTTTTGTGATGAGTTACTTCAATAAGGACTATATTACAGTACATAGTTACTGTTGCAACTAAAGGTTATGGATGTTTTCAACTACGTAACCCTACTTAGCCCTAAACCTAACTCTTTCAACGACCCACCTCCGGCTGTGCAGTGAATGTGAACCTGAGGACCCACATTGTCCCTTTGGGCTGTGTCGTTACCAGGCAATTGCGTTGGATCCCTGACAGCGCAAATCTTGGTTATAAACTATTAAAACATTTTGGAAAAGTTCTTTTTCTCTGTAGAGAGTAGACAACTAACAACTAAGGTGGTGATAAACCTCTGGGGAAGTCTCCTGAGACGACCCAGGACCCTAGAGGGGTCATGTCTCTCAGAGGGCACGGTCACATAGATTCAGTTTAGGTTCAGTCTATGTGACTTCTGGGCATTTGTACTTTTGTAGCCTCCCTAATAATTTAGAGAGTATTCAAACTGTGTTTATTTTAACAAACATGGAACATTAACATCAGTGTGTACTTATTTGCAAGCATAAATCCTCAAACTGCATTTGCTTTTTAAAAAGGAATCACACATGATTAGCATATAAAGTGCAAGAGACAACAAAATGAATGAGCTCGAGAAGATGTTGCATAAATAAAATGACTTTGTCGAATGCTACAGTGGCTCAGGACACCTAAATATTAACTAAAATATTGCTCTTTGTGTCTCAGAGTCTCACTTACCTTATAGCTAAGATATGTGATTAGCACGGTCTCCAAAAAGCTGATTAAGGCCACTATCACCTGGGAAAAAGCAGATGAGTGTAAAGTGAGCGAACATCTTATTTAATATTAGATATACGTAGGTATTTATTACAGCAGATATGTATAGTATGAATGTATTAAGTCACATGTGCAGCTGTCTCACCTGTATTTCCCATACAGGACTCTTTCTGTGGACCCAGAATATCAACTGCCTGCAAAAGGAACAGAACACAAAGATATACCACAAACTTCCAAAAGTACAGAAATCTCTGAGGACAAAACAGTGAACAAACCAGTCGATTCCTTGTGTCTCTGTGCAATTAACTGAGCTACTGTTCCAACTGTTCCGACAATTGGACCTGCAGAAAAACACAAGAACAAATGGAACAAAGCAAAAACTATAAAAACAGCAAGAACCTGTCTGCAAATGTGTGAGTGGAACTGGGCCGAGTGGGACATTTGGTCTGCTGTCATCGGGAACAAATATAACTTGTGAATGGGCTGAAATCAACACAGCATCTTTAGTGGGGAATATCCATCCATCCATCCATCTTCTACCCTTTAATCCATTTCTGGGTCAGGGGGGTGGCAATCAGAGATGCCACCCAAGTCTCATAGCACCAGCCCCTCACTGACCCTCTGCAGGTGGTGAGTCCACAGGAGGACGGCTGCTCTCTGAGTGTGAGCATAGCCTTGATCTTTCAGTGGGGGCTTTGGGCAAAGTGGGGTTAAGTGTCTTGCCCAAGGACACAACGACAGAAGTCATCAGTAGGAGTCGGTGGAGAAGGTGCAGAGGTGGGACAGTGGGGAATAATTAGTGGTAATACTCGCAAATCTTAATATAGGACAATATAATCAGTTAGAGCACATGCAAGCTTTAAAATAGGATTTGATTGTAGTTACCAGGGGGAGGTCATACAAGGTTTTGCTTTGGATTATATTTGTTTGTACCCTAACACAAGTTAAATAAATATTTGGAAGAAACTTGATTAACTCCAGTCAAGCACTAGGAATTCCTAAATCAACAAAGATCAAACGTATCTATTCAAACGCAAGACATTTTAATACATATTCCCTAGGTGTATTCTTTGCTGTTTGATTTAATTACTGGGTACGCAATTTCCCTTGTGGATCAATAAAGTCTGTCTAAGTCTAAGTGTAAGGATCAGGATGTCTCTCACCAGTCGTAAGGAGGGGTATCCAGGCTGACTCTCAGGATGTAAAGGACACAGGTGAGGATCTTCAGGGAGAAGTTGAATAGACGGATTCTCAAACCTGTGGAAAAATGTGCTGCATTTTGAATATGAAAAATTGACAAAATACCAAGTTCCAATGAAATGTTGGCCCGTCCATTTGCTATGGATGTTTCATTGTAGAATTGTCTTACCATTTCGGTTTCTTAAATCAATCATTCTCTTAAACCACAGGAGGTCTTTGCCGTTATCATTTATTCTAATTCAGAATCCTGCTTTGAATATCCCAAGCCACAATCACAAGCCAAATAGACCGGAGAATCCAAAAGTTGCGATATATGTGCAAAGGCCTTGGAGCGTGACTAATGCAGCCTTTTGCTGCTGTGGCACTCTGTCACAACAAATTTGCCCCAACAAGTAACTTCTGAATCCTCTTTTTAACGAGATGAATGCAGGGTTTACATAAGAAACTACAAGCGACTTATGTAGGATTTAAGTTTCCTGTGTGTTCTTATTGGTAAAACTGACCACAGCATCCCAGAGATGACATCAAAGTAACGGGGAAGAAGATTCAAGATCAGCTGAAAGAAAGGCATTTTGTGCTAGTAATCAAATTCAGCATCATTTCTGCATGTTTTATCTCAAAACTATGTTTGATATGGCCACCTCTGAACAGGGGTATATTGCTTGTTGAAGACACATCATACCAACTGAGGACAAGAAAAGGACCCATCCAAGTTAATATGGGACTAAACTGGATTTAAAGCTGGGGTACCTAACTAATACATTGTGCCACAACAGATCAAATAGAGATAATATTTTAAAAACAAATAAAGACAATATTTAAAAAAATCTTTGGCTTTAACATTCACTCCTTGAAGAAAGCAATATATTTTTTTTATTCTATGGCACTCAAAGGTTTCACACGATTACAATATTCATAACACAAATAATTGTTGCTTTTGTTTTTCCTAACCCCTAGTTTTTTTTTTATTATAGGCCTTTACCAAATGGTTGAGATGCAGTTTAATGGTAAAAGTGCCTAAAACCCCACATGGCATAATTCAGTTCCAAGCAAGCTTAAACTTGACTCAAAAGGTAATCTACCAAATGGCTGAGGAGACCATTAAAGGGTTAAAGCTGATTGGCTGAGAGAGGGTCCATTCTTTTTCACTTCTCACTGTCTATACAAAGATGATCTAAAGATGTGACAGAGGCCAAAATATACATATGATAGAGACACACATTAAGAGCAAGATATTTCATTACACAGCCATATAGTTTCCTTCAAAAGTTAGGTATCACAGCTTTAAACCAAGACTAGACCTGACCAATAGGATTTGAATGTGGCCAAATCAAATAGATCAACGAATGCTTGCGGCCTTGTGTTGGCATTTTCATTAGCTCGTGTTGTCTTGTGTTGTCGGCTGTGGAGGAATACTGACGTTGACAGGTGCAATCTGGAGCTGTCTGAGAAAAGAACACACTAATGCGATATTCTCCAAACAGACTGTTCTGCTGGGGACAAATACTTAGGGTGCCTCTTGAAAGTACTAATACACCTTGAACTTGTGCACATACAACTCTGAAATGAAAGCAGAGCGATACATGATTTTGTCTTTTATTCTAACACTGGAAAACCGGGGCGTGCACAAGTATTCATATAGAATTGTACTAAATTGTCTTACTAAACAGCATCATGAAGGCCAAAGAGCACACCAGAGAGGTCAGGGATGAAATTGTGTTTGAAGAATGGTTAGGTTAAACAAACATGTCACTGTGCATGAGCCAAATATTAGACATACGATACATAAATCTGGCTTTTATGAGTTGAATGGAAACAAAAATTTGCAGTAGTTCAAGGTGTTGTAGTATTTTCGAGAGGCACTGTAACTAAAGTCCTACAATTTCAGAACAATTGTGCAAATACAAACAAGCAATCTTCCATCTGATTGTGTGTACACCCAAACGCCAGCGATATCCAGCTTGGAAGATAATGGGATAATAAAACTCTTGCTGGTAACAAAATTGGTTTTGCGTCATCACCGGGTGCAATTTCCATCGTTATTCTTTTATTTGGTCATTTAGCTCTTGTAATAGCCTTTGTTCACATTTCACATTTGCTTTATGGGTTGGCATCTGCTCTGTGTGGTACAAATTGGGCAACAGGTTGTGTCTTGAAACAGATTTACCCTATCAATAGGCAGGTTTCAGAAATGTGCTTTATTTCTTCAACACAATTTTAGTGAAGCTAAAAACAAGTCAAAAAAGCTGTCACATGGATGAATGACGAAAAAGGGAACCCAAAATGCAGGACTGAAAATCAAAGTAATAAAATAAAATAAATCCAAGGTAATGTAAAAACAGAACTGAAGACAGGACAAACGTGGTGGAGACAATGGACGGACAACAAGTGAGGAAGGGCACAGGGTATATACACAGGGACACACGGGTGAATCACATTAGGGCGGGGCAACAATCAACAGGACAGGCAGGATTCAAACTCAAACTACATAAAATAATACATAGCAAAATAAAACCAGGTCAAAATGTCCACACCATGACAAAGCATCTTAATAATTCAGTGCAATAATCGCTTGTTGAAGACACATCATACCAACTGAGGACAAGAAAAGGACCCATCCAAGTTAATATGGGACTAAACTGGATTTAAAGCTGGGGTACCTAACTAATACATTGTGCCACAACAGATCAAATAAAGATAATATTTTAAAAACAAATTAAGACAATATTTTAAAAAATCTATTACATGCTTGTAAGGAAGAGCCTTGGGATTCACTATTCAATGCTTTGGCTTTAACATTTACTCCTTGAAGAAAGCAACATCATTTTTTATTTTATGGCACTTAAAACATAAATAATTTAGTTTTTGTTTTTTCAAATCTCTAGTTTTTTTTTTAAAGGCACACCGTGTAACTCTTGGCCACTAGGGGCGCTAGACCTGCAACTTTCACGTTTAGCGCCCCTAGTGGCCACAAGCAACTCAGCACTGTCGCAAAAGTCAACAAACAGTCAGCCGGTGTCTTTTGAGTGTGTATTCAGACAGCATGCACTGGTGTGTGTGTTCAAACTGTAGAGACATGCCTACAGATATTGAGAGACTCTGCTGTGGTCAGCCTCCAGACCGCTGCATTAGTAATCTACCACACATGGACTTCTATATCCTGGATGAGGGAGTTCTGCGTCTAGCTCGTGCTGCGTGGAATGACATCTTTGCAGTCGATGACATCCAGGAACCAGGTGAAGAGCAGCGCTCATACAGACATGCAGCTTACAGCACGATCCCTTTCGCGTTTCCTCTTTTTAGCCTCCTCCGAAGGTTTAAAATTTTTCCTTGCCTCAGCCATGACCAGGAGTCGAGCAGGTGAAAAATGAGTAGCAAAAGCCTTAGCTCCATGAGTATATCAGCGCCTGTAGCCGTAAAGCAAGTCTTTCTTCCAAGTCACGTGACCTGGTGGCAGACGGTCCGTCTGCTCGAAACTTACATGGGCGGTATTTCAAGAGGGCAGCCCCGCTCGGAGCATTGCAAGTGTCAAGCGCTGTATATTGGCCCAAGTATTCATATAAAATAACTCATATGTGTCAACTCTTTAGGTCACAAAGTCCGCGGTGTGCCTTTAAATTATAGGCCTTTACCAAATGGTTGAGATGCAGTTTAATAGTCAAAGTGCCTAAAACCACTTGAGATGCCCCAAAGAGGTATAATTCAGTTCCAAGCTAACTTAAACTAGAAATATTGACTCAAAAGGTAATCTACCAAATGGTTAAGGAAACCATTAAAGGGTTAAAGCTGATTGGCTGAGAGAGGGTCAATTCTTTTTCACTTCTCACTGTCTAAAAAAGATGATCTAAAGATGTGACAGAGGCCAAAATGTGATAGAAACACAACTCTTAAGAGCAAGATATTTCATTACATAGCCATATAGTTTCCTTCAAAAGTTGACTAATAGCAACTCAAAAAAGTATTTTAATAATTAAGTGCAGAAAGCGCTTTAAGTTCACTTTTAGACCTAGAATGTAAGCAGTACTCTTCCTGTATCTCGGAAAAAAGAGAATCCATCCATCACATAACCCATTATATCTCAATTGGATCTCCCTGACACACAATGCTATGTTCCCAACAGGTTGAGACATCATAATTCTACCTTAAAATAATCACTTACTTGACCTTTGGTTTTTGATAAAGAAGAGCTTCAGCCTCTCCTTGAAGGTGTTCTCGTTGACATAGAACTCCACCTGCACCCTGCAGAGAAACAGCTAAAGTCACTAGTGTGTTTTTACAGTATAAACAAGTCTATACTGTTACTTTACAGCCATGGTCTTCTCAGTTGTTAAATAATGTACAATATTATGTAAATGCTGACCTAGTTCCCTGCCCTGTCTGCGTTTGCCTTTATGTGCCAACACTGCAACAGACTAAATGAGGGCTATATACATTTATAATTGGTCAACGGGGACAGACTGTTTACCACAGTAATGAACTTCATAATTATTACTGCAGGGCATTATTTGGCATTTTAATCATCATGTTTGATTTACATCTTTTGGAGTGGGTCAAATACCAACAAAACGTTTATTTTATTACCTGTATCTGTAACTACTGTATTTCATGATCAGCGATAAGTGAAGAAGGCTGTTTTAGCAATATAATCAATACCACAAATTAAAGTACTTCTAAATAATCTGCCCTGATGTAGATTTCAGAAATGTCTCCATGAAATGTTTTACTAATGATTATCATTAGGTGTTTGCATAAAAAGCCTTTGTATAATGTTTAGCCTGAGTTTAGTGAACTCAGGGAAGATTCAAGGACAATGTTGGTTTCTGTGCTATAAGAATCATTTTAGGAACAGCATGCCTCTCTTATTGGGACAAGGCATGAGACCCAAAACCGGACTAGACCAGACCCAGACCAGGGCCTCAGTCGGTCTCATCATATGACGTCATCGGACATTTTCATAAAACTATTGGTAGGAGATTTTGTGAGCAGTCTGAGCCGGGACAGAGAGAGAGGACCATAGCAGAGCACCTGGATGTCCTCTCAGTACATTTACAGGCCAGGAGGGAGAGTTAAAAGGGCTCAGCTCATAGGACAAGTTAGGGAAATAGAGCTCAGAGAGTTTTGTATTAATATTTAATTGTAAAGAGAATAAAATATTGTTTTATATTTAACTCTTGAATCTTCGTCTTATTTCTGTAGCAAATTCAGAGACACGTCTGTAATTTTTTTTTGACAATAGTCCCAATATCCATAGTTTATATTATTTTGAATTGTATAATGTGCGTGATTCATTGTTGAATAATTGTTTAATGAGAAACTTTGGGGGCCGGCTCCTCCTGCAGGCCGACCCCCCAGAGGGGTGGGATTAATGGAGACTTATGAAGATCCATCATGTATTTCAGACCTGTCACTAATGGTCACGGAGCGTTAATAGCTGTGTGGTTTCACTGTGGGCCCTGGAGAATCCCAAATGATTACAAGGTGCAATGGCCATGAGACAACCCAGAAACCACAGAGGCAATTACAGTTACCACCGGGAGGATGTTTGAAGAAGTATGAGCAGGTGCACCACTCCACTGCACTCTACTCTTCCAATGACAGCCTCCATGTCTTTCACATCTCCATGGAGACAGCGTTGGAAGCATGCGATGTTCTGTGTCACGTGCATGTGTATGTAGTACAGATGAAAACACATCCCGCGCCCTGTGATCTTAAATTTTACACGAACGCAGGGACCTGATCCAGCTGTATCGACTCTTCACACAAGAAGCAATAAAACCCAGCCCATAAAGCCTAATGGGGCAGGATCAGGTGGTCAATAATAGATGTTTGTGGTTCCAGCTACAAGGAAATGCATGTACAGAGTATCCACATAATCATGTTTAGAAGGCAAAACATGAGTAGAACTTCAGAATGAATTATGGGGTTGTAGATTATACCCAAACAAAGCGTTCAAAGTCGATTGCAAACCAATTATACTTTTTTCTGAGGTTACATAAACAGCATAAACATGAAAACACAAAAAAAAGTCAGAATAAATAAACATGAATCACCAGTTTCAATGTGTTTCTTAAATTAAATTGCCAAACATTTAATATAGTAGCTTCATAATCATTTTTCTGTTTAAGCGTACGTGGCGCTATGAGAGGAAAGTTTCCCTATTCTAAAAAGCCCATGAGCTTTTCCTATCTCTATCTATAACGGCAAATTAAACTGCACCAATGCAATTATGATGATGCAAAGACAGGTTCAAAGTCAGTTAAGTTGACGCCACTGACATAATAATGAAGAGCTTTCCTCCATCGTGGACCTTTAATACATTTAACATGCTTCATTTATAGATTACCCCATTGGAATGAAAGAGGCATAGATCTTCATCGCACCTTTCCACAACAAAAGAATGAATATTAAGAATCATTCCTCCAGCCACAACAAAGAAAGTATAGTCTATATTTACCCTCCATTCAGGAAGTCACTTTTAGAGTCTTATCAAACATCATTGTAAAACATGAATTGCAAAAAGACAAGTAACATCAAGGAACAGATTAACGGCTTATTAAACGAGCGCAAGGTTAATAAATGTTTTATCATATGACTATTTTTAATGTATTCAAATATTGATTGGTTTCAACCAGCAAAAACACATGCAACCAAACTGTCCAATGGTGACATGAAGAACTTGCTTATCAGAGGATTGAGGTCGCCCGTTGGTACGTTCTCAATCTCTTCTGTGTCTTTACCAATGCTTTTTAGATATTTGTGAAGTATGTTCATGTCCGACTTGGTTTTCCTAATTGTGTTTTTACCTTTCTGGTCTGTAACAAAGTTGTCAATCTCTTCTTGACTGTTAGGAGTCAGGCTCTTCAAACTCATGCGGTTAATAGAATCCACTGGAGAATGCTCAAAGTCGTCGCTCATTATTTCTTTTTTTACCGAGGAAAGATATCAAATCTGATACGCGCTGCGGACCAATTGTCATGGTAACGGATAATAATAATAAGCGCTTTTCTGGACACTCAAAGACGCTTTACATGTCATTATTAATTCACTCCAAACATGGTGGTGATAAACTACTACTGTAGCCACAGCTGCCCTGGGGCACACTGACAGAAGAGAGGCAACTAGTATGTGCCATCGGCCCTTCTGACCACCACCAACCATTCACACACAGACCAGACTCATTCTAAGCAATGGGGGTGAAGTGTCTTGCCTAAGGACACAACGGCAATTTGGCACTTTACAGCCGCAGCCGCCCCACTGTGGCCGGTGTTCCCAGAGGTTAAGTGTCTTGCCAAGGACACAACGACAGTATTCAGTGGGAGTCGATGGTGAAGGTCGGGCTCGAACCCACGACCCTCTGGCTCAAAGGCCAATGCTCTACCAACTGAGCTACTGTCGCCCGAGATGGGAAAATATCAGACGGAAAATCAGCCAATCAGAGCGTGCGTACGATCCGAGTCATATAATACATTTTCTTAGTTCATTCTTCAACTTAGAGAAACACACTTTGATAAAGGAAGCGGCCTGACCATATGACGGATTGAACTGAAAATGAGTTGAATATAAAAAAATAAAAATAGTTTATGATTCAGACGGATTCAGTATCAATCCTCTCCCCTTTATTGTCATTCACAGTAGCACAGGGAAAGACTCAGATCAGATAAATGTGTTGACTGAAGACATCATAGTCATGGTTAGAATTCAAATGTCCAATACTTCAGAACAGGGGTGCCAAACTCAGGCCTGTGGGCCAAATTCAACCCACGAGAACATTTTTAGTGGCCCCTGAGATGATTTTCAATTATCATTATCGCAGTAACTTGCAGCATTAGCATCTAAAATGTTAACTGAAATGTAAGTAGAAGTTATAGTTATCTAATTACTCATTTTATTTGTATTTTTCAATAATTTGTAGTTTTCAAATATATCTTCTTGATATGTGGCCCAGTTATGGTTGAATCCAAACTAGAAAAAAATATCCAAACTCATGGTGAAACAAACTTTCTTCTACTAATACTTCTTGCCCCAACCAGCTCCTATGTTTTTGAATTTGGCCCCCAACAAAAATGAGTTCACTGTGATCTATTTTATACCAGGACTCCCAGAATTCTGCAACTACTAAAACTCCCAGAGCCGACATTTTGACTGCTCCCCATTGACACAATTAGTTTTACCTTTACTTACTTTTAATAAGTGCTAGAACGGGTTAATATAACATGAAATACAGTAAAAGTAGATTGTGGATTAGCTAAATGTTAACTGTTGGCAAATAAACCGTATGTTGCTATGGTAACTAGCACTCACTCTTCTCTGGGAGACTACTCACATTTCAAAGATAAGTCCATAAAAATAATGACACAGAAATAAACTACATAGATATAGACAAAGTCACAAAAAAAAAAAAAAAAATCTTTTATTATTAATATGATTTTTTTTATTGTTATTATTACAATTAGAAACTCAGAGCTATTGATAAGAGAAGCAGCTGGACTGGTTCAGGAATGATTAAGTTAAGGAACAATTTCCGGTAATATGGTATAGCGTTTTATAGAGAGAGCAGTTTCCCCAATAACCTAATAAACTTCAAGAGATGGTACAAATGTAGAGATGTCCACCCACTTAACTCTGCCCATCAAGTTGCCTCATGATTATAGTGCAGAGAGGAACAATGTGCTTACATCTTCTTTTCTCTGCAAAGATTATTTAACATTCACTCATCTGTATCTGTTGAGAAAGGGAATCTATTCTATTTGCATTGTTGTCTCTCACTCACACATCACACGCTGCATCTGCCTTTGATATCTGTCTCTCTATTCTCTGCTTTACTGAAAATAGATTACTCTGACCCGTGTGTGAAGTGTGTCATGTGAAGGTTTCAAAAAGCTAAAAATACAAACTGAAACTTGCATTGCAAAAGCTTGGTCTAAGAAGCAGAACATTGCCCCACTACATCTTGTCTTGTAAGCAGTTGGCCTTTCCATTATATTTCCCCCAGAGACAATATGAAAGCAATTCACATGAAAGGTGCAAAATTGTGCATTCGTTTTCAATGGAGTAGAATCAGAATAAAAGCTCTGCAAAAGTTTCATTTCGGAGCTTGTTAGTTTTGCAAAGGCTGTGGAGAAACTTTGCCATTGCTCTGTCTGCAAAGTCGTGCGCCTGTGTGCGCCCTCAGAGGACGTCTGGGAGCAGGACAGTGTCTTTAATAGGACCTGGGAGAACCATAGACCCGACTGTCCAGACAAGCTGAAAGGAAGAGAGCAAACCTCGCCACTGCGCCTTGTGGAATAGGTTGTATTTATGTTCTAGATTTTTATTTTAGCAGGAGGGCAGATGAACTAAGACAAGAAGACTGTCCCTTTCAAATAAAGACTAAACTGAATTTACCAAATACCAGGAAAGTTTTTGGTGCCCTCCTCCATAATATTAAACTATAGGCTCCTTAGAATGTTGTCACATGAACGTGGCAATGCAACTCTTAAAATGTACTGCTTATTGAAAAGTTCTGCGAACGGGAGCACTACACCCACACTAACCTTCTTTCTTACATTAAGTTACTTCTGTTGCAATGTGAAACGTAACACCAGCATTTGTCCATTTAAACAATTCTGACCATTTGTATAAGTCAATTGTGGTCCACTGAGCTGAAACCTGCAGATCCTCCTGGAAGCAAAGAGCCTTTAGTGGTTTGGGCAGAGAGACACTCCCATGACCGCTCTTTGTGGCATTTTTATCACTTTGTCTCTCTCAGCAGTAAAACATAAAGGTTTCTACTTCTTGTTGAAAATAACTGAAACATAAATATCTATCTCATTGTGATTTTTCAGACAACTGCAATTATCATTTGGTTTGACATTTTTTTTAACAAAGCAAATCAAACTTGTATAAGATGCAACACAATCATTTGTTATCTGTAAAGGAGATTGCAGATAATTTTGGCCACTAAAATTGCAATGTTGCCCTAAGATGACAAAAAATGCCCATGTTTTGACTGGGAATAATTCTTCTTCCACCTCCATGATACTTGAGCATGATATTCTTCTGTTATCACCATGATTAGCTGTGGTTATTTAGCCAACCTTTAGCCAGTGCTGTAAATGAGCTACAATAGTTTATCACTGAGTGATTGACTGTGTTATGTATAAAATGGACATTGGTGAAAAAGATACTTCTAAATGACCCATGTGCCTCGAGACACAACTGTGTCTACACATCCACTAAAAACTGCTTTGGTCAACGTAGGTTGTGCAGCCACCAGCAAGATGCGAGTTTACTTCTTGCTAGCAACATGTGCAGTAGAGATATATTCATCTAAAGATAGGATAATCATCATCTTATCTTCATTGCCTTGTGTTCACTGCATGTTATTAGTGTATTTGTTTCCATTTCTGGACGTCACTACAAAAGACGGAGAGTTTAAAACTGAAAGAGAGCAGACTATTATTTCACAGGGCACCTGTTTCTCCTGTTGGTCACGTTTTGCAGATTTCACTTTGCAATCATGACTTATAAAATACTCTTGATACAAATCTTATCTTTTTTTGACCAATTATACAAATGTTTCATCTTTTACCATCTCTGTAAGACCTCAAGATTCACCAAAATCCTCTTTTGTCAGTACTCCATCTCAATTTTGAAACACGATTTGTCTGGGCTTTCTACTCCCCATGGCTTAAACACAGGCGCAGAAGCAGTCCAGTAAAACACTAGATGTTCTCGAAGGGTAGACTGTTTAAGAGAGCTGTGATCACATGAGTATCAACGAGAAAACATTTGGATTCTCTTCTTTCCTGAAGGCATCAGCAGAGAATAATGCAGGAATTAAAATATTCTTTCTAAGCCAGTTAAGAAAACAAATATATACACACAGTATTTCTTTCTTTTGTACTTGCAAAATGATATAGTGACATGCACATAGTGGCTTGTTATGAGATTCTAACCTCTAATTGGAAATCGGTTGCACTGCTCTATAACCTTCTATAATGCATTTAGATCTATATTATTGTCTGCACTAACATCTTAACAAATCTCAGTGCAATTACATACTCTGCTCTGTAGTGAAATCTCCAATTGATGTTAAGGCACAAAGAATCATGCAACAAAAACATGACTAAATCCTTTTTCTGAAATCAATATTAAGTAATTATAATAATTATAATACAATTAAGCATATTTGTCTAAATTCCAAGCTCATTTGATAATAATAATAATAATAATCATAATACAGACATACAAATGCAGTGGACTGTATTGTGAGTGTATTTGACTGGTGATTTTTCTGAGGATTTGAATCCATTCTGTATCAATCATCACCTCTGGCCATCATGCTGGTGGCATCACCAGCATGATGGAACATGCTGCTGATTAAAGAGCTGTAGATGTGAGGACTCCTTTTTCTGTTATAACTGATGACTCAGATTGCACAGTGGACTGCATTTGAAACATGGGTGTCATTTCATTATTCTTTTGTTGTTTAAAGTAAAAATAAAAGACTGTTTACACTTTCGGACTGACAAGGTGAAGACGTGTGCAGAGTCACAAAACAGTGGGTGCTAACAATTGAGACAAGGCTACCATTACAGCATTCATTGAAGAGTCAATACTGTTGGATTATTTTGGGACAACAATTGTTATAAGGGTAGCCTGAGGAAATAGTCACGGGCATTTTCAATGTGCCTTGAGTGGCCAGGGCCGTGTGTAAACCATCTGACACAGTTCATGCCATGCAAGCATGATGCTACCATAACTTACTGGGCATTAGTGGAGTCCATACTGTATTCTTCCTGATACCTAGATGCAGCACACACGGACACAGATATAGGCACAAGGTTAGGAGCCAGTCGGGTTCAGGAAGCAGGTCAGAAGGAAGGGAAAGTTAGCACACAACATGGACACTACTGTAATTAATGCTCTGCTTGTTTTGGAGTGGGCAGATCTGCAACAAGAAGACCCAGGAGTATTACATGGAATATTATTGATGCATTCACCTAAAGAGCCTTCACCTGCTTACCCCCCTGAAGTGGTTGATGAAAACGTATTCTGTGCCAATGAGAATATGTTGTAATGATGTTGTTTATGATCAGAAAGAAATGAAAGTGCACAGTTAATAAGGCTCGTACAGTATTTGTTATCTCACAGCAAACAGCATCCTGGTCTCTGAATGTTGTGAAAAGTTCTAATAAATTCATCAGAGTGAATAATTAGGAGGTGAGGATAAAGCGTGTGGTTTAAAATGTACTAAATGTGATTTTTATTCCAAGACTCCACAGCTCTTCTTCAGTAGCTTTTCAATGCCCCAACTCCAAACTCACGCACGTTCTCAATTACAGCGAGTATGAACTGTATTCAGGAGAGCAGCACTGAGCTCCTCTAACTGTACAGTTCAAGCAAAACAAAAATACATTTAGTAAAGAACAACAGTTTAGTAAAAAACAGGGAACTGTCAAAGTGCAAACCATGGGATTTGTAGACACGCTGTTTATTGAGATGACCATAAAGTAAGTCTGGTCACTGGGAAGTGTATATCCACAAACATATACATGGATTTGAACTGACAAAAGCAGGTCTCAATATGTTGAAAAGTGAACGTGTGAATTACGGAAGAAACTAGAAAAGCACTCGGAGAACACAGACATCTGCCATCATTTTAATTCCAAACAGAAATTCTGGATCCAGTCCCACTTCACGGCTTTACTGACAAATCCAGCCATAACATTATGAGTTATGATGCTTAATAACAGACATACATAGAAACCCTAGAAGGTGTGATGATACAATGCAGCATATGATGAGGTTGTATGGATGACTTCAGTCCATTTAGTTGTGCACTAGAGTGTAAATAAGTCATTTATTAAATAGTACACTATGTAAAATAGTCCTTCCACTTTCAGTACAGCTACCTTTCACATTTTACCCAAAACCTAAAACTTCGCTTGAGTTCTGGTTGATCAGGAGGTGTATCTCTCCTCCGTTTTCAAACTTACATCAGTCTACTAATGTCTCACTAATGGTTGCTGTGGTTTTTCAATTGTCAGAAAAAAAGCGTTATGGCTTGGTTAAATGTCTCAACAGTGAAAAAAGCTTCATAACATAAAATGCATTATCATCCATTAGACCCTACACCATAATAAGTCTGAAAGCCTAACAATTAAAATAATCCTAAAGCCCCATCAACTGCCTCAATGCGAAATACCACATTATATTTTTCCAACTTCAAACGTGTTTTTAGGATGTTTTAGTGTTATTTGCATAGTTGAGCCAGCGTGTTGCGCCAAACTGTAGCTTTGTTGTGATCTGTCCTTTTAGTGGCCATCTGACGGAGCCTTAATGAGCAATAAAGACATGGAGCAGATGCTATCGTCTGCTAAGAGCCTCATGCCGAGCGAATACACAGTGAACATCCATTACTCCGACATCGAAACAAATACACTCCAGTCCTCTCCTTAAACCATCAACACAAACAAGCTTTTAAACTTATACACATGGCAGAGTCATGCAGCATATTCATTCTGACCTTCAGACACAGACAAATATCAACAAGGTTGGAAACAAAGGACCTAATGCTCACCTCCCACAGCGGAGCTCGCACCCCTGAACAGCACTTCCAACTTATGACTTCACTTACATTTCCAGAGAGATGCTTTCAGTCGAGCACAGCATGCATCAGCCTCCTAGCACATGCATCTCTGCAGCAGATTCAAGGATGCTGGGATTTGTAGTTCCAAAGCTGCCACTTGCACTGGATGCTTGCCAATCTTTAGGACAATATGTGTGAGCTGGTGTCACACTAACAAACATTATCATAGAAACCACTCTGAAAATGCTGAAAAAGAATGCCAGCAAAATCAATATTATTGGTTTGAATTTGAACATGCAAATGATATGCTAATTGTACGATTAAATAAGATAAAGATATGCTAGATATTGATATTTTGAAATTCTAAAAAGCCATTTTATTCTTATTCCAAACTAAAAATGACTTACTTCAAACACTTGAATGACACTTCAAGGACATGTTCGGAACGTTTTTGGTTTGGAGTGAATCCTTATTATCATAGATATATTCATCAAACATTAATGTATAATGGCATTCATGATCACACACTATTACCTTCTGTAAGCTGTAATAGACAGTATTGAACTAAAATATGGCTTTTACACTAACATGGTGGTGTAGTAAGTAACAGTGTATTAATAGTATAGTAATGGCCTAGTAATGGTAAAGTAATGGTATAGTAACAGTGTAGTAATGGTGTAGTAATGGAGTAGTAATGGAGTAGTAATGGTATAGTGACTGGTACTCCTAAAATGTTTACAAAATACAAAAAAAATGTCATCTCATAGTAAACATTATAAAGATAGAATACATATTTTAGAACACCAGAAGACTGTGGAGGCAAAGCTAAGTTTAGTATTTCCCATCTGAGGCTGTGTTCACCTGTTGGTATCCATGGAAACGCCTGTATTTGGAACATTGCTACAGGTTATTTATTGCTGGATATAAGCATTTTTTTTTTTTCCATTCAATATTTTACTCACTATAATGATCTTGGTCTTATGTCGTCATTCTAAAAAATCATAATCCAACGAATAATGACAATACTGGTACATTTTCTATAAACTTTATATACTGAACAGCACACTGGCATGTTGTGTGTCATGTATCGACTGAAGAGAGATTGCTTTAAAACCTCTCTTCAGTGTTGCCCTGTCCTGGCCTGGTCGACTTATTTGGTAACATATCCAGGTTACGATGTTAAAAGAAGATACTTTGTCCTAAATGCTTGAGTCATACACCATTGGAAAGAATTAAACAATTACAATGCTAGTAATTCAGTGAACGCTCTTTCAGTTTAAAAATGTAACACAAAATCAGTTTTCGATAAACAAAAGTATGTGAACTATGTATCCTCCTTAAAGCATTTTGCTAGGAAATTGGCTCTCTGTATTTGACCCATCCTTCAACAATGCCACTTGGCTTGACTACCAGAGCTGGAGGAATACATCAATGTACTGTATTTCATCATGTAAAAGTTATCAACAAAATGTGTGATTTTCTACTTCACTTATACTATTTAAAATGAAGAAATAATAATAGTGCCAAAGAGTAATAACAGATTTTGAATGCCATATGTCTACAAATAATATTTTATCACACACTGAGCTGATTCCATGTATTTAAAATGAAAGCGAACTGTATTGGTCAAATTCTGTGTTAGCAACAATATCTGAACATATTTTTTCTGAGTTGAAACATGTGCATGAATGCTCGCTGGCTCAAGTCGGACACACAACTCTGGAACTCAGGCCAAAAGCTGCTTCCTGAGTTCCGCACCGGAGCATCAGTTGCTGTGAGGAGATGGAGCAACATCATTTGCCCATTTATCCTGAATCTTTGAGTTCTTTGACTAAACGTGACTAAACTAAAATATGATGTTTATGGTATAGATATTGTGTGAGTTCATTACAGCAACCGATTATGATTTAATCAATGTTGACTTAATAAAGTAAAAGAAGTGGGTATTGCAAACAAATAGCCAAATATTTAAAATTTTATACCGTAGAAGTGTATGCTAATTTTTATTATTCTTATTATGCCTTACTCTATTCTCTATTCTTTACCTCTCTTTCTGACTGTTGTACTGAGCCAAAGCAATTTCCAAGTCTGTGACTTCCTGTTACTTACGTGGCAATAAAAATAATTCTGATTCTGATTCGAGATGGTTGCAACAGGCAGTTATCTGACAGGTTTGCTTTGCAGGATTACTATTGCAACAACACATCATCAGTAGGGTAAAACTAACCTGTCTCACGACGGTCTAAACCCAGCTCACATTCCCTATCAGTGGGTGAACAATGCAACGCTTGGTGAATTGTGCTTCACAATGATAGGAAGAACTTTACAAGAGCACACTGCTGATTTTATTATTGATGAAAAGCCAGAGTCCCAGAGATGAGAGCAGAACATGAACCAGTCAGAACATCGACATCTGAACTAGTCTCGAGGGCGCTATGAATGCCTCCCATCAAAATAAAGGTGATAATTATTCTACAATAAGTCTTGGCATGGCATTTTTGGATTTTAAGGCAATTGCAAATCAGAGCAATTCACTTTTCAGACATCCAAAATACACATTTACTTATTATTATTATTATTATTATTTGCATTTGTGTATTGGAAATGAACTTTCAAAAGGGTTTTTAATGGAGTCATTAAAACCAATTGAATAGTGGACAGTCTGTGTCTGAGATCTGTTTTAATGAAGTTTTACATTGCTCCATTAGGAGCTTAGCAACAAAAGGCGCAGACATGCGTTTAAGCTTCTGTCGCAGTACAAAAAACAAATTAGCAAGGATTTATTATTTGTATTCTTAATGTTTGGTCTCATTTGCAGATGATTTCCCTGCTCTCAGTTACCAAGGAATCAGGCAAATCAGAGACTGGGGGCAAGAAGCTCTGTAAGCACGACAGTGGGATGCTCAATGAAAAGAGACTCTTAGAAAAAACCTTTCCACCCTCTGCAGGAAGTGGCTGGCACCAACAGAAATGTTTAGCACAGCAGCATTTTCAATAAAGAATAAGAACTTCTTACGGAAAGTGGAAGATTGCAACCTAAAACTTTGACCAAACAAATGAGAAGTACAACGGTATATAAAAGGTAAAAAATAAGCAGTTTTTTTAAACATATGCACTGATTCTGAATACTATTTTCACTTTTTTCTGCTAATTATTCAAGATTACAAATACATATAATAAAACCCACATGGTTGTTGAATACAAAGCAAAGAGGCCCAAAGACTATGCTTGGGACAGCCCAAGGAGACACACAAACAGCTGTGCTGACATTAGACATTCTCACATCATGTGTTTGGCGGTTTCTGACAAACACCCTCCTATTGAAAGATCTTTCATCGTAATTAGTCTGCGTCATAATACAAATTCCACACCAACGGGAGTTCTCTATAGGAGCTCTAAAGTATTGACTTCTTACTTTATGAGCTGTTGCTTTCAATTGGTCAGTGTATTGATTTTGTGGCTCCATATAAACATTCCAAGTCATTCAGCTAGGGAGACACACACATATACATGAGGTTTAAGCCCTAACACTGAATGTGGAGGAATATTCATTATAATGTGTGAAATAACTTCAGCAAAGATGATCCTTTAAAGTAAGGAGCAAACAATGGGTTAGGGTTTCAAATGTTGTCAATGTTTTCAAATTGTTACCTGTTATGTGTCTCCCAGTCACAGAATTTTACTTCATTGAAATTTCCCCACTGGGACGAATAAAGGATGTACGGATAATCTTACATCACATTCACACACATGTCTAAATGATTGTGATGATGAATCTGTATGACTGGAAAGTGTTTTCCAAAGAAAATGCATGAATACCTGAAAGAACACACTGCAGTTGAATTGGCTGAAACGGTCTCTGGCCAGTAGTACATAGTTTGCGCTCGCTATCAGGTGCATTCTCGAGGTGCCAATATTGTGAAAATAAACGGTCTTCAGTTGTTATGAGCTCAAGCACAATCTGTGTTGTTGACCAAATAATGTGAACAGTAATATACAACATCCACATTAATCTAGGCAAGAATAATCAAATATATGGCAGAGGAAATTTACAGCCAAACGTATAATCATTAAATATAATATATTCAGTCTGCTCTCATGACCACAATCTGTTGCTCTGGTCCAGCCCTCCTGTAGACATGCTTCTAATACGTTAGTCTTCTGCTGCATGTCAATTTAACTACCCATGGTTTGCACTTGTGGTTTTATTTACAGCACAAAGTCAATTTCAAGGAATCCCCGGATTCATAAAAATGTTATGTGAATGCAGCATCTGTGCATTATGTAATGACTTAGACTGCAGCCATGAAAGCACTGGAGTGAAGCTGCGAGCGCAGTGACTGACGGCTCAAGAAGCTGTAAAATCATCATTATATGTGACTCATGAAAAGCGCAGCTCGTGGCTCAGGTTATCAGCTCAAGGCACTGGACACAGCATCACTCACAAGCCTTTCAATCTCTGCCACAATCTCACGTCGGCAGCCACTATCTGCTCATGCTCAACTTCTGCCTCGGGTTAATTACCACTCAACTTATGATGGACTTTGTGCACTGCGTTCGTAGCGTGTTGGCGGCTTGTGCCCGTGCGTAATTGAGCTGCATTGAGAAAACATGCGACTCGTGCGGATCTGCGTCAGCTACCTTTGGCCGGCATCGCTCCCAAACGAGCCCATGGTCCGGAGCGAGCTGGAGGGATGCACCCAGGTGGGTTCAGAGCTTTTCTGCACATCGGTCTTCACGTCTGGGTCGATCTCTGAGGGCGAGGGCGTGAGCTTGGCTCCGGCCATGGCTCTGTGTTTCCCGCGCGTTCGCTCCGACAGGAGCGCTGCGTTTGCCTCTGTCACAGCGCGCACCACCGCATCCTCTTCACTTGTGCAGCCTCCCTCCCCCTGCCGCATCACAACTCGCACCACTGCGAGACCAGTGTCCCCGGATATACCGGGTATACCGGGTACTGGTAACTGTGGCACGTATGTAAGCTCTTCAGCGTCACGACGGAGCGTCAAGGCGCAAAGCCAGCCCAGCGGGGGGCGGTTACATAACCACTATCATCAGCACCAATCTTACCACTTCACCTGCTCCGAGGTGACGGCAGACTGACAGGTCCTTCATCCACTCACTGATCTATGTTCATCAGAACATTGTGAAACAAGCATCTGAAAGTACGTGAAAACCACAAACAAATGAGCATAAGCTGTGCATAAGTTCTCTGCATGGACTACTTTGCATGCTACACACCTGCACAGACCTTCTATTGCCACACGCCCATCACGATCAGTCTAACAAACAGTGATACCGTGATTGAGTAGTAAGAACTATTTCAAATATCGTACTTGATTGATCTGAGCTTGGCCCTATACGCCAAGTCACATTTTTCTCATAATGTTGTGAGGAAAAGTTAATTTCTTGTTTGTAGCACTGTGGGGGAATGACCCACTGTGGGACCTAAACATTGAGCATCGTGATCCACAGCCTCAACTGGCACAGATTGTCTTATTAAAATGTTTTTGCATTGACAGTTTGATACAGATCAGCATATATTTATCGGGGAAAACAAACAAACAAACACTTGTAAATGAAACTGGAAAACGTTTGGTCATGATCCTGAAAAAAAAACTCATGCACCTGTACAGAAATGTAAACAAATAATTACAAATACAGTAACAGCAACAAAAAACTATTATTATTATAATTATCATTATTATTTGCTGCTTGTAAGTAAATGTCGCGTTTACAAGGGGCTGACAGCAGATTTGTGCACAGTGCCTCTCTGTGGTGGAGCCAGGATTTGACATCCATTCACAGCTAATAAAAGAAGCATAATTTCTTGATAATTTTATCATGACAGCCATTGATTAGAACATAAATAAACATAAATTCAAAAATATATAGAAGGTATATATGAAACAGAGTAGAACCAATAACCTAAAAATGGAACCAAGATGTGCAACTTTTTTCTGACAGGTGGCATTCGGTGAGAACAGAGGATATGGAAGTTTGGCACTCAGAAATAATGAAAACTACAGTTTTGTATTAACTAAGTTGGTTCAATGAAATTTAAGAACACAGACCTTAATAACACATGATTTCTCACAATAATTATGGATAATAACAAAAAGTGCACCTCTTAATAGAGAAGTCACCAAAGACATGATAATCGTGCTGACCATGGTGTACCCATGGCGTGCTCATGGCGTGCTCATGGCGCAGATGGGAGAGCAGAGCTGTGATAAAGCTTCTCCAGTCAAAGTGCATTAAGGTAGTGAGCTGGTGCTGCTGTGGGCGAGCTGTCTGTCTCTCTGTGACACACTCACCGCTCCACACAAGCCCATTATAATGGACTTCAATCAAACATTTATAACAAACATTTATATTTATAAAGCCACAGTTATTAATGCTAGTTATACATATACACAGTATACACATGGAGGGTTGGTGGTCCTGAGGGAAAAACGACTGTTCCCAGAGATATGTCTATAGAGGCATGTTTAAGTCTCTCCTGGGGATTCTGCTTCACTGTGGACACACAGCACAGCTGCACCATTCAATATTCATCTGCCCAAAGAATATTCAACAACTAACATGCTGTACATGTAACTGCTCTAAGGGGTTGAAAGATAACTCAATTTACTCAAATGAAATACTCATTTTCTTGGCATTGCATGCACTGCACAAATACTTATTAGGAATGCAACCCTATGCCAATGTTCAATATATCTATAAAAAAACTCACCTTTCGCTCTACGCGGGATTGACCCTTTTCCACGGACGGGCGGGCTATAGATCCAGGCTATATGTGTAATCAATTGTTTTATGTAAATATTACAGTGTCATAAACAATGTCATAAACAGTGCTAATGAATGCTAGCAAAGTCATTATTCTAGTGCATTTGCAGAATTGCTCACTTCTGAACTTTCAACAGGAAGGAATTTCACATCACACTGCCAAACTCTTATAAAGCTTGAACCAAGATGAACCAAATGGTCTTCATGAATAGTTGAGTTTTATAAGCATCCTTTTGTGAGAAGTACAATTGAATATGCAATAACCCAAACCCTTAAAGAGAATATTATGCAACACATTCTTAAGCCTTTGGTACTTTGCTCTTATTGTACAGAATTGTGCACAAAACGGTCACAGAACACACGGTACTGCTGAGCTTGGATTTGATTTATTTCTCATTGAACCAAAATGGAGCAGAATAGTTTTTCATAGATTTACAAACCTGTCCTACATTTTTTGCAGCACTTTTTTTTTTCTTATTCAACCAGGCCACAACAGAGGAAACAGGCTTCCATGAATAAACCACAAACTCCCAGCATGCCACTCAGCCAAAAGCTCTTGCATCATACTGTATTCTTGCACCTTTCAATCCAGTGCAGCTCAACACACAAACGGATGCATGATTTCAGTAAAGGTTTAGTCGCACTGGAAGCTGCAAGATGACGCCCGACTGTTGAACCTCCTAAGTCAAACTACAGTATTGTCTTTAGAAGTTAACGAATACTAATATAGATAATGTAGTTTGAAAATACTGTGTAAAAGTCTAGTTAGCAAAAAATGTAACAGTTTTTCAGAATTTAATTACATAAACTTACTATTAGAGGCTCCGATCAAGATTTTTTACTCCTGATATCTGTCAACACCAATCAATACCAGGGAAGGGCCTGGAAAAACCTTCAAATCACAGCAAAATGTTTACAAAATGTGTCCAATTGTGTTTTTTATTGCTATTAATCTATCATTACATCAACTGAAACGCCTATCAAGATAGCTGCCTAAATAATATCGTTAAACTGATACTCCATCCAACAATATTTCCCATATTGGCTCTAATTTCACCAGTTTCACATCAGTGCATTGTTATCGACAAACCATTATTTATAGAGCCCTACACACCACAGAAAGTGACCAAAGCAGGTCCAAACCAGACCAAACCACCTATGTCCTGTTCAAAGCAAACTGCTCTGTGACCTGCAGATGAAACACAGCTCCATACATCCTGCACCACCGAACCATGCTCCGGATTAATAAACATTTGCCTGATTGCCTTGGCCTGCTCAAAGCAAATAGAAAACTGGTGCCATTTAATCCACTAAATCTTGCATGTGAATTGAATAATTACTGTATTTTGTTTTACTCTTTAACTAAAACTGACCTGTTCAATATTATCATGATTATAGTTTTTTGATTTACATCTTCTTGTCAAAGGTCTTTGAGTGTCCAAAAAGGCGCCATATAAGTACAATGAATGATCTTGACGCATTCAAATGATGGGATACAATAAGTGTAAGGTTTGTGTAGCTGCCAAGAGACTTGAAAATCCTTAATTGCGAGTCCTGCTGCGATCTGACCTGAATGCGTTGATCCAAATGGTACAAAGGAGACAAAAGGGTGCATTTTTCTGCATTAGCTGGAAGGTTATTGTTTCATTGAAGGCTACCTTTAATTACCATTCCATTTGATTTGGCCTTTTCATGCAGAGCAGTTTTACACAAAGACCAGTGAAATGGTGGCTCAATTATTTCCATATTAAGCACTTTTTCCCTGTAGGGATTTGTATAATATGTTTTGCTTGTAGAGTTTTCTTTACAAGAGTTTTTAAGAGGATTTGATATTTTTTTTGTACTGATATAATTCTGATACAATATTGTCATGAGAAACAACTATAGTTTAATTTATGAAGAACTATGTAAAACATGTTTAGAAAAAATTCTTGCGGAGGAGACTAACATTAGAGCTGTGACAACAAGAAAAGCAATATTGCATTTGGTCCTAATTAGGGATGCACCAATTCCGATACTAGTGTCGGGTCGATACCATAGGCCAGTAATATGTACATTCTCATACCATAGGACTCAATCCGGGCAACTATATCCACATTTTTTTATTTACATAAGCGTCACAACAGCAGACAGCTGTGCGCCACATGTTGCCATGGTGATCTCCTGCAGTCTGCAGCAAGAAAGTGTTTGCCGCTAGCTTAGCGGCAACCTTAGCGGCAAGCTATCTTAGCGTCAAGTGGATGTCGACTGTATAGCAGTTTTTAATAAGTAAATGACTGACAAAACAGTTTTTTTATTGTTCAAATGAGAAAGATAACATTTTAAATTTCAGTTGTATTAGTTGTATGAATTCCCTGGGATAACACACTGCTGTAATTGTATCGGTATTTGGTATCGACAAGTACACAAATTAAGGTATTTATACTCATATCGGTTTGAAAAAAGTGGCATCGGCGCATCCTTAGTCCAAATACAACTGTGTAATACTAATTCACGTTTTAGTTGACAAAACCAAATCTACTGTATCCTGCTTATTCACCGACCTAGCCTTTTCAACTCTGATGCCTATATGATGGTCCAGCTGCTGATGTCTGAGATGAACTTTCTTTACTTTCATTATTACCAAAACATGACAAAGACCAAGTAGTGTTATTTGTTCTTCATGTACCTGCAGAGAAGCATGAAAACAATTTCAAAGGGCCAACATCGACCAGTAAAAAACCTACTTTCAATTTATACGCCCATCCCAACCGAGGCTAGCCTTAGCCATCCACAAACTCTGGTCAATTATCATTTCCCTGCATGTAGCGTCTCGGTCTGCTCCAGTGGGGGAGGGTCCCGGCTCAAAAGTGGCAAAAATGACGTGCGCTGACATGCTGCAATACCAACCCGGGCCGATGGGGGTGGACCCAGAAGTAGAATTAGCCAATGCTAATATATAGCATTGGCAGACCTCTCAAAAACGTCTTTACAGGATGGTCCAAAAGTTGGCTCTTGGTCCAAAGCTCCGTTCCACTCTGTGTCAATGCTGAGGGGGGGTGAATTTTTTGGGTCCACTCTAGTTTACTTGCTGTGAATTTTTGAAGTCTCTCGTTCAAATGAATGGAGCTTGTGCCGGCTGACACAACGTCACAGTTTTTTCACAATTTTCTTGTGGGCGGGACCACTCGCGGCCATTTTGGATAGCTCCAGTAGAGCACTATTTTTGGCCCATTAGTTAGAACAGAGGAGATAGGCTTAACTACGTCCGTTCATTTTTACGTCTATGGTCTGCTCCCAGTGTCTGCAATTACATCGGTTGAATTCCACCCAAC